GAGCCGTGCGGGGTCAGGAGCGTTGCGTTGGTTCGGTGCGGTTCGACAGGTCGGTCGAGGGGAGGAGGGGTGGTGGTGGTGTGACGAGGTCTAGTGCTCGCGCTGTGATCATTATTGCCAGGCACGGGGTCCCAGATGTTAGCAGGCGCTGCTGATATGTTTTCCGAGTCGGAGGTCGCTGTGGCGGATGAGGGTGTGGGCTTGGCTGGGGTCGAGCTTGAAGGGGCATTTTGCTCTGGGGGCGTTGCATGTAGGACTTTCTTGCCCCTAGCTGATGGTTTTCGTGGTTTAGAGACCTTGTTGCTCGGTGACGCTTTGCTGCTGCTGCTGCTGCTGTTCCTGGCTGGTGCAGTGGTGGTGGTTGGTTGCAGTACTGGGACTTTGCTGGTGGGCAGTGCGCTCAGACGAGCTGAACGCCGTAACGCCATCATAGCCTCATGCAGTGTATATCATAAATAATGCTTGTATGAGGTTGAAGCGTGAATGCACATCCTCTGACGCCGTCAGCCACTCTTTGCAGTGGTTACTCTTGGCGGAGTGACGTCGCGAGGTACAGGCGGACGCCGACAAGCTCGGCCGCCGGGTCGAGAAACATCTCCGACATACATGCCCGCCATCGAGAATCATCACTCGCGGAGAGAACTGCGATGTTCCCATATTCCCCGCATTTTACCGTAAACGGCCTGGTTCTCTGAGTCATTCAATTCTTTTCTGCTGCCATGCTGTCTATCAGCCCCCAGTCAACCTGTCGACTTGCAGTAATCGCTACAACAAAGGCTGGCTACCTAGTCGATTCCACAAGATATTCCCCGTGCGTACTCAACTACTGGAGCTCGATTCTGTCTCCGGATCTAGACATTCAACCTGGTTCACACATTCCACGGTCGCAAGATAATGTCCATTGCTATGTGATCAATGGGGTTCTGTCCACATTGCACCAATTTCAGCTCACACCACACGGCCGGACCTAGCCCTTCCAACTTCTATGCCGATTACCCCTTTTCATTATGGCCGCCTCCTTTACGACCGCTCCTACTCTCGAGCACGATACATAGTCCTCTCGCCGCTCTAACCCAGGATGGAACATTTAGAAGCATAGACAAATGCTGAATAGATTGCACTTCTCCGTCGACAGCAGTGGACCACACAATATATATGGTCAGCTCCATGGGAGTTCTTCCAGTGTGGAACCTGAATCGGAGGACGGAAGACTCCGTTGCCCAATCGCTGGAAAGGGCCCGATTGGCCATGTCTCAAGCATTTCTATGGCACTGGATAGTGGTTCACATGAAAAAAACACATTTACTTTTTTTCTTTGCTGATTCTTTCTTTGCATCCCATTCACGGAGGAGGGTTGAAGGCAAAACTGGTGGCGCATATCTGCCCAGGGAATTGGTTCCTGTGGCGGATCACCTTCAATCGAAGGGGGCAGGTTTACATTTGGACCGCCAATAAGGGGGGCTAAATACCATGAACCCATTGGTAAGGAATCTAACCATTACGATCGATACCGATAGCGTGGGCTTGCGTCATCGATTGAGCGGACCATGGTCATAGTACAAGTTGCGAGAAGAAGAAGGGGAAAAAAAAAAGCAAAGTGGGTCGTTCACTTAGTCGTTTGTATAACTCTGAGAAGGTCAACTGACTCTTTGTCGGAGGTAGGATGTAGGAGATGATAGTATGCATCTCTAGAGATGCGAGCATCGGCTTACAGTACGTTTGTTTGTGTGGCCGAACGGGGCAGACTGCATTGGTATGGTATGCTTCTGATACCGAGTATGTTCAATGTTCAGGTTAGGGGCCAGAACGGCCGCGTTGGTCGCTGTTTGATGAAGGGAGGTCCCGAGGTCAGGACTTACAATGGGGTCCGAAAACCAAGTATTAGGCAGCTAGAACACTCGGAAGCGCCCGATGTTCTATTAACAAGGGACTAGAGATGAAAGCGAATGCTCTTCTCGGCTAATGAGGACAATTGAAGTATGAATCATGGGCAACGGGCGGTATGAGGATGTGTTCTGATGCGGCCGCCGCCATGAGAAGAGACAGATGTGTCTCAATGTTGAGTAGGCTTTAGGATCTCCGCAATTGATCAAATCACTCGCGTAAGAAGAGCGTGCTCTCTATCGCAGTGCGATGTAAGAGCATGACTTCCAGTGGCGCACGTTGAGCGTCGATACCCTGGAGACACCGGAGCGGGTGTTTGTATACATCGCATCAGTCATGATTGTGGTTGTATCCGGGAGAAGAACAGCAATATTTCACGCCTGATTTCTAGATGTAGTGGTTGACAAGACATCAGAGAACTGCTGCCATTTACTCCGTATAGTCACGGAGTTCCTTTGTTCTTATCAGCTAAAAGGAGAAGTTAGACTACACTACTGTCACTGAGTCGAGGATTAGCTTAGTTTACTAGTACAGTCGTTAGCCGGGGCAAGCCACCCGCGTCGTCGTGGCGCTAGGGCGAACGTGCTCGCTGGTAAACATTATCTTCCTTGATGCGTCTTGATTACGGAGGCACCTCGAACCTCCATGCAGAGCAATAACAACTCTAACTTACCACCGAGGTTTGCATGGGCTCGATGCACATTAGATATTATTTCCCGCTGGACTCTCACAATCATGTCGACGGACTTACATAGTATCCCTAGTGAGCCTAACATATCTGCCATTGTTTCTCTGCTTTGCATCGCAAGGGCGCATTGCGCCACTTTAAGAAGGGTGGTGGTTAAATTGCCGTGTCGGGTCTGATTATTGCGACCGATAAGTTGTGGAGTTTTTCCTTTATTTTTTTTTTTTCGATGGGTCTGAAAGTAGCTGAAGAACTCTAAAGCCGATCAAGGAGGAACAAGCAATAGCGGCAGTGACCATGACGATCAAATTTCCAGGAATTTTTCAGATGCTCGGTTAGTCCTGCGTTCGTCCCCTCCTCGCTGGGTCATCAATGCCCGCGATGATTACTATGAGTAAGAAAGTGGTACTACTTCATCATCCAACAGCAGCTCCCTTACAGGGTCGGTATCGACGATAATGCAAGTGTGTCGCTTGAACACCATTGATAGCGCACGTAGATAGAGTCATTTCATGAGTGTTTCAGGTCATCGCCACTGGTCGGCGACGATGGACCTATGACATCCTGCTACTCCGACTAGCTGCACACTTGGGCAGTTACTTCACTTCCATCCATCGGAAGGCTTATCCAGCCGGACAAATGTACCGTACCTAGACTGTACGGTATGTACGTTACGATCTAGTGGTATTACCAGATATGCTCACAATTCCAGCCTTTGCCCAGGCGATGTGGGTCTCACTACCAGTGGTATGAGAGTTACAGTGTGCTACGTATGAATGATAGCAGCACGTGATAATCCCGCCCTTGATGGGCTTCCTGGCCCGCCACCCACTCTCACTCGGTGGGTTTATTATTAGGTTTCCTGGTGAGGGCATCTGTTTATCCGCTCTCGCTCAGGTCTGGTACCCACCCGTACCTGAAGCCAAGATACGCATACAAATTGAGTTTGCAGGCGAAGAGGAAAAGCGATGAATGATGATGATGATGATGATGATGATGATGATGATGATGGTATCTCATAGACTGAGATCAGCTATGTGCTCCCAACAATAGTCATCGTGGTTTCTGAAAAGAATATTGTCAAGATGAGGCACAATGGTGGCTGATCCCTGAGCTGTGAACAGTGGAATTCCCCAACCTGTTGTTGCTATTGTTGCTAAGCACATACCAATGTACGGCAGGCGAGAAACCAAGAGTCGCGCGTCGGTCTCTTTCGTAGTCTGCAAGTGGCGGGGCTCCCTCAGATTCCAATAAATTCAGATCGACCACTACGCGACGACCCGGCTCAATAACAACACTTAGCCTTTAACATTCTTGGAAACGTGCCATCCAGGCCCCGGCAGTCCTGGACAACTCAATAATCGACCAATGTTAGCTAATGATAGAATCTGAGATTAAAATGGTTGCGTGAAGAAGGGAGGAGAGAGGAGGGGGGGGGCAGACGGGGTGTCAAATACATATTAGGTGGAACAGATAGGTCCTGCGGGAGCTTCCTAAACAATGTTAATGAAAAAGAGGTCTGGCCCCTCCTGGCGGCGAGATGCTAATTTTGTATCGACTTGCCTTGCCTGCGCTGGTGCATCATCGTCATTTTACCTCGCTCCCAGCCCAATTTCCCGCGACGCATCGCCGGCTGCATTCCATCGAAGGGGGCATTTTCATTTCACTGTGTCGAATCTCCGCTGTATGGGTCGCGATCCGATCATGACAAGAGAGAGAAAGAGTCTAGATAGTCTACCCCGTCACTCGCAGTACCGTTGTAAATACTCCGTACTGTCTCTAGAATTCAATCTAGATTCAATTGACGATGTATGACGTCGGGCTCAATGGAGACCTCTGTTCTCAACCCCGTAGTAGGTGCGACCTGCCAGGTGCCGTGTAAAAAGGGCAGCGAAGAGAGAGGGTGTTGGATCATTGGATGAAATTATGAACCACCAGTTAGCACTCTTTTGTCTTGGAAGCAGAGACAATCAGACATTTTGTTTGGTATGATGATGGGGAGAGGGGAGGGGGGAAAGGGGCTGCTGAGCGAATCAGAAAGGGTTGTCAGGCATAGTCATTGGTGAAGTGTTACAAGATGGAGCAGTCTAAGAAGGCCTACTAGGATAGACGGATTTCCGGTCAAAAATTCAGAAGAACCGGATTCCTGTGGGTTGGATCATGCTGGTGGCCGGTTTATTATTCTTTCCCGCCGCCTTCCCGGTACTTTCGTTACCATGGACACACCATGGGCACACACCATCGACATTCGACAGACACTTCACCAGCTGTCTCCACTGGGAACTGGACTGGAAGGAAATTGATTAGTAGCCCAGCCGAGCCCGATCCATTCAGGTACAGTCTGTAGAGTGTACTCCGTAGACTCCCATACAATTACTTCCAGTCCTCAGTAAATGACAATGTATTGTACTGTTCTGGCTGTGTATATACACAGTCCGGTAATATTGCAAGGAGATTCACTCTCCCCTCTCTGGCTTTCCCCCCGGTCTCAGGTCCACACCTGAACTAAACTAAACTAAACTAAACTAAACCAAACCAAACCAAACCTCGGGGCCACGACTCCTTTCTCGTCCTCCCTGAAAGTCTTCCTTCCCACTTTCTTGGTGGTTTTCCCTTCTTGTTATCCCAGTCTTTCTTTCTTTCTTCCTTCTTCTCCTCTTCCCACTCGCTCGCTTCTTTCTCTTCCTTTCTCTTCTTCCCTTCTCCTCTCTCTTCCGTATCAGAAAGTGCCTGCCTAATCCGCCGCACCCCAAACAAACCGATTCTTTCCTTCCCTCGAAGGCAATCGCTAAAACCAACTTGAAAAAAAGCTTCTCCTTCGTTGAAGCTCCCTTCTTCCATTCGTTTATTTATTGTTTCGCTTCCACCCCTTTCCAGCTCTTACGCTTAACTTGACTACAAAGGGCCACGCCTTGCCCAGACTTCACACAAATCCACTCTCCAGTCATTGGTAGGTTAACATGTTTGTTTTCATTGTCCCACTCTCTTCCTGCATCGCTCAAATAGATCTGCTCGCTGCCGCATCGGCTGTTGAGTGAGCCCGATACTGCATGTCAGAATCTTGCAGCCAGTCTTGGAAGACAGGCTTCTAAAATCTCCCCATCGCGGTTCTTTCAAGGCTAACGTCAAGTTCTGAATTCGAACAGTCTAAACTCAACTCGAAACAATGGCCATCATCAAATACGCTATTCCCGCCATCGCTGCGGCCCAGGTCGCCCTCGCTGCCAGTGAGTGAATTCCTTCCTGGGTTGCCGACGTGACTGTTGCCATTCTTACTGACCACGAAACCAGGCTGTGGTAGCAGCGGCAGCACCATCAAGATCGCCAGCCAGAGCGATGCCGACAGCTACGCCACTTGCACGAAGCTCACCGGTGACGTTGAGATCAGCGAGAGCTTCTCTGGTGACCTGAGCATCAACGGTCCCTACGAGATCACCGGTGGACTCTCCAGCGATGGCGCCAGCAACCTTACCTCGCTCACCTCCACCAGCCTTTCCACGATCGGTGACACCTTCAAGCTGAACGGTCTGACCACCCTGACCACCCTCAGCTTGACCAACCTGAGCAGCGTCGGTGCCATCTCCTGGACCGCCCTCCCTGAGCTCCAGTCTCTCGACTTCACCAAGGGTGTCTCCGAGGCTGGCGATGTCGAGATCACCAACACCGGTCTTACCAGCTTGGACGGTATCTCCCTCAAGAGCGTCGGCACTTTCGATATCACCGAGAACACCAACCTGAAGACCGTCAATGTCAACGACCTGACCAACGCCACTGGTCTGATCAACTTCGCGGGTAACCTGGACTCTCTCCAGATTATCCTTCCCAACCTTGCCGGTGGTACCAACATGACCTTCCGCAACGTCAGCGCTGTCTCTATCCCCTCCCTCAAGGAGCTGAGCGGACAGCTCGGCTTCTGGGGCAACTCTTTCTCCAACTTCAGCGCCGCCAACCTCACCAGCACTGGTGATCTCGTCTTCGACGATAACTCCGACCTTGCCAACATCAGCATGCCTGTCCTCAAGACCGTCAACGGTGGTTTCCAGATTGCCCGTAACGACAAGCTCGAGGAGATCTCTTTCCCCGACCTTGAGACTGTTACTGGTGCCATTGACTTCAGCGGTGAATTCAACTCGTAAGTTACCTACACATGGACAGACTCATGTGCATAGACTGACTTGCTTCCAGTGTCTCTCTCCCCGCTCTCGAGGAGGTCAAGGGTGGTTTCAACGTCCAGAGCACCGGTAACCTGAGCTGCAGCACCTTCGAGAAGATGCACAGCAACAACGTCATCCGTGGTACCTACAAGTGCACCCAGACCTCCCACCCCACCACCAAGGACGGATCCTCCGGCACCACCACTTCCACCAGCAGCACCAGCTCCGCTTCTTCCACCTCTAGCGACAGCGCCTCTGTCATGAACATTGTCAACGTCCCCGCCATGGGTGCCGCTGCCATCTTCGGTGCTTTCGTCCAGTACCTTCTGTAAAGGACACCCGCTAGTGCTTATTTGTGTGTACCGCTTTTGTTAGACCCCTATGATGGTCGTTGTGTGTAAAGTTGCTTGAGGAGCAATTGGTCGTTATTCCCAGTACTCTGCTGTTCTTATGATAATAATTTGAATATTGGGTTGAGCAACATTTGCGGAGCAGTGCTTGCCTTCGAAGAAATGACCGTTTATCCTTGTGTTTATCCTGCTTAATATTGAGACACGGTCACGGGTTTGTGGACGGTTTCCGCCTTAGCCGCCGGGCACTCGCCCCAGTGAGCGGTCTCGACGTGTGTTATAGACGTTCCTTTGCTGTTTTACGCTGCTTCGTTGCCTGCTAGTGCATTGCTTCTGTATTCCATTAGTTCATCGTCCATATTTGAACCCATCGAATTCCCCTTTTTCTATCTTCAGTAGTTTTGATCTGCAGTACACTCAAGAGTCAAGCCAAGTCCCCAGTCTCGTGCTGCCCGCAAGACCGTGGTGCCAAACCTAATCTCCACCGGAATCATCGAGCGTGCATTGAGCTGCATTCGTATCTGCCTGGGCGTCTGCTCAGCCCCTACTCTGAATCGTCTGTATATGGTTGGACGCCTTCATGCGCCCGTCTCTTCGCCGACGCACCATCTTCGGATCCGCAGCGGATGAGGATAAGTATATGACATATCACCTACCTTCGTACCTATCTAGGCACCCGCCATCTGAGAGATCGTGCAAGTGGATCGTCTGCCCGGAGGGGGAGGGACGGCGCACGGCTCTCGCATCCGATGGGTCGGTTAGTACCTTTTGTCTGCTCAGTATGCAACTTGCAGAGAATTGTGCATTGCAGACGTATCCATGACCTGTGTAGTTAGTGGAAATAAGGACGTGTCAGATGCGCGGGGTGAATTGGTGTCTGTGCTAGGAGTACTCCGTCATGGGTGCAGTGCTTCACTTTATACTTGCATTGTAGACCTAATTGATTGCGGGCTATGTATTAGAATCTGTTTATCTTACGAAAGTTGTTTTTTTTTTCTTTTTTCTTTCTCCTAGATGTTGTTCCTTTTTCTGGTCCATTGAGTGGTTCCGGAATCAAGATCCGAACAATAGGCAGCTCGGAGGAAAAGTGGAATGTAGTGGAGTGGTGTGATGGCCGATATCTATGTAGATGTACAGTACCTCCACTGCGGCTGCGCCAGAACATGACATGTCTTGTTTTTTTTTTCTCTTTGGACATAATGGAGAAGTTGGGCTATACCCACACAATTAGTCCCTCCCGTTGTCTTAATTAGAGTTCTTGCAAGAGGATTATCTCTAGGGGAAAGGGGAGGCAGATAGCGGCTAAACAGTATACACTCTTTCCTTCTTTTCCTTCTGTCTACAAGAACGACAACAACGGTTAAAACCTTCCGGATCATAATGAGTTTCCACGTAGTTGTAGTTGACCAGCTGGCCTTGGGCATTTACACATGTACCACGGCGCACGATCTCCTCGTACCGCAGGGGATGTTTGCCGCACCGTGCCTCGGGGATCTCTGATGATGGGGCGCTGTTCTGGGCCATGGTGAAATGGGAGGGGGGGGGCCGCGTCTTTGGTGAATCGTGGGCCCCGTGATTGGGTACGTTCGAAAAGCAGCTGGGATCCAAGGGGGAGGAAATGGTCGAGTTGAAAGGATTGGCTATTTGGAGAGGGGAGAAGTGAATGGTAGGATGATATGACGGTGGTCTCCAGCAGATATCAGGCCCTTTTTAAAAGCAACCCCGGCTGTGGAAGAGGCTTCCGGAGCTCGTCTGATAAAAGGCTAGATCTTTCTATTTTCCCTTCTCAAACCATCGATGACGCAGCGTGTGGCTGATGGCTGGATTGACTAAAAGACTCATGCTTTGTTGGTTTTCGGCATTCTGCACGGAGGGGAGACAAACGGGCAAACGGGGCGGGGGAGAAGACAAACCAGGTTGGTGACCTTGTTGGGCACTCATTAGACAGATAGGATCTGACTCAGTCATGGAACAGTACAGGTCAGTGGTCTGGAGCCGTCCGTCGTAGCACCGGCGATTTGAAAAAAGAAAGAGCGGAACAAACAGGAGCAAAGAGTGAGAAATTGGTGTGCGCACCAGCCATTCGAAAAGCCCAGGTAAATAAAACATGTAGTCACATTCTGAAGGAAAACAAACAAACTGACCAAGTGTTCACTAGGTACATCATCACCGGGCTCCACGCCTCTGATCATTCATAGCCAGCCATCTATCCTTCAGTCCGGCAAGCCCAAGAATTCACGGATCGCCTTCAACCCCACAAGATCACCTGCTACTGTTCCCGTCAGCTCTAGGGGCACGTAGCCCTCTGTAGCACCTCCCTCTAGATCTATGATCCACGCGTCCCGGTTGCTGTCAATCAGAACGTTGTCTGGCTTGACATCTCCCCAGGTCATACCCCTCTGGTGAAGCACCATGACAGTTCCCTGAATTTGGTCAAACCACTTGTGGCGCACAGCGAGATCCGTCGTCTGCATGTTGTCCCGAACATCCCACAGAGTGGTTTCGTGGGGGATGAACGATATCAGAATTCCTGGACCCTGGCTCTCCAACCCGATGAAGCCCGCCAGCTTGGGTATACGAAGGGAACACCCCTCCAATTCCCGAAGCATGGTAGCCTCGCGTGTGAGCCACTTCCGCCACTTCCCTCTCTTGTAGATGAGCGGCGTGCCGTCGATCTCAACCTTGTATACCCGGTCCGGGAATATCGTCTCCACCACTGTGGCTGCCGCGAGTTCATAGCGGGGAAAGCCGGCGGGAATGCTTAGGTCCGGCCAGGGGGTCTTGTCATATCCCGGGCCCTGACGAACCGTAAAGGCGGGCAGATGGCCCGGCGGAGTGAGGTTGATGACCGTGGGCAGTCCGTCCTTGTTGGTCGCCAACTGCAAGTGGACTTCGGAACGCAGGAGATGACTCTCGAGATCGTCGCCGGTCCAGTCCGCATACGCCTTGAAGAACGGCTGGCACAATGCCGGCAGCGAACTGCTCAGGAGGAACATATCTTTCCGGAGCAGTTGGTATCCCAGCGTGTTCGTCTGGTCGGACGGGCCCGGCGGTGGCTCGGTGCCGATCAGGATCCGGAAAGTTGTCCGTCCAACCCGATACTTATGGAACAGCCTCGTGCCAGCGAGAGGCGGTTCCGTCACCGAGAAGACTTCATGGTCCCGGGCCGGAATGAATATCCGTGGACGGCGGATGGCATAGCTCGAACGTTTAGACCGCCCGAGCTTGGTGAGTTCGGCTTCGAGCTCCTCGTCTCCATAGTCGGCACCATCCACCTTGGGAAGCTCAAGTATGACAAGTTCTCTCTCCCCATCTGAGCCCTCGCCATCTGAGCCCTCGTCATCGGAATGGCCATCACGAGACTTTTCATGCTTGAGGGGCTCATCCGGGCTGACCGAACTAGCTGATTTCACCGGCATCTTGAAAGGAAAGGGAAATTCCAGCGACGAACTAGAAATAGTCAACAAAGAAAAAAAAGCAAAGACAGAGCAGAGTAAGCCAGGAGATCAACTAGTTCGATCGAGTGAAAACGACAACAGATTGCCAGAGCGTGAAGGTAGAACGGTGTAGACATACTGACGCCTTGAGAGCTTTTATCCTGCAGTCGCACATCCGAGAAGCTCGACTTGGCCATTGTGCAGACGGTTTGTTCTGATTGAGGCTGCTTGGTAGATGGGGGCGCAAAAAAGAAAAGGCTCGTACTATTTCGGGAACAATCACAACAGAGCGATGCTTGTCTTTGTCTCGAATCAAAGCCGTCAAAGAGCAGCCCCCATTGAACCAGTGGTGGTTTGCTTCAGTTGATGGTGGATTGAGGTGGCAGAGGAGGGACTGGCCGACTTCCTTTGTTGCCATTTGAGCCAACTTTGACCAGAGCGGATGGCCGCATTATGTGTCGTTTGGCACGCAAAGAGCACGCAGCCATGGAATCTTCAGCTTTGGGAATGAAAGCTGGAGCTCAAGGCTTCTAAGCTTCAGGTCAATTCATTACCCCCCAATTTTTGGCTGGGACACTCGGATTTTCCAGCGAGACTGCGAGTTAGATACAGACCTAGCCGCAGAGGGCTGCGCATCACCCCTCCGAAGGGGCGCTATAGAACCAAAGACACCGGCACAAAACATTGCGAGTATTACCCAAGCATCGCACAGCAGAAGATGCCCGAGCAAACGACGAATTCCGAGACAGCACACCACCATCAGGCAGCTCGGGATGCGGTCATGGATCTTTCTTTGCCCTATGGAAGTCATTAGATTGTTGATTGATTGATCAGTCATGCGGAGACGAGGGGAGAGTGGCATAGCTACAATCAAGAGCTGGGTAAGAGGAAAAAAAGTACTGCACACTGAACGGAGATCTCCATGGCATGTAGTCCGAGACTTGAGTCCTCTTGTGTTACTCGTTAGCCACCGTGACTCCGCTCTGTACAGTGACATACAGCCCCGAGAAGTCCTACCGGACAAATGCCTGCACGCCAGCTACCGTCCCTAGGGCAGGATGGGTCAAAAGATTAGCTTGAGCTTGATTGGCTGGGAATTCTCGGAGGATACCTTCGATTGATAGGAACGGGCATTGAACACAAAGTACCTTTTCTTCACATTCAATTAGACTGACTACGGTACTAGGTAGTTAGACTATGGACTATGGACTATGTACTACTGTACTACTGTACTACTGTACTTTGCGCCGAAAGTTCCCACCGCACGGTACCGTAGATGCCATGCCATTCTCTAAATCTGGTATGTGAACGCGAATCTGTCGGCAATGGTCTTAACTTTAAATACGGAGTCGCGAGGGGAAAAGGGAAATTTAAAAAAGAAAGAGAGCGAGGATGTTTCGAATCCTGCGGCCCGCTGCCTATGTGGGGATTCACAGTTCTGATAGACTTTCTTTGTCTTGCATCCCCTAGATTTGAGATGAAGCAAAGTAGAGCAAAGGGGAAAAGAAAGGATAGGGAGGGTCGAGGATCCGTGCGAGCCTCGAGTTGAGAGATTGAGTACGAGTGTAACTAACTAACAGTACAGTAGGTTTAGTTCGGGGCTCGCCCGACCTCGGGCTTCGATCAGGTGGGAGGAGGCTCTTTGATCACCTACGATTTTACTCCGTACTCGATTTAAGATTCTTTTCTGCCTGCTGAACGGATTGACACGGGGTCGGTGGTAATAATAGAAAGGCTATTTGGAATGGGTCAAGGGTGGATCCCGTGAGATGGAGTGCTGATGATGGTCGTTCTTGTGTGTCTGCTTACAGAGTCCTCGGGCCACATATGATAGATAGACGGTAACCCTGTATTGTATGGAGAACTGACGGCTGATGATGCAAGGCATCATCAATGTCAATGACGCATGCCTGAAGCTTCTTAGTCTGTCAGAGACTGTAGGGAGAGCAACACTTAGCCAGCGCTCATCGCTGGTCTGTCCTCTCGCCTCCCTCCCCCGGTAGGGCCTGGACCGCAAAGCTTAGAGTGGCAAGGATTCATCTAGGTTATACTGAAGAGCACTTCGCACTGGGTTCAAAGCGACGTGCAATAATTAGGCAAGGTAGAGATGATGAGGCAAGGTGGTTGTTGCCGGAAGGGCAAAGTGTCCAGAGACGGATTCGGACACAGTCCGGCAGGAGATTGGGGGATGGTGCATCGCCATGGGCCGGCCATTCGAGGGTTCATTCTATCGAGAGAGAGTTCTACCGAGATCCGATGGAACCATAGAATCACTGAAGAATCCTACCTACTCCCTTAGTGAACCTGAAACATGGCACGAGTCGTCGTAGCCTTGCCGGCGGCGGCGACATCACATCACCCGACCTTTTGTCTCGCCTTCCATCGGATATCTGATCGTGATGCCCCGTTTCGGGGAATGAGAATGGGACCTCACCCTCTCACCTGCGAAGGAGGAGGGGGGGATAATGTGAGTTGAGCTTCGTGCCAGCCCCGGCTAGATCATCCAGCCAGCCAGCCAGCCAGCTCATCTCATCTCATCTCATTCTCAGCCCCATGAGCTGGAGACTGAATGAAGGGTGGAAGGAGGGAGTGGCGAACTGCATCCAAAATCTGATACATGAGGTGATCTTGCATAGTAGCACGCCGGGACAACCCTGGTCATTACCCGCACCATGACGGACGTGGCTCATGTGTGGATGGGGATTAAAGTTATATGTTCGACCATGAGACTAGGCATGTAAGTATATTGAGGGTTGCGTACGTACGTACTACTGTAGTACTACTGTAAAAAGCCACCGGGGTGGCGTGGGGCCCAAACGGGTCCGTTGAGGGGAAGCCGGTAGAGCCAGGGATGGTGCCGTAGGCAAGTCGACAGGTAGACTAGACTCGAGTGGATTTCCGGTTCGGACAACGCATTGATGGCGGACGAAGAGGGGATGGGAAGGGGAGGGGGGTCTCAGCGGGGAGGAGAGGGGAGGAGAAGTGGTGAAGTGGTGCTTTTGGTTTGTGATACATCACGCCCAGACTAGCTGAGATGATTAGTGGTGGCTGGTGTGTTTTGATTTGTTTTTGGTTTTTGGCTTTTTTTTTTTTTTTTGCCCCCTCCAGGAGACCGTTATCTTAGGGCAGACTACCCGATAAGTTAGACAACCTTCCTTAGATGATGGCAAGTCTCTTTGGTTGAACTTTACGCTTGTGTAGCCTTTGTGACCAGTATCAAGCCAATTCTTGGGAGTTCAATTTCCATTTGACCAAAGAAGTAATCGGTTTAGTAAATTAGTTATGAGGTATGAGTTATGAGTAACTTACTAACTTACTAGTTAGTCTACGCAGTTGATTAAGGCTGGCGTCCTCTTGAGGACCCGCTAAAAGGAAAAGGAAAAGGAAAAGGAAAAGGAAATGCTGTGTAGCGCAAATCCGCAGTCAAATCGAACCTAACCTTCTTTTCCCCTTCTCTCGTTCTCCTCCTTGGGCCCAATGATAGGATCGGCTGCCACCCACGTTAATTCAGAGGACTATCATGTCAGAGTGGCTGTCTTTCGTCTGACAGGCAAAGTCAAATGATGGTCTTCATTACTCAATGGAGGCAGCACTGTGTCCGTGTCCTCTGGTAGATCTCATCAAGGAGCCGCATTAAGGTTCAATTCAGCCCCCCTCCCCGGGATTCGTTTGGTCGTGATTCTTGGGTCTCGCTGCCGGGAATCCCTGGCAAGAATCAATAGATTGGTAGGGATCTATGATTCGAGACCACGATATATCGGAGAATAAGCGAGAATCTTGTCGACACAGACGGTTAGGTAGAGAAGGACTTGCTAGCACCAGCAGCACCCCCCGGACAATATTCCTGGCTGAAGGTTCATCCATGGGGCCCCTGAGCGCCATCAAATATCCAAGCCATGTATGGAAGTCTGCATGCAATCATTTGGACGGGAGGAAACTCTGTACCTAGACCACAAATGAGTTCGTGCCTGGCATCCACAGCGTGCAAGGTATCTCTGATCAAACAGGGGCTAGGGTCTCTCGAGGATCGCGTTCAGCGTTTCATGATCCCTTTCCGCAAGTGGATATATGTATTGCCAACTCATCATGTTATGGAGAATGCGTACTTTCTAGCCTCCATAGCGCTCGTTCAGTCGGGTTCCTCCGGGAGAGGGGGCAAATTAATATATTTCAGGCTTGATAGTTGATACTTGGACTTGGAACTTTCAAACGGTGGTAGCCGACGACGAGTGTCTAGCAAGCGCGCTGGCAATTCCTTGTCTGCGGAACCGAGGGATAGTATCTTGGGATAACGTTCAGCGCCATGAGGAAGCAAAGCAAAGCAAAGCTCTAGACTAGGCCGTAGGGAGGATCGCCTGTTTTGGCATAGCGGCTGCTCCTCACTTCCCGGCCCTCTGGGGGGACGGACGGAGGGCGTATGACGGGACGGGAAGGGAAAAGACCATGTGGGAGGAGACAGGCAACCCGTGATATGAACACGAACACATTCAGCCATGCTCCGTCCATGGATGACCATCAATAGCCTACTATTCATGTACAGTAGAGTAGCTAGTAGTAAAGACGATGACGGTGGAACGATAATAGTGACGAGTATAACGATCGTCTCCTCCTCCAGTCAGTCGCCTCAACAACGTGGGGCTACCATACCTAGGGAAGAGTTAGGGCGCCGGAAGACCCATTAGTTTCTTCATCTCAGGAGGTGCAAATCTCAGATCCGGGGACTCTCAAAATATGACAGATCTGATCGGGTGGTCCCCCTACGTTTGAGGTCCCATTTTACCCCCTACCTACAATTATCTGTAGGTAGGTTACTGTAGGTAGGTACTGTACGGTGCTTATTTCGATTCGGATGCTGGGGTTTTCTCCCGTTTTTGGATGGTTCTGGAATCATTACATGGAATGTGGAATATTGCTCCCTCTTGACAGCAGAGTCATGAACATTGCTTTTGGAGGCTCGTGATTGTTGTGGTTCTGGTTCTGGTTGTTGCTGTGGGTTTAGTGCTCTGGATTGACTTTTTGAATAGATATTAGATTCCAAATATTCCCATCATACAAAGTATAAACAAACAGTGGCGGGCGATTAAGTCCAGAAGCCACGCCTGACAGCCCGCCAGTCACATCCCGGTCGCTGGGATCAGCCAGAGACCCAGTCGGATGGGCCCTTCCTCGGCTGTCGACGATCCAATGCTGTCCCGCGGGCTACATTATTACCTAGTACAGGACATACATAGTACTGTACGTACATACAGAGTACATAGTACTCAGTACTGTAGGTTGAGTTTGGACCCCCTTGAGTCGGGCCCATTCGGCCTTCCACATCAAACCAAACTCACTGGTCCTGTCCCAAGTCCACCTGCTGCGTTTCCCAATTCGGTAGTACAGTAGATGACTGTTCAAGGCGCTGGGCCTGGAGCTCAATCATAGTACCCATTGTTATTGTTATTCTTCGCAAAAATATACTACAACAACAACAACGACGACGACGACAGACTCGGAGCAACGCAAGGCATCAACAGCAGCGACAACGGCCTTGTTCTAGCCTCAATCGATAATCAACGGTTGCGACTTTTGACCCTGCTATCTCTCAGGTTGGAAACATAGACCAAAGCAGAGAAATGACATCGTGGTGGGCGTCATCGCTTCGGGACTTCCCTGGCATGACGCTAAATCCATGGCCTCCTCGCAGAACCTGTCTCACGTACTTTTTGCATCTTCCCTCGAGAGTCCTTGCTTCGTGCTATCAAGTACTGATCTCCTCCTGCCGAAGTGATGATCTGCTTTGGGGATGCCTCCACTCGTCTGCGCGTCGGATGTTTATGTATAGTACATACTGATTCCAGGGCTTTGGTCCCTTTATTGGTACTTTTGTACTCTCGATACAATGATCTTATTGTCGTGAGCAATAATCAGACTGTGGGACTCTGGAGTCCTCGCCTTCTCAGGGTCGCATCTCAGCGCAGTACTGCACCTGTTCCTATACTGTATATAGGATCTGGAGCACTCGAATACGGTACATGGGATGAGGTATCAAGGAGACGATAAGCCATCCAGCCAAGAGTTCCGGATGTCTGATCCGATCTGCGTTTCGTCGTTGGTACCTTGGCTGAGTGCCCCCCCCTGCAATAATGGCTGATCGTTCCTTATAGGTATGGCCCTCAGAGAGACCTGTGCTTCTCACTGTACCCCGCAAAGGCTGTCTGCTCGGGCACCGACAGGATAGATAAGCGTCAGAGACTCGGTTCTTACCTCCATACAGCCACTAAATTGCGCTTGTACGAACAATAGGAACGTTTCCCACCTGGACACTATCAGTTCACGGATGCACCGCCGTCTGGGTCGAGGCGTCGCAACACTCCCCGAATGGACCATGGCCATTGGCCCGAGCAAACTATTGATGGCTGTAATGCAAGGGGAGTCGATACCTCTTCGCCCCGTGTAGATCGAAAACCGCTGTAGTGGTGACAAATCAAGGGTCTTCGATCCTCATTCGACTCTCTTGGGCATCGGGATCATGGCACGTTGATTCGTCGATCCGGTGCTGCCTCGCGTCTGTGCCAATTTGTGATAGAGATATCTGCCCCAAAGAGGACCCAGAGGGCCCAGAGGGCCCAGAGGACCCAGCCCGGGGACCCGAATGATCCAAAAAAGTCACTAGCTCGAGCTGTCGAACTTTGCCGGAATCTTCTTGGTGCTTCCCCGCGTGTCCTCATGGAGAAGAGGACGATGAAGAATGAGCAGGAGATCCCGAATGGGACCAAATGGAGCCATAAGGTCAGATAGGTTTCATTGTTCCTGGCCCGAAGGACGTCGGGGAGAGTCTGGATGCACGAACTCAACCACCATGACAATGCCAACCAAGAATATACACCGTGGCCATTGTGATGATCTAGTATACCGTGTAAGACCTGCACCAAATTGGGGGGATCTTGTGTATAGTTGCGAGAGGTCAAAAGCAACTCTTTGCTTTGGGAAAATCGAAGAGAAAAATAGAAAAGAAGAAAAACACCAAAATAAAAAAAGCAAAATAAAAACGATGAAGAAAAAAGCAAAATTTGAAAAATAGAAGTAGGAAAAAAAGGAATATTTCCCCAGGAGTAAAAATAACATCAAACAACGCCCGGGAGGGAAGCTGTAAGTAATCGACGGTAGCCCCGTTTCCTTCTTGAGGAAGTCGCAGATCGAGCTAATCCATTTAACTCAGACTAGGAAAAGTACAAGCCCTGTAACCACTGGTTATGGAGGCTTGAGGGGGCCCGGCCTGGCGGCGGTGGTGCCGGTACCAATGAAGTACAGTACTACTCTGGGATGGAGTTGTTGATACATCCTTCCTCTCAACTACAGCTTGCAGTGCTACTCATCTTCACTTTTTACACATACACACATACACGCTCCCACACACACTCCCACACAGAGATGGACCCTCCCATCTTGCCTATCCTTCGGATCTCCTTCTTCCTCTCCATCTGATGCAGTTCATTGCCAGCTCAACTGTACGTCTGAGCGCCACCACAATGGCGTCTTTCCGCGCTCGCTCTTCTCCCCCCCCCCACCTCCTTCATTGGATTCATCAATTCCCCCTCCTGTCTCCTCGTTCACTACCTGCAATATAAATCATGCAGCGGAAGCCTCCCGTATCCCTGGAAAGCCCAGTGTTCCTCGATTATATCTTCCATACCTCGTGGTTCCAATTGAATATTTTCAGTGTTTCTCAGCTGTCCATAGCAACCCTTCCCCTTGATCACAATATTGTTTTCTAGCATTACAATCCATTCGCCACTCCATCTTTAGTCACTCATCTATTCCCCTTGAAAGGCAGTCTCGAAACTATATATATGCCATCTGTGTTTGCCCCTCGTCGTTGAAATTACTCTCAGACATCCCGCGAAGGTGCAGACGTACATATCAGAGACATTCCCCAGTCTAGACGCATCCGCCTCAGACATACAGCATCTTCAACTGCAAGAGACGCCCTCCTTTGTCTCACTCCTCAGCGAAAACCTTCGACTGAATGTCTGACGACATCTCCCGACGCTCTCCATCGTGAGTCCCCTTCCTGTGCCCTTGCCTCCAAACGCAGAGCTGACAGCTCTCGGCTGCACAGCGACATGCGCACCATCTCTAGTGCCTCCAGTACCGCAGACATGAGCGACGACCGCCGTCTACCACCACTACCACGGGTGGAGCCCTTACCCCGGGGGCCTTTCAACCCCTTCAATTCCAACATTTTTGCTCCTAGTCCACCTACATCACACGAAACCTTCCCTGTCAGATCACCTTGGCCAACGGCGGAGCACATGGTGGCACCTCCATCCCCGGCGACCTCCGCTGATAGCTCTTGGCCGGAGCCTTTGCCATCGCAGAAAGTTCTTGAGTGGCACCAGGAGCTCTCTCTCAATGAAATCGTGAGCCTGATCATGCCTAAGCACATCAACCGCAAGCCACCATTGCAGCAACTGTGTGGCCGTAAGCGTAAGGGAAACATGATTACGGCGGACTCGGACGAGCAGAGAGAGAAGCACAGAATTGCTGAGGGTAACCGCCGCAAGAACCTCAGCCAGTTGCACCGCGAACTCGACAGCCGCCTCCACGATTTCTTCCTTGAGCGAGCAGGTTGGAATCCATCCAAGAGTCTCCCTGAATCGAAAGAGCATATCGTGCAGGCCGCTATATTTCTCATCGACTTCATGCTTGTGATCATTATTCATATGATTCACCAGGAAAATGAGATGCCGCGTCACGTTACGAAAAAGCTGCAGACCCAGTTCCGTTGCATGCAGTTGCAGCAAACAGTGTCCAGCCTACAGCAACAGAATCAGAGCCTTCAGCAACAAGTCAAGACCCTGAAGCAAGAGAATCAGATGTTGGAGGAGCGCAATCAGACGCTTGAGTTTCAGCTGAAGACATATGAGCACATGTTCCGCACCTCTAAGAGCGAGCACATGGCCGCTCAGCCGATGCCAAATCCAACAGAGCTCAAGCCACGAAACATGCTCCCTGGTTTGAGGGTATTCTGTGATGAGATTGCTGTCAATGGTTCCGAGTCTCGGTTGGAGCACATTCCCGCTGCAGCCACGCAGTCATTTGGCCACTCTTACCCGAGTAACACTCCCCCCGTCACAGGCCCCTCATCACCGATGTTCACTCAGGCATCTTACTCGGTACCGGCATCACGACGCCCATCGCTCAACCCGTCGCCCTGATCAACCTGAGCGCGCCGAGTCAATGAATAGCTGCGAGCGCCGCACTCAACGGTCAAATTTTAAATTGCATATAGAGACTGGTACATACTGCAGTCGCAAATCTGTCACCACCCATTTCAACTGTGTTTCTTTCTAGCATAGCGGGAGCGTTCCTCATCGACTTACACTTGCAACATCAGAGCTGTCCTGCATATTGATTTATTTATTGCTTTGTCGAGTACGGGATCCACTTGAACGGGTCTTCGTTTGGCCTGGTGTCAGCTGATTTCGAGAATTGTGGTGTACATCAAAAGAAAAGGTCGTCCGGGGAGCATGAGCATGGGATTTCTCATGGAGTTTGTACTAAGTTCCTCCATTGTTTATATTGTCTGTATCGAGAGAGGCTATACGGGGTATCATTTGTGGGCTTCATTTCTGGCGTGAACGAAATCTATTTGGGAACCATCTTGTGATTTACTGAGTTTGGAAGCATTTATATACATATATGATCATTTTCGGTAATTCAGATCTCTTTTGCGACTCCTTATCATGGATGTGGTTTCGCCCATTAGTTTTGGATATGTTTCAGATCGGTTATGAGTGAAACCAATATGGGAGAAACCCAATGAGAAATGTCTGGCGGAGGTCACTCACGAGGGGGTATCATAGAATGAGCAGTGACTGGCAGCAGAGGAGCAAATCTTTTTTGAAAGCCCCTGACAAAGTAGAATTCTAGAGACCGGAGCAGAGGCATGAGAGAGGGTCACATCACGGGTGGAATTGGGTTGGGGCGAATTATTCATGGTTATGCTGATGAGTAAGATGTCGTTAGTCAGGTACCCTATTAAAAGCAACGGACCAATCCGGTAGCGGCCAACTGGACTCTGGCTGGACCATCGGGCGGGTCGAATCTTCCTCTAATCCCTCGCTGTCAAACTGGACCATCTTCCCTTTCGACGACCGTTCCCGAATTTCCTCTTGGGCTTGCGACACTGGCATTAAATTGTCGAGGATTAGCAGGGCTTTTGTTTTTGTTCGAATCTATCTTCTGTCCGGCTCACGCCTACGTTCGTTTCAACTTCGATTTCCCATTGCTCGGTTTCGGTTCCGCGCTCTACCGCAGCCAGCCCTTGAGTCGAGTTCCCTTACTACCCTTTTCCTTCCCCGGGCGATCGCAGGTTCCCCCCCCCCCCCTTCCCTTCTCCGTATCGCATCATCAACTCTGACCTGTCCACGTCAACCCCATCGGGCTTGTACCTGGCTTGGAAGTTGATTTTTGATCGGGGCTTACGTCAAGTTTTCTCTTCCTTGTCCCGGAAAGTCTCTCTCTTCCCTTCGTTCGCCTGTCATCTCGTCGATCGGAGAGCGATTCAACGGCCTCCTTGGATTTGTGTCTTAGCGACAGATAATTCAGAAGAAATCGTCGCCTGTTGTGAGCGTCGGCGATTTCCAAATCAGTGAAGCGAGGCAAATCACGGCTTGGCTCGCGTTCAACTTCAGCGACCTTTTCTCCTTTACAAACATGTTGCTCCCCAAGGGTGGTGTAACGTGGAAGTCGGCCAAAGCCAGGCTGCCCCCATGGCGGGCTGTCCTGTTCATGGTCACGAGAACTAGATTCCTAGTATCACTGGCCGTGACTGGCTTGATGGTCCTTCTTTGGCGTGGTATCAGCAGGTCGGCTTCAGAAATGCAAAGGTGAGTCCCCTCTCTCATCGATCGCGCAGGCCGCGTTACAACGATCCCCTATCGTGAGTTGGAGACACGGAAAGAGTTAAAGCCGACGATTGCATGTAGTTTCTATTGCTACGGCCCTCCGAAATCGCCAATGGATATGTCCATCAATGAAATGGTCGAATGGAACGCACATCTTCAGACCCCTGTGGTCTTTAACCACCACGATGCCTACGAAGTAAACTCATCCAACATCAATCATGTCGATCTCAACCCCATAAAGTCGACCCAACAGGCCGTCGCGAACGCTGAGCGAGTACTCATCCTGACGCCACTGAGAGATGCCTCGGCTCATCTGATCAACTACTTCGACCTTCTCTACAAGTTGACGTACCCCCACGATCTCATCGATCTGGCATTCCTCGTTGGCGATAGCAAGGATGACACCATGGCTGTTCTTACCGCAGAATTGGCTCGTATTCAGTCTCAGACGGACGAGAAGATCGCTTTCCGCAGTGCTACAATCGTGGAGAAGGATTTCCATAGCGATTTCCAGATGAATGTCGAAGACAGGCATTCATTTGCTGCTCAGGGACCGCGCCGCAAGGCTATCGGCAGAGCTCGGAACTACCTACTCTACTCTGCTCTCAAGCCTGACCACTCATGGGTTTATTGGCGCGATGTCGACATTTCTGACAGCCCCCCCAGTATCATTGAGGACTTTGTCGCTCACGACAGAGACATTCTCGTGCCCAGTATGTAAACACTTTCAGACATGTACCTTATAAGTTTCGTACTAACCATTATCGCAGACATCTGGTTCCACCGCTACAGGGATGGCCGCGATATTGAAGGTCGCTGTATGTACCATATCGACAAATCAACATATTGACTCTATTTGCTGACTCTCGCAGTTGACTACAACTCGTGGATCGAATCCGACAAGGGACGTCGCCTTCGCGAGACGCTTGATCCGGATACTGTTTTGGCCGAGGGTTACAAGGAGTATGATACTGGCCGACAATACCTCGTTGGCATGGGTGACTGGCGGAACAACAAGGATGAGGAAGTCGAGCTGGACGGCATTGGCGGAGTCAACATCCTCGTTAAGGCTGACGTTCATCGGTCTGGTATCAACTTCCCTGCTTACGCCTTCGAGAACCAGGCCGAAACCGAAGGATTCGCCCGCATGGCAAAGCGTGCTGGATACAGCGTCTACGGACTACCCAACTATGTCGTCTGGCATATCGATACTGAAGAGAAGGGTGGTAACCTTGGGGGCCGCAAAGCCTATTAGCTGCATTTACGGGTTGATCCTATCTTTCATGCAGTTTGAGTGAAGCGACCATCTTCATTCCTTGTTACCAAAACTCGAAATACCCCCTTTTCCCTGTGTACATCTGAGCTGTTATGATGGTCATCTATGTGGAGGCTCGCCTATTACGTCTTTTTTATTTCAACCCTTGTGTTCTTTTCTTTTTTTATCTTCCCTTTGCATCTGTTCTATTTGCCTGAATGCATGCTACGGACACTACAACTCCGGTAATTCTTCTTTCTATGTTTCTTTCTTTTTTTGTGTTCGCGATCCAGGATTATGTCTGGCTTTGTTGGCGCTACAGGGACAGTGTTTAGGTATATTGGAGAACACCCATAGAGCGCCGGTTGACTGAGCTCTGATTATGGCTTGCTATGTTCTTTCTTACGGGTAAGATGCCAGTGACGAGCATCTTCTCGCCCAGCGGCTGGTGCTCTCTGCGCACCAGGCATGTTTGATTGTGTATGCCGATGCGCATTGCACTCTACGCTCTGTCTCCATTGATGGATTAGAGCGGTTGAGTGTCATCAAGTAGGAGGCGCACAGAGGAACCAGGCTAGGCACAGTCTCTGATCTCCATGTCCATGTACATATGTCGTACAGGGTAGAGTAGTTCGAGCAATAATAATCTGCTATGATGCCATGTAACTTGACTAAACCCTGAGGGTAACTTATCATTCGATAAGCATGAGCCCCGCTTCAAAGGTGATCACAGCTTTAAGACAGCTGTGAGACATTGGGGGGGGGGGGGCGCAAGACTAAATCACAGTGACACTAAAACCGGTTAAGACTTGCGCCCTGAGCTCCGTCTCCCCGCCCACCACACCCACTTAACTACCTAAACCTCCCCGCCCTCCGCTTTCGCTTTCCCCTCGGCCATCGTCATCTGTTTCTTCTAACCGTACTTTCTCTAACAACTTGAAAGCCGCTACTCCTCTGCTTCTTCGTTCTCCCTCTCTTGCTATACTATCTCGACTCAACTGTCCAGCACAATGTCGGCCAAGAACGAGTTTCTTTGCATCCTCCCGGACAAGCCCGACGCCTTGGCCAGAAGACTGGAAGTGCGCGCGTAAGATTGACTCCTTCAACCGTATGCCGCGGGCGTAGAGCTGAACATGAATCAGACAACATCTTGCAAATGTCACACCTCTTGTTGAGTCCGGCAAGGTTGTCCTGGGCGGTATGTCCCAAGCAAATCATCCTCCCAAACAATAGCCCAAACAATAGCATCGGCTAAATCAATGGAATGCGGATAGGAGCCATGCTCGACCAACACCCGAAACCAGACGACTCCGTCTCCTTCAAGGGCAGTGTTATGATTTACGTCGCCGAGAGCAAGGAGGAGGTCGAGGAGTTGGTGAAGAATGATATTTACACCAAGTCTGATGTATGGGACCTAGGCAAGGCTCAAATCATTCCGGTATGGTGACCACCTACCTGTCTTTTCTTTGCGCACGTGCTGATATCCTTCGCCATACTTCAGTTCAAGTCTGCTGCTCGCTTGGCCTTGTAGATCTCTGTCCCATAGTTTACGAATGCAATGACATCGTGTATTCCCGTGACAATATGTTGAATGGTTCTTTCCGATTCATTGTAGTATACCACTGAAACCTTCTGTGCATGACAGCTGATAAGGTTTAGGTTTGAATCGACATAATCGAGTCGCGCTTCTCCGCAACACTTACCTGGTAGCCAGGCCACCTTATTCTGCGCCTCCCACGATCATTGTCAGGTTTCCCTCCGAGATGACTGTTGAAGTGCTTCCATCCCCAAGACCCCTTGCACGCCTTCAATCCATTGCCATGCATAGTCGAGGGGGCTATCCGCATTTGCATGCATTAACCGCGACGCCTTTCTCCGTTTTAGGAAGACCCTGTACACGCGGCACTCGCTCTGCCGTGACAATTGTCGCTGAATCGCGGGTTTCCTGAATGTGACTTGCGCTCGAATGCTCTAGCTCTTGCTCGGCTGCGAGCCACCCAGTCGCCAAGACTGAAATGCATGGATGATGAAACGGTCGATGCGGGCTTTCAGTGTGCCTTTTTCTCATTCGACAAAACATGCAAAGTCTAGACTTGGCACATATACTCCGATGCAATACTACCCTGGGTCACCGACTCGTCATTGCATGTACAATGATCGACGTTGTTGTTGTTGTTGTGTCATTAAATCGAAGCCCGCTGGGACTTGAGCTTGGTGAAGATTTGACGTTTACCCTTTACTTTGGGGGTCCCGGGTCGTGTGATGCAAAGAAAGGATATTTGACGTCAACACAAAAGAGGGAGGAGTTTACAGCTGATGCCCTGAGTTAGTCACGAGTAGTAAGTCTGGTGGAACGGTGACGTTGTTATCACATTTCGGACCAGTCGAACCATTACAAGGGTCTAGTATAAAGTGCAGGGTCTACCGCCCTTGCGGAGATCCATTTACGGAATCTGATAATGTAGATCGCTTTGATATTGCATGAACCGGATCTGACACGAATCCGTGTGGTATGTACCGGTCTACGGATTTGCGGTCTCACGTCACGCACATGTGCCATCATGTTCAGGTATATAGACATGAGGACGGACAGACAGTGGCAAACGTGGGTTGCTAACGGAAGCAACAACGACCGAAACAACAGCACAGAAGAACGCTATCTGTCTTGGACGGGACTATTAATCCGATCGCCTAGATACACCTAAAACACTAATCTCTTAATGAATACATTCCATACAGTTCGCCATGCCTTCCAATGAGTCTCTTGCCCAGCCTGCAGCCGGCAACGGCAACAACGCTCTTCTCCGCAGCGTCAACCCGAACTATACCGGCTACGACTATGTAAGTTGGTACGTCGGCAACGCCCGCCAAGCGGCGACATACTTCGTCGCCCACTTCGGCTTCAGCATCGTCGCCTACCGCGGCCCCGAGACGGGCTCCTATCTCTCGTGCTCGTACGTCGTGGCCAACGGCGCCGCCCGATTCGTGTTTACCGCCCCCATCGTGGCCGCGGACAACGCTGCCGAACAACGGGGCTCGGACGCGGATCGCCGGCTGCTCGACGAGATCCAGGCACACCTGAACAAACACGGGGACGGGGTCAAGGACATTGCCTTTCAGGTCGAGGATGTGACGGGCGTCTGGGAGCACGCCGTCCGGAACGGAGCCGTGTCGCTCCAGGAGCCCACGACCCTGACCGACGAGGTCGATGGCCAGGTTCTCCGGGCCACGATCAAGACCTTCGGAGACACGGCGCACACGCTCCTCAACCGCTCCGGCTACCGGGGTGTCTTTCTTCCCGGGTACACCGCCGTGTCGGGCCTGGACCGCTTGAACGACCTCCTGCCGCCGGTCGATGTCATTGAGATTGACCACTGCGTGGGCAACCAACCGTGGGATGGGCTGGATACCATCGTCAAGTTGTAAGTCTTCGTCTTCTGCCTGCACCATACGCACGTGAGCTGACTGTAGCCCCCCTCTGCGCCAGCTATGAGGACGCGTTGAACTTCCACCGCTACTGGACCGTCGACGACAAGGAGATGTGCTCCGAGTTCTCCGCGATGCGTTCGGTTGTTGTTGCCTCGCCGGACGAGGTGATCAAGATGCCCATGAATGAGCCGGCTGTGGGGCTCAAGAAATCCCAGATCGAAGAGTAAGCTGGTCCTCTCTCTGTGTCGGTCCCTCACTCATTTCCCAAACGACTCACTCATCCCCGACCCCCTCCCGACATTATCATCCGAGTCTTCCCCTTCAAACCCACCGCACGTATCCCGACAAAGGGCAAACCGAACAACCACACCGACTAACCAATCCCACAGATTCGTCGACTACTACAACGGCGCCGGCTGCCAGCACATCGCCTTCCGCACGGACAACATCATCGCCGCCGTCGAGAACCTCGGCCAGCGCGGCGTCAACTTCCTCACCGTGCCCGCCAACTACTACACGACCATGAAGAAGCGGCTCGCGGCGAGCAGCCTCCGCATCGCCGAGGATATCGACATCCTGCAGCGGTACAACATCCTGATCGACTTCGACGAGGGCGGCTACCTGCTGCAGATCTTCACCAAGCACGTCGTCGACCGCCCGACCGTGTTCATCGAGATCATCCAGCGCGAGAACTTCGATGGGTTCGGGGCCGGGAACTTTCGGAGTTTGTTTGAGGCGTTCGAGCGGGATCAGGCTGCGAGAGGGAATTTGTAGAGGGTAGTGGGTGGGGTTGGGGTGGGTTGTGTGTTGGTTGCGATGGGGGTATGGATTTTGGGGGCTGGAGTGTCGGTTTCGGTTTTGAGGGTTTGGGTGTTTTTGGGTTTTTGTTTTGTCCGTTGTTTCGGGGTTTTTGAGATGCTTGGGAAAAGATCAGAATGCGGGTTTTGGCACGGCGAGAGTGTGCTCTATTCAAGCTTAAGCTGGGGCTACAAGGCCAAGGGGGGGCTTTTGTTCTCTGAAGCGTGATGGGATATGAGATGCGTACAGGTTATAGAAGAACTAGCGATAGTGGCTTTAGGACGGCGTTGATGACAATAACAGCAAGACATCTATCTATAGCGCAAATATCCGCCTGACCCTTTTCAAATGTTGCGTGAGCAAAACTATATTCTAAACATTCCCCCAAGGCTTACGAGACTACAGCTTGGCCTTGACCTTCAGCATCGCCTCGGCCACCTTGCGTCGCTGAATCTTCCCCGTAGCTGTCTTGGGAATTTGCGGAACAAGCCAAATCTGTGAAACCATGCGCGTTAGCGCGCTCCTTTCATCTCCGCTGCCCAAATCCAGAGAAACAAGAAATAGTGGGGAGCAAGCGACATACCTTCTTGGGCGTCTTGAACTTGGCCAACTTCGACTCCACCCAGGCCTTGAGCTCGGCCTCCGTGGCACTCGCGCCGGCCTTCACGACCACCGCGGCCCCGATCTCCTCGCCGTAGTGGGCCTCATCGGGGATGGCGAAGCACACGGCCTCCGCCACCGCGGGGTGGTGGAGGAGGGTATTGTCCAGCTCGATGGGGCTGATCTTCTCGCCGCCCTTGTTGATCAGCTCCTTGATGCGGCCCGTGATGATCACGTACCCGTCCGCGTCCTTCTTGCCCTGGTCGCCGGTGCGGAAGAAGCCGTCCTGCGTAAAAGAGGACTTGTTGGCGGCCGGGTTGTTCAGGTACCCCGCGGTGACGTTCTCGCCCCGCACGCAGATCTCCGCCTCCTGGCCCTGGGCCACCTCCCGGCCGTCCGCGTCGAGGATCCGCACCTCCACCCCCTGGCCGAGACCCACGCTCCCGGGCTGGCGCTTCGCGGGCGGGAGCGGGTTGCTGGTCATCTGGTGCGCGGCCTCCGTCATGGCGTAGGCTTCGAGGACCGGGGCGTTCAAGGCCCTCTCCAGGTCTTGGAAGGTCTTCGGGGAGAGAGGGCTGGAGCACGACCGGATGAAGCGGATCGCCGGCACGGGGTTGGGCAGGGGGCTCTTGAGGAGGATCTGGTGGATCGTGGGCACCGCCGTGTACCAGTTCGCCTTGTAGGTGATGAAGTCGGCCCAGAACTCCGAGGCTGAGAATCGCGCGGGAACGATCACCGAGCCTCCGGCGTACAGTGGCGCCAGGAATGCGGCTAGGAGCCCGTGGACGTGGAAGAGGGGCATCACCAGGTACGTGCGGTCTGCTGGGGTGAGGTTGTATGTCGCTTGGATGTTGCCTGTGTGGGGATGGGTTAGATCCGGGTTCCTAGAGCAAATGCTGATGGGGGGCCAAGGGACTGGACACTTACGCATTGTGGTGGTCAAGTTCTTGTGCGTGAGCGGGACCTGGTTTTGAGAGAGGTTAGTGGTGATAACAGAGAATGCACTTGGTCACAGGGGAAAGGCGGGGGAGAGACGTACAGCCTTGGGCCTGCCAGTGGTTCCGCTCGTGTGCAAGACGAGAGCGACATCATCGGGTTGAGCTTGTTGGACATCTACGCCTCCAGTGCCAGACAGCTTGCCATGCTCCTTCACATCGAGCACGATCTCTGTGCCGTTCCAGTAGCACTCGGCGATCGCGGCATTGTACTTTCTCCCCGCGCAAACGGCGGGACCTGCCTTCGCGTAGGATCCCTGGGGAATCAAGACGAGGGTGGAGCTGAGATCGTCGATGTAGAATTCGAACTCCTCCTGCTTATAGGCCGGGTTGAGGGGAGCGGCGATCGCCCGCTGCCACGAGGCGGCCAGGAATGCCACGATGAACTCGTACGAGTTGGTCAGCGCCAGGGACACGGCGGCGCCATGGCCGACCCCCAGCTTGGCTAACTTGGCCTGGAACGCTGCGATCTGATTGTGCAACTGCTGATAGGTGATCGCTAGAGGATGGGTTTTATTGGGCACTAGGATGGCGATATCCGCACTATCGGAGGAGAATGACCGCGCCAATGTTGCCATGGCGAGTAGTGTGCTGCACGAGGGTTACACTTGGGTCTTGGCTGTCAGGGATGGTTTGGATGATTGTTCAGATGAGTATAGTGACTGTGGTGGTCTCAATGGCACAATGGCACAATGGCACAATCGAGCTCTTTTGCGTCGAAGTCTTTTCCTCAGTGTCAGGAACAACTCAGAGTTGCAGGCAATAATGCCAGCCGGGCAATTGCATCATGACCTGAACCGTTAGGCATCTCCCAATCCCTACATAGTTAGTGCCAGTACGGCCCGGATACTTTGTTCCGTTCCACTTCCCTTCAATAGTACCTACTACTAGGTAGTAGGGCTGGGGGATTTCCTCATTCGGGTCTGGGGCTCCCGCTCACCGCCCGCCACGTTATTGGACACGCGTTTCTGTCGGCTTGAGCGGGCGGTGTTGTAGGCGGTGAAATGGAACGGCCACCGCTTCGCCGGAACTGCCGCTTCTCATTATCATCAAACCTCGGACAAGTCTATCAGAGTCGTTGGGGATTTGTGTCATCTAAGCTTATCGGACTTGCCTTTCCAGACACGTTATTATCGCTGAATGTACCTAGCCGTCATTCGTCATGAGCTCCGATCCCGCCCCTCCTAAGCCTGGGGGTGGCCTGTCACTCTATGCCAATTTACTGGACCCCTCCGCGGATAACTCCCCCGGGACGATTTCTCGCGCGCCTGTTGTTTTCAGACAGGGCGCCGAGGCCGAGGCCCATCCCGATGACCCAGCTGCGAAAAAGCAGCAGCTCAGTGCCGGTAGACCCATGCCCTTCTCTTTTGAGCGAACTCCCTCGTCTCTTTGATCGATTTGATTGCTCACTTGTCCGCCCGGTGATTCATGTCGGTGGCATTCAGCTTCTCTCCGGTTTCAACCTACCAAAAGGCCGCAACTCGCGACTCAGAAACCGAAGCCCAAGCCAACACTACCTAAAGCTCCAATCGCTGCCACGCCAGCCGCTGCATCAGTCAAAACAACCCTTGCCGACTGGGCGGCTACCGAAGACGACGATGTCAACGGGTTCTATGCTGGGCCGAAGAGGCAGCGCGGAGGTCGCAAGAAGCGCAAGAAGAACCGGGAGGTGCAGGAATTCATACAGAACTGGGATGATATCTACGATCCGTCTCGGCCAAACAATTATGAGGAATACAAGCATAGCGACGAGCAGATAGCCGAGATCCGAGAGTGGAAGGACCGCCTCTATGCACATCGCATGGCAAGATCGCCCAGCAGGGACTCATACAGTGAGGATGATGATTATGCACGACCAAGGAACCGTAAGTTCATCCTCATGGCATAACGAGAATGTTTCATCTGCTCACCACAGGATCCCAGGTCAATTCGCGCCACCCGGCAGTTTTGCACCGCCCCCGGGCCTTAACGATGCTGCTCCCAGGCCACCTGTGGAATCACCACCCCCTGAAGAGCGAATCGAAACTCAGGACGATGTGTCAATGGGAGGAATCCCTCCGCCCCCTCCGCCGGATGAGCCACCGGCCCATGTTCCCGACGACCCCACAGGCGAGGATGCTTATCTGCGAAGGATCCAGATGTCGACGGCTGGGAGCTCAGCAGTGCCCCCGCCACCACCGCCGTCACGGCCTTTGGATGTCTTGCAGCCGGCTTCGGCGACCATATCCCGCGCTCCGGTTCGATACACATTACCACCTCCCCCCGAGGACATACCTGCCTCGGAAGCAGAGCTTGAAGAAGTGTTCGCGAAGGAGCAACCGGTTGATGATGAGCCGGGAGACGCTGGTCAGCGCTCCCTTAGACCAGGCCAAAAGGGCTTCGCGGAACGGCTCATGGCGAAGTATGGCTGGACGAAGGGCTCCGGCCTGGGTGCCACAGGGTCCGGAATCGTCAAGCCATTGCAGGTCAAAGTTGAAAAGCAGAAGAAACGGCCGGACTCGGAAGGGGGTGGCTTTGTGACGCCCGCTGGACGGGGTAAGGTCATTGGTGGTGCGCGGAAGAGCGAAGAAGAAGGCAAATTCGGCCCCATGAGTGAAGTAATTGTTCTCAAGGGCATGCTTGATGGCATGGATCTTGAAGCTGAATTGGCTGGCGACGGAGAAAGCGGCGGTCTCATGCAGGAAATCGGTGAAGAATGCTCCGACAAGGTCAGTGATTATATGAGACACCCTGACGATTTCCCTATCTGACTTGCGTGCAGTACGGCCGTGTCGAGCGAGTTTACATCCCACGAGAGTCGACGAAGCCCCCTGTTCCTGTGTTTGTGAAATTCACCAATCAGCTTTCGGCATTGCGGGTGAGGCAATACACATGTCAATAATCAGTTATTGTCCAGTTTACTAATGAGGCCTCTAGGCGGTTAATGCTCTCGAGGGCCGAATATTTAATGGAAACGCAATTACTGCGCGTTTCTACGATACACAGAGGTTTGAGGAAGGGGATTATGATGGTTGATGTAGATGGGACATAGTGATTATCTAGCTTTCTTCAAGCGGGAATAATGATGTGACAGAGGAACATATATTACAATCTTTCAAGTTGCACGTCTACCACAATCGAGACTGACCCTGCCAGTCAGAAAGTGATTCTATCGAATAAGCTCTCGTCAAGAGACTGGGACTTATCAGTATTCTGCAAGTCCGGAGCAGGCTTGTTGCGTGTTTTGACCTCTTGTTTCCTAGGGAGTGGAATGCTAGACTGAATCCTTGGTTTGGTACCAACTTCGTTGCTTGTCTTGACTTCCTGTTTCCTAGGGAGGGGGATGCCCGACTGGCGCTTTGGCTTCTCTTCAACCTGGTTGCATATTTTGGCTTCTTGGTTCTTGAGGACCGGAAGACCAAACTGGCACCTTGCTTTCTTATCTACCTCGCCGCGGGCTTTCATTTCCTGACTTACAGGGGCTGGAATACCGGTGACACGCCTTGGTTCCTCAACGTCGCTGCTGGCTTTAACTCCCTGACGTCTAGGGACTGGAATGCCAAAGTGGCACTTTGGTCGCTTAAGGTCGCTGCCGTTGTCGACCTCCTGAGTCGCAAGTATGGGGTCATCGGGTTGACGCTCTGGTTTATCCTCAGCGTCTCTGCGGATGTCAACATCCCGACCTTCAGGAATTGGAATACCGGAGTCACACCTTGGTTCCTCCTCAGTGTTTCTGCAGATGCTGACTTTCCGGTCTTCAGGAACTGGAATACCGGAGGAATACGTTGGTTTCCCAATGTCGTTGCTGATGTTGACCTCATGACCTTCAGGGACTGAAGTTCCGGAATGACACTCTGGCCTTTCCTCAACGGATTTGCAAATGTCGACCTTTTGGCTTTCAGGAACTGGGGCTTCTGGCTCGCTGGGCGTACTCATTACTTTGTGATACTCCTGGTAGTACTCCTGGCAGTGGGGACATATTCCCTTCATTGGGATCCCGGTAGCTTTAGGGTCGGTACATTCATACCCTACTTTCAAGGCTTTATCGCATCTGATATCAACGTCACGGGACACGTCGATGCATATACACACAGAAAAGTAGTAACGAATCTTATGGCACATCTTGAATGCGTTGACAGAGGTCAAAAGGTTGGGAAATGGGTCAATGGTGTCCCGTACAGGAGGATAGCCCCCCCCCCCGGTCGCTAGGTAACGGGTTGACTGATGATGGATCCCCTTGTACTGTACCCTGGCTAGATATACTGCGGTGTCAGGTCAGTAGAATGAGCCAAACGAGGTGACAGACAGCATGATGGAGCACGCTGCGAGCAAAACATTCTTGCTTAAATAACTGGCATGGCGCACGCAAGACCCAGCTTGAATAGCCGCAGTCTCATGGTCAGAGGAGACCTTCCGATAATGCCTTTGTCATCCATGCCTTGCGAGTCTTGGGTTGTCAATCTGGGATGGTAGGTTCATTCATAAGGCGACGGGTTCATGCATTGTCTTGCCTACAACAAAGACATGTTTGAAATGTAGTCGATGCTCGACCAGTAACCTGACGGTTCTGTCATGTGATGAGGATGACCTGCAGCAGCCCCCGAGAGTGATTGGCTGTGGGGCGGATTGATAGCCGGCGGGCGACAACTGGTGGAACTGCCCAGTGCCCAGTGAGCGTGAGCATGGAACCTTCCTAGGATGCTCTGGAACTTCCGTTGTGCACTTTCACATTCACTAGGCCTAATCTACACCCGTTCACTTTCCGTCCATTTATATAACACACCTGTGTTCTTTTCTTCTCTCTTTTCTTCCATAGCTCCTTATCTCTCCGCCTAACTACTTCCTGGTAGTCTCTTGCCAGCGTCAGTCATCTATCCTCCCAACTTTCAGCTTCCACGTCTCCCCCACCTACGTGAACCGCGTATATCCGACATGTCGCTCTGCATAAATCGCCTTACAGAAGAAAGGTGAGGGCTTCCGTTCCAACCATGGATGCGCCATGGTATAGTCAGTTAGGTGCGCTAACCTCTGATTTTGCGCCTCCCATGAAGAAAGCAGTGGCGTCGAGACCACCCTTTCGGATTTTACGCGCGGCCTCATCGCAACCCTCAAGGTGCGCTTGACCTCAAGAGATGGGAGTGCGGTATTCCTGGAAAGGCGCAAACCTTATGGGAGGGTGGGCTCTTCAAACTTGATGTTACCTTTCCCGATGGTGAGTTCATCTTCTGTGTTATGAGCTTTTTCTTTTTGCGACATGGCATAACTGATCACTGGCCTACTACACAGAATATCCGACAAAACCTCCCAAATGTAAGTACATTCCTGCCGACGATGAAAGTCTTCCCTTGCGACTTTGAAAGTCTTGCGTCAACTTCGCGATATTGCGCCCAAGAGACTAATATGGCTTATATCACCCGCAGGCAAATTCGTCCCTCCGCTCTTCCACCCGAACGTCTATCCCTCCGGCACCGTCTGCCTCTCCATATTGAACGAAGAGGAGGCATGGAAACCTGCCATCACCATCAAACAGATTCTTCTGGGCATTCAAGACCTACTAAACGACCCGAACCCTGAGTCGCCCGCCCAGGCTGAGGCATACAACCTGTTTAAGAAGGATCGACCGGCGTATGAGAGACGTGTCAAGCAAGTGGTCAAGGAAAATCCAGCACTTTGAATGTTATTCATGCGTACAGTGAACAATGCTATCGGTGCGTACACTCAAGACTACAAACACACAAACACACACTCGGCTATGGTTGTCGCGACAACCAGCCCTCTGGTCCATGCGCCGATGCAGCTTTCGGCGATTTCCTGGATATGTGGCAAATGAACGGATCGCCGCGGACTGTATCGTCTCTTTCTCACACGCGAAGTGACAATATTCCACCGAAGGATTCGGGCAACAGAATGGTGATTGAGATTTGGGTCCTGAAACTCTTCCGATCAACGACTACACGGCGTCTTATGTCCTCGAAACGTTTTGCATGTTGTTTCCCTTTCAATGTGTCGGCTGATTCATTTTATGTATTCCCCATATTGACCAGTCTGTTTAGTTTTTCCTTAGCGAGAAGCATGGTGTCTCAAAATTAACAACATCGTGGTGGCCATGCATGGCTCCATTGAGAGAGAAAGAAAACCTGACCGAGGGCATCGGAGGTCGCACCGCACTGGCCGGGTTGGTGTTCTCCGTTCCTTCTTGGCACACCTTCTAGATCGCAACAGGCAGAACAGAGATTGAACGTTGGCGCATTGGCACGTTGTCAACCCGTCCGCTCATCCGGGACAGGTATACAAAAGCTGAGCTGCATTCCTGTCTTTGCCTGGATGGACTTTCACATGCACCTTTAGAATCTACCTACCTACTATAGTAGTGTCCATGACGAGCCGTAGTCACCTTCCAGACGTCACGAAGACCAATTAAACCAATGAAAACCGGGGAGCAAGGTCCGACGTCCGAGACGGGCCACGGTTATCTTATCGGGTGAGTCAGTCCAATTACTTGTGGCCGAAATCGCCCCTCGATTCCGCCCCGCCGGGAACGGGTTACTCGTTCGCATATTTTAAATTCACCTGCTTCCTCTTTCTCCCCCAGACGGTTCCTTTCAACGTTTGGTCAATTGCTCCTGGACTTTTCGCTGCCTGAATCTTTGAGTGCTTTCTCAATTGATTATCGCCAGCATGTGTGGTATCTTCGCGTGTCACCAGTACGTCTTCCTGCCGATCCATGGCCATGCCACATTCCTTGTCCTCCATTTTTCTTGACCCGCGACATCGCTTGGGTTGACTCAACCACTGATCATTTCCACACAGTCACCCCGATGTGCAGGCCTTCAAGCCTACGGCCTTGCGCATGGCCAAGGTGTAAGTCAATTACCTTTTACCTTTCTCTCTTCGCGCCTGCGTGATGTTCGTCTTTCGCTGATTGCCGCTTCTAGCTTGCGCCACCGCGGTCCCGATTGGAGTGAGTCATAGTGCTTTCAAGTGTGACCGACAGCAGTGGCATTTTCTGACCCAAGAATAGGCGGAAGCTGGATCTCCGACAACACCAGTGAGTTGAGCACACCCGCGTCGTCCCTCGTTGCAAACACTAAGTGAAATATAGTCCTCACGCACGAACGCCTGTGTATCGTCGGTGTCGGTATGTTCTTCATCGCCCACCCGTTCTCCGGACCACCTAACAAGGAACCACTCTTCAAGACTCCGGCGCTCAGCCCCTTGTGAACCATGATGGCTCTCTCGCCCTGGCTGTCAACGGCGAGATTTACAACCACCGCATCCTGAGAAAGAACCTCCATGCCGACTACGAGTTCAAGACACACTCTGACTGTGAAGTTGTTATCCCATTGGTAGGTGTGACGAAATCCGGAAGACTTGCTCCATGTCAGATCAGGAGCTGATCAATTCTTCCCAGTACATGGAATATGGCCTGGACGCCCCCAAGCACCTCGACGGCATGTTCTCGTTTGTGCTCTATGACAAGAAGCAAGACAGGGTCATCGCTGCACGTGACCCCATTGGCGTGACCAGCTTCTACATCGGCTGGTCGTCCGAGACTCCCGGTGCTGTGTACTTCGCTTCGGAGCTGAAGTCCCTGCACCCCGTCTGCGACAAGATCCAGGCTTTCCCCCCGGGCCATGTCTTCGACTCCAAGACCGGCGAGTTCACCCGCTACTTCCAGCCCAAGTGGTGGGATGCCGCCAACGTCCCCACTACCCCTATCGACTATAAGGTCATTCGCAAGTCTTTGGAGAAGTCTGTCCGCAAGCGTCTCATGGCTGAGGTCCCTTACGGTGTCCTTCTGTCCGGTGGTCTTGATTCCAGCTTGGTTGCCTCCATTGCTCAGCGCGAGACCTTGCGCATGCAGGACGCCGCCCGCACTGCTCAGGCGCAGGGAGTTTCGTCCGACTTGGTTGGTATCGATGACGAGAACGATCTCTCCACCGTCACCACCTTCCAACAGCTGCACTCTTTCTCCATCGGTCTGCCCGGTGCTCCTGACACCCAGGCTGCCCTCGAGGTTGCCAAGTTCCTCGGAACCAAGCACCACGCCTTTACCTTCACTGTTGAGGACGGTCTCAACGCGCTTTCCGATGTCATCTACCACCTCGAGACCTATGATGTCACCACCATTCGTGCCTCTACCCCTATGTACCTCCTGAGCCGCAAGATCAAGGCTATGGGCGTCAAGATGGTTCTCAGTGGCGAGGGCAGTGATGAGATCTTCGGTGGATACCTGTACTTCCACGCCGCTCCCAACAAGGAGGAATTCCACAAGGAGACTGTCCGTCGTGTCAAGAACTTGCACTTGGCTGACTGCTTGAGAGCGAACAAGTCTACCTCTGCCTGGGGTCTGGAGGCCCGTGTTCCTTTCCTCGACAAGGAATTCCTTGAGACTTGCATGGGTGTCGACCCCGCCGAGAAGATGATCACCAAGGAGCGCATTGAGAAGTACATTCTGCGCAAGGCTTTCGATACCACCGATGAGCCTGATGTCAAGCCTTACCTGCCTGACAACATTTTGTGGCGCCAGAAGGAGCAGTTCAGCGATGGTGTCGGCTACAGCTGGATTGATGGCCTTAAGGATCAGGCCGAGAAGCAGATCACTGATGAGATGATGCAGAACCCCAAGCCCGAGTGGGGAACCGACGTTCCCGACACCAAGGAAGCGTATGTTAAAGCCTTTTGCCCTTTTATTCTATCAGTGATAAGGACGTGTGAGCTGACTTTGGAAAACTAGGTACTGGTACCGCTTGATGTTCGATGAGCACTTCCCCCCCACTTGCGCGGGCACCGTCGAGCGTTGGGTCCCCACATGGTCCAAGCAGACCGACCCCAGTGGAAGGTAAGCATAAGCTGTAGGAGTTGGATGTCAAGCCTTGTTTACTGACTGAATATCCCAGAGCCATTTCCACTCACAATGCCAAGTACGACAACGCTGTTTAAACGAATTTATGCGATCCTATGTAATGTGTGTGGGTTCTCAAAGTTTTTGGGTATAGAAGCATGCATGGAGTGATTTTATCCTGGAGTCAGGCATTGGGACGCAAAAGTAGGAATTGCTTTGCTTATCTTCTCGAACAAACCGTTTTTTTGTAAGAATGGACTGGAGCTGTAGCGTTAAAATCCCCAATGTATCTACTTTTTGGATAGAGTGTAAGGACTGGAAGCTTGATGGAGTGCACTTGAAGATTTCATGGTCAGATTGTACTGTTCAACCATTAGATGCAGACTCCTTGAGAGGAAGAACTGGCTATGAGAGCTATTTTCACTGCAGGGAAGGCCGAGGCAAGAATGGCCATGACAACTCCGCCAGCTCAGCTTGCAGAAGCAGAAGCACGGCCCCAGGCATCGACATCACGGGACTTAGCGGCTTTTACCGGTGCCCAAGCATCCACCAATCAGGGAGTGGTGTTTCTCCCGTGGCTTCCCCATTGTTTGTCTGCTTTGACGATTCAACGACCTCTTCCTGCCTTGTTTCCCCATCGTTTCCCTTTCCCTTCTTCTCCCCCTCGTCACCTCATCCTTTCCCCGTCCACACACCTCCCATAACAAGACCTTCTATTCCTCCACCCACCTCCATTCACAATGTCTGCTCCTGCTGCTTTCTCTGACATCGCCAAGGCGGCCAACGATGTACGCTTTTCTTTTCAGTCGTTCCGATTCTCAAAGACCTCGGACGACAGCATCTCCTAGAAGGGATTTTCGTGCTAATGAACAGCGCAATAGCTCCTTAACAAGGACTTCTACCACGCCAGCGCCGGTGAGTCCCCCGCTGATCTTCGCGCTCTTTCGAGGTCGCCTTTGATGATCTCAAGTGCGCAAATTTGCTGACACCCTGCTTAGCCAGCCTCGAGGTCAAGTCCAAGGCCCCCAATGGCGTCACCTTCAACGTGAAGGGCAAGTCTGCCCACGAGGGTCCCATTGCTGGCTCCGTAAGTTGAACCAACCCATCCCGAAGCACGATGCTTGGATGCTAAACCTCAATTGTGCCAATAGCTCGAGGCCAAGTACGTCGACAAGCCCACCGGTAAAGGCCCCAAATCGCGCAGAAAACTACGCGAACATCCCTTGCGCAAACCTCCCGACCCTCCACCTTCAAGAGTGCCCGACAACAGGCTCACGTTAATGTTTGCGTGTGGCTATGTCCCGTCTAAGCACATCTTCGTCCATCTTATGTCAATGATTACCGAGCATGCGGTAGTGCTAATGTTCCGTCCTCGTTCAGGCCTCACCCTCACCCAGGCGTGGACCACTGCCAACGCCCTCGACACCAAGCTCGAGCTCGACAACAACATCGCCAAGGGCCTCAAGGCTGAGATCCTCACCCAGTACCAGCCCGCTAAGCAGTCCAAGGGCGCTAAGCTCAACCTCCACTTCAAGCAGCCCAACCTCCACGCCCGTGCTTTCTTTGACCTCCTCAACGGTCCCTCCGCCAACTTCGACGCTGTTCTCGGCCACGAGGGCTTCCTCGTCGGTGCTGAGGGTGGCTACGACGTCCAGAAGGCCGCCATCACCAAGTACTCCGCTGCCGTCGGCTACAGCGTGCCCCAGTACTCTGCTGCCATCACCGCTGGCAACAACCTGACCGTCTTCTCTGCCAGCTACTACCACCGCGTCAACGAGCAGGTTGAGGCTGGTGCCAAGGCCACCTGGGACTCCAAGACCGGCAACTCCGTTGGCCTCGAGGTCGCCAGCAAGTACCGCCTTGACCCCTCTTCCTTCGCCAAGGTATGTTCCTGATATGCGCATGTCAAACGTGATAAGGTTTAACCTGTTCGACTGTGATCATAGGCCAAGATCAACGACCGTGGTGTTGCCGCTCTCGCCTACAACGTTCTCCTCCGCCCTGGTGTCACCCTTGGCCTTGGTGCTTCTTTCGATACCCAGAACCTTAACCAGGCTGCCCACAAGGTTGGCGCCAGCTTCACCTTTGAGGCTTAGATGAGCTACCCTAGTTAGCATCTGTCCGCACGCAGATTCTAGCGTCTGACTTAGCCGGATACATTGATTCTTGGAAGCCTTTAAGAGTAGAAACTTGATTGCTTTCTTATGGTCTTTGGATGGGCTATTGGTTCGCGCAGGATTGGTTTTGTGAGTGGGCGTGGGTTCTTATGGATGTCTAGTTATTAATCATGTATCGTATCTACCGACGATAAGTGTATATCAAGTCTACATTTCCCTTTGTTCATTATATGTACATGCTGCATGATATCAATCGATCAAGTCTGTCGCCTGGATCCAATGCCAACCAAGGTAACCACCGAACTCCTGTGTGATGTGTATCTTTCTACCCGAGACATTTGACGACAATACATTCATGCACCCATAGACGTGATCACCCTATACAAACACACCTTATCACCTCAATTGATCTTTCTGTTTACTTGCTTTCTCACGTGGCCATTGAAACCAGCCGGCCACTGTTGCCGCCCCGACCAAGATCCCACAAACCGCAGCGAATCGCATGGCGGCTCCCCAGGGGCTCCCAATGTACTGTTCCTTCAAGGCAGCTTCCATCGCCTTCTGCCTCCGCTCTTTCCGCCGAATATCTTCCGCCGATTGAGTCTTATAGTGACCCCTAGCATTGAAATGATGAACGGTATTCCTGTGAATAAACGCAGTGGGATCCTCATCATTGGCGGCAGTGGAGGATGACTGGCCCGCAGCATCACCACCACCACCACCAGACCCGGCCCCGGGGCCCGGGGCCGTCCTTCCCGTGCGCCCATAGCCCCCATGCGCGTAGAAACTGGGCGGTGGGCCTCGGAACTGCCCGCGGCGATTGCTCAACCCACTGGCGGGGCGGGACCCGGCGTACGAGGCGCCCTTGGTGTGGAGGTTGGCCCCGGCGCCGTGGCTGCTGTGGCTGCTGTAGCTGCCCATGGGATGTTGGCCCGCCGTGGCGGTGGACCGCGTGCTCTGGTACTGGGCGTAGATGCCGTGGTCGCGGTCGTAGGCGGCGCGCTTGTTGGGCTGGCTGAGCACGTTGTAGGCGGATGAGATGCGGGCGAAGCGCGAGGAGGCGGTCGGGTCGTCGCGGTTGCGGTCCGGGTGGTGGCGCATGGAGAGAGTGTAGAATTGTCTTTTGTTTTTGAGGGGGTGGTGGTTAGACTTTTTTTTGGGGGGGTTGGTTTTGAGGAAACGTACTTCTTAATCTCGCCTTGGGAGGCGGTTATTGGTATGTCGAGGACCTCGTAGTAGGTTGGTTCGCGGGCGGAGGCGTGATGGTGGGTGGTTGTGGAGAAAGAGGAGGTTTGTGGTGATGGTACATGTCTTGGAGGCCGGAGGAAGAAGCGTGCACGCGGGTGCGATGTGTAGATGTGAGTGAATGTCGCAGCTGATGCTGTTCGGGGTCGCGGGTTACAGCGGCATTGACGGTGGATGATGGGGGTGATGATGGAGGATGCGGTCCTCAGATGAGGGTGTGACATTTCCCCGCAGATAATGGTCGTTGCATGTAACGATGTATGAGTTGCGAGTTCAACGAAGCCAATCACTCAAGGACAATTGGAGAGCGAGGGAGAGCGAGGACAGTTATACGATGTGTTCGGGGTGGAGGTTGTTGTTGAGGGGACGAAAATCCGCCCCGTTCTTCGGGGAGCGAGCGTCATCGGGTGGCTTATCTGATCGAAGCTAGTCCAGGACTAAATCTTAGGTAACTGCAGTATATCCCCCGGTTTATGTGTGGTAGGGCTGGATTCCAGGAAACACAAGGGCCGCTCGTCTCTGCATCTGGACTTACTGACCCTAGTTGCTGCATGGATGTTGGGTTACTCCAGATCCTTGGCCAAGTGTCTACTGGCTGATACTGTCATGGCTTCTTCTTCCGTACCTAGCCTTTGAGAGCTGGGCCCTTGACATTTCACAGCGAGGTGGACCTCCGGATGACTTGCGACGCTGGTCATGAGCCGTGGTTGAAGTGCTCTAAGATATTCTTTGTAGATTAGAACTTGGGTGTCTTGCCAATTGATGCGACCGAAGTTCATGCTTCGAGCACTTACCTTGGGCTGGGCTCTGTTGACCCTATTTACTATAGTGTTGATGCCTTGCTGAATGGATCTGCTATAGTTATCCAACAAATTTTCAAGCCTCAGGTCGGAGATATGAGATCGGTTCTATACATAGCAACATCAATCCTCACCTTCCAGTTGTCATGCATATACACGGGGCGAATTGGCTGCCCTGACCAGATGACTACAAACAGTACTCTGGAGCAGTAGTACGTAGATCGTTCGCCAGTTGGTGCATCGCCGAGTTTGCTGTCAAATCATCCGTGAATCTGAGTAAAGTCTTGGCACCGACCGTCTTTTCCCCGTCGCCTCCGCCGCCGAAGTTCAATTTCCCCTCTCTTTTTCCTACTCTCTCTTTCCCAAGTCATACCACACCCGGTTTCTTTCCAGCTTTTTCAACATGGCTGCCCAGGCTAGTGAAAAGCTGCAGAAGCTCGACCGTAAGTGACGATTCCCACTTTTTTCCCGATCCATGTCTCCTCGTCCCGACATGTGACTGATAAGATTTCCCCGCGCCACTAGTCAACGGTCAGAGCGGCGATGCGAAGGTCGACGCTCCCGCCGCTGGTCAGGTTGGAACCGGAGAGGCGGAGGATGATTCCGACGACGATGAAGTCGAGGATAACAACGCTGGCGCTGAAGGCGCAGCTAATGGAGGTACGCCCTCCCCGCTTATCCCCGGACAACCTAAATCTCAAGACTTTCCATACTAAGAAGGCAAACTTTCTAACTGCAGCCGCCAAGAAAAAGAAGAAGCGCAAGTCCAAGAAGAAGAAGAAGGGTGGCGCCAAGGTCCAGAGCTCTCCGCCGCGCGTTCCGATCTCGACTTTGTTCCCGAACAACCAGTTCCCCGAAGGAGAGATTGTCGAGTATCAGAATGAAAACTCCTACCGCACCACCAACGAGGAGAAGCGCTACCTCGACCGCATGAACAATGACTTCCTCCAGGAGTACCGCCAGGGTGCTGAAGTGCACCGCCAGGTCCGTCAGTATGCGCAGAAGAACATCAAGCCCGGCCAGACTCTGACGGAAATCGCCGAGGGCATCGAGGACGCTGTTCGGGCTCTGACTGGCCACCAGGGCCTGGAGGAGGGTGACAACATCAAGGGTGGTATGGGTTTCCCTTGTGGTCTGAGTCTGAACCACTGTGCCGCCCACTATACACCCAACGCGGGCAACAAGATGGTGTTGCAGGAGAGCGACGTCATGAAGGTCGATTTCGGAGCTCACATCAACGGACGGATTGTCGACAGCGCCTTCACCGTTGCCTTTGATCCTGTCTATGACCCTCTTCTGGCGGCTGTCAAGGACGCCACCAACACTGGTATTCGGGTATGACTTCAGTGCCCCGGATGGTTTCCCCCACACATTGAACTAATGACTTCTGGGTTAATAGGAAGCCGGTATTGACGTTCGCATGAGTGACATCGGTGCCGCTATTCAGGAAGTCATGGAGAGTTACGAATGCGAAATCAACGGAACTATGCACCCCGTTAAATGTATTCGAAACCTCAACGGTCACAACATTGACCAACACATCATCCACGGTGGGAAGAGCGTTCCCATTGTGAAGGGCGGAGATCAGACCAAGATGGAGGAGGGTGAAGTCTTCGCCATCGAAACCTTTGGAAGTACCGGAAAGGGTTATGTGCACGAGGATGTGAGTGCTTCGTATCCCCAAGTCGATCTACATGCTTACTGACGACTGCGGCCTAGATGGAAACCTCTCACTACGCTCTGGTCCCTAACGCTGCTCCGGTGCCTTTGCGTCTTTCTTCTGCCAAGAATCTGTTGAACGTTATCAACAAGAATTTTGGAACTCTTCCCTTCTGTCGTCGGTACCTCGACCGGTTGGGCCAAGACAAGTACCTCCTCGGGGTAGGCATTTCGACAGCATTTCGACAGCATTTCGATATCGGACGAGTGCTAACATACTTCACAGTTGAACAACCTGGTGCAGTCGGGCATTGTCCAGGATTACCCCCCGCTTTGCGATATTAAGGGCTCTTACACTGCCCAGTACGAACATGTATGTTCTCACTATAGCGTTGCTAGTATCCCTTGCATCCGCGCTGACCTTCTCATAGACCATCGTCCTCCGACCTAATGTAAAGGAGGTGATCAGTCGCGGAGACGACTACTAAGATGGCTCTTTTTCCGTCTATGAACTTTTGCCACAGCATGCGACATGTTTGCTCCCATAGCATATATAGAAAACACAGAACAGGGTTTTGTAGGAAAAGAATGAATTGTACCTGCGTTTTTCAGGGTCCTCATTGACCTGTATTCCCTCAATTGAGCGATGGATGTTCTTGTAAACAACAACAACAACAACAACAACAAGAGAGCTGGATCAAACCATAAGTCGGGATGCGGGTAGCCCCACGTGGAAAGCGAGTGCTCCGAACCGTCCTCTCAGCTGCCTGCTTAATCAGATCACGTTTGTTTCCACCTTGCACCCTCCTTACTTCTTTGTCTCCCTCCTTCTTTTTCCATTCATGGCGCCCAGTAGCCATTAGATCAACCTCTCTTTTCCTCTGTCCCCTCCCCAATTGCCGATCTGTTCACTATGTCCTCCTCTGTTGTCGAAGCGGCCACGGCTGGAACTTCGCCGCATCTCCGCGTCTCCGCGGCCAAGAGCCAGGATCCCCAGGTCACGGCACAGGATGCTCAGCCCTCCGGGAGGATCGCGCCTCCAGAGAAATCGGCTGTCGAGGATCGTTTTTTCTGGACCTATACGGAAGAGCCCCACCGATCGAGGCGATTGGCTATCATCAAAGCCCATCCAGAGGTGCGTCGTGCCCATTCCAATATCCCTGCCGGACTGTCAATGCTAACAGCTCTCGTTTCTGCATTTAGGTTACCAAGCTCTGTGGACCGGAGCCATTGACCAAATATGTCGTTCTGGGAGTCGTTTCTCTTCAAATCCTCTGCGCCTATCTTCTCCGCAATACCTCCATGCTGTCCTGGACATTCTTCGCAACGGCATACGTGATTGGGGCCACTTCCAACCAGAACCTCTTCCTCGCCATCCATGAGATCTCACACAATCTCGCCTTCCGGTCCGCCATGGCAAACAGACTACTGGCGATCTTCGCCAATCTTCCAATTGGCTTGCCATACAGTGCTGCCTTCAGGGTATGTGGCTACATCGAACCCCAACGTCCCCCGCACGCTCGTGACGGGCGTGTGGCGACGTGACCATATACAGGAATTGCTAACCTGAAACTGCATCGTGTTCCCACAGCCTTACCACCTCACGCATCACAAGTCCCTCGGCGTGACTGGTCTGGACACCGATCTTCCCACCGCCGTGGAAGCCTTCTTCCTGGATTCGCTCCTGGGCAAGGCATTCTTCTGCACCTTCCAGATCTTCTTCTACGCCGTCCGGCCCATGTTCATCTACAGCCCGCCCTTCACCTCCATCCACCTCCTCAACCTCGCCGTCCAGCTCTCCTTCGACTACGCCCTTGTCCAGATCTGCGGCGGCTCCATCCAACCCGTCCTCTACCTGCTCATGAGCTCGTTCCTCGCCGGCTCCCTCCACCCCTGCGCCGGCCACTTCATCGCGGAGCACTACTTCTTCTCCCAGGTCTCGCACGGCACCGAGTCCCTCCAGGCGCTCCAGAACCCGAAGGAGGAGCAGAAGTCCCCGGCGCCGCATCCGCTGGACTCGCTCCCGCCGCCGGAGACATACTCCTACTACGGGCCCCTCAATTTCTTCACCTACAACGTCGGCCTGCACAACGAGCACCACGACTTCCCCGCGATCCCGTGGACCCGACTGCACGAACTCCACCGCATCGCCAGGGAGTTCTACGAGCCCCTGCCCTGCCACCACAGCTGGGTGTGGGTGATCTGGACGTTCATCTTGGATAAGAACGTGGGCATGTGGTGTCGCGTCAAGCGAGCGCAGGGGGGGCGTCTCGTCGGTGGCGGAGGTGGCAATGGGCGGGGTGGAGAGGGCATCTCGGCTTCCTCGGCGGCTGGTCCGCAGGAATCCGGCGATGGATGGAAGGAAAGCGAGATCCAGAACTGATTTTCTCGGCTCTCCCTATCTAACCCACCCTCGTCATGTCATTGTATACATACGCCGCCTTTTGTGGATTGAGTGATGAACCCCCCCCCCCCCCCCGCCGCCTTGCCCTTCTGAAGTGTACCTAACCCCCCTATGTATACCTACCTACCATTAGACATGACAAGAATTCCCCCGTTTGGTCTTCAGCTCTGGTTTTCTTTCTCCACAGACTTCGTGTGCGGGTCCCCGAGTCATGTTCATGAATAAGATGAGATCTCCTGGGTTGCAACAAGTATCTGTATCATGACTATCGCCAAAAAAGAAAACGCATAGATTAGAAAGTAACCCATAGCTTCAGAGAGAGATTCATTATCATGGAACTAGCAGCTATTGGAACAATATGGGAAGCAGCATGAAAGGAACAAAAGGGTGGGACCCCCGGCATGGATTTATGAACATTCGTGGTGTGGCATCATCGTAATTAGTTCAGTGGGGTTTCACTGCCTGATTCAGGAACGCATGAATTCCGTCTAGAAAAGAAAAAGCTCTCGCTCATCGAACAAGGTGGAGGGCAAAAGACAACGAGAAAAGAAGAAGAAAAAAATGTGGTTGAGGAGAGTCGAAGACCACGGACTCAAAACTTAAAGCCGGGAAGGCTCGCGACTTGATGGCGCATGGGACATCTAATACCAGAAGGTGCCGATGTGGATTGTGTTATCAGTGGCCAGATGTCGCAATCATAGCTTAATGTCGCCGCGACCTTGGACGATAGAATCTCAAGTTTTCATGTCTGGCTGAAACAAGAACTCTGCCTCCATTTACATCGGATCATCAAATGTGAAGAAGTAACAAGACAATGAAAAGAAACAAGTGTGCTTGCTCAAGTAGAAGAAAACGGCATGGGGAGACCGGGCCGAATGAGGACGACCATGAAGAAGAATAAACGGGCTATCACAAAGAATAAATAGTAGCACCGTACCACTGCTGTTGTTGTTAACGCAAAGCAAGGGAATTGGCAGAAGGGAATACAGTTGGTCTGTAAAGAAACATGATGGGTAAAGGGGGTCACAGGAAAGGAAATTCAAAAAGAGTGGACACAAAGAGGAGAGAAAACGTTCAAGACGGTCAGAAGAAGAAGTAGGCGATCAAGAAGCTTAGCAGGCATAGACCCGCCACGATCTGCACGGGAACACCAGCCTCCACGGACTGTGGCTGCTGTTGCGCCAATGGCGCGGGCAGCTTCTCCGCGTCGGTTCCGATCTTTCGCTGTCTCAAACCCTGGTCTGCCAGCTTCTCCTTCAGCGCTGAGATTTGCGAATTGGCCTCGGACAATTGGGCTCTCAAGTCGTCACTCGCACTTGCTACGGGTGACTTTGAAGACGTGGCCGAGCTTTCGATGATCTGCGGGGTGGAGACTTCCCGCTTGGGCTTGTCGCTGAAATCTGGCGGTGGGATGGGTGACGTGTCGTTCGCGCTCTTCGTAAGCACAGCAGCAGGAGTCTGAAAGTTGGGGTTCGGCGGCGAAGTATAGGCAGGAGGCTCTTCATCCGGCACATTCTGCGCAATGTGTAATTAGTCAACGAAGTGAAGAATGAGGAAAGCAAGGGGCTAAAATGACAACTTACGCCTGTCGCCTCGACTCCTTGTTCCTCAACCGGGGCATCCTCGGCGGCCAGCCAGTTCACACGAATTTTGCGCTCCTGGAGTGCTGTCTTGGGGGCTTTCTCAAACTATTGCGCCGATTAGGTGATGCTCTGTACTATGATTGGGGGACCTCCGGGCGGGGAGGGCGGAAAACCAACAATCGAGGTAACATTGGCGAACTCCATATCACGGGTGACCGCGACTGTCTGAACGAGAAACTTGTCCTTGCACTTGGCATCTCCCGCAGGCTCCTCCTTCATGGCCTGCAACAGAACTATCGAAATTGTCAGGGATCAAGCCGAGTAAAGGGGTCTTAAACGGGAGCCCAGTGAGACCGACCTTGGACATCGACATGTTTGCCAGGATCTATCCGACCCGAGTTGGGACGAACGCAGTAGCTGGCTCTCAGTCAGTTGTGATTCAAACGTATCGGTTACTCAGGGGTGTTGAGGAGGGACTGGCCACGTACTGCTTAGGGGCGGTGGTTTTGACCTAGTATACGGGAGCATGTTAGTTTGCTCGTCATTATTTATTCGGATTCGGCTTGGATACATACCTTGAAGACGACAGGCTCCGCACTCTCGTTCTTCAGATGCAACATCTGACACACTTCACGGTTGAAAGGACCTGGAACTAGTGAGCGGGGCGGCCCATGGCTGGTATAGAAGCTCGACCAGGAGAAAGAGAATATTGCTCACGCTGAAAGCCCAACTCCGGGGGATCGAGAATGATAGACATAGCGAATACGCAGCGTAGAAGTCGTTCGAGCGGGAGAAGGGGGTTGCGCGGATAAGGAGTGGTGTAGGTACCAAGGAACGGCTGAACAGGGCGGCGGGAGAGTCTTCCTGTCTACAGGAGGGAGAGCGCTAGAGTGACAAAGAGAATCAGCACAAGGTTGGAGTAACTTAGCCAACGGAGTGCGTAGAACTGGCGGGAGAGAACGTGTAAATACCTGACAAAGAGAATATTAAGAAGATAAATATCTGAACAAGGTAGTCACAAGGCGAAGGTCAAGCCAACTCAAGGACGGGGGGGCGAATATATGTTTAGGCGCAATTGAAATCGGGGAAGAGTGAGGAGAGGCTGGAATAGTCCAAGTAAGTTAGTAGTAATGATGAATGTGCTGGACTCGGCATCGCAGCTGCTGGTTGGGCCGGAGGGGCTGACTCAGCATGGCCACGGAGGTCCAGGTCAGGTGATGTCATCAAGGCGTTTGACATCGTGTTTCAGGCATTATTCGTGGCCAGTACCTGCATTCTAGGCAGACAAACTAATCGCTGTACTTTACAGTGTTCAGCCACGGTACATACTGAGTCAAGTCACATACTCAAGCACCGCAATGCTCATGGCCTGTTGCAATCGGACATTTTGGACAGCTACCGGCTCCATCATTTATCAGCCACGCCTGTCTGGATCCATAGATTCGGGATCCACTGCTTGACGTCGTCTAAAAATACTACATACTCCCTACTAATTGACCTACACCTGATACTGAGTTCTAGCTTGGTTCCCAATTGCCCACTCTCATATCTCGTCCTGTCAGTCGAGAAAGGCCAATATCTTGCATGCATTGTTGATCTTCCACCACCCCGCAAAGGACAATATAGTCCAGCCGATCGCACGCGACGGGTTCACCACGCCCTGATCCTTCAGGCATGAGCATCTCTGGAATGCGCGGTCTCACCTTAATACGGCATCGGCTCTCGAACCTTACAGCCCAAGGTAACGAGGAACGGCCCCGTTAGAGGTGAGTGGTCTTCTGATGACAATCAGCTACACACACCGATTCTTTTCGGGCCTGTTATGAAGCATGACTATTGGTTTGGGGCGACTCACCGCTAGATATCATGAGACGATCTACAGAGTACCTAGTACTACCGGCGACAACGTGTACTCGGCTAAGGCGCAGCTGGTAGGCAGGACTACGACTCTTGCGCTCGGCCCAGCAGTCAAACGTGGTCGAGGAGACATCGACAAAGCCAAAGAAGCCGAAGGCTCTGATTTGAGAAAAGAGTCCGCCCAACTGTCTCGGAGTACCGGTCCAGGATCCAGGTCTGATGAAATAAGCCACAATACTCTGGTGTCAACAGCGTGTTCTAACTGGATGGGACTTCGAACGGGATTCGACCTGCTTCGAATGACCAACCTTGGGACATCTTTATCCTATGTTCGCAGAACATGCACATAAGTGGTTCATTGAGTAGTCAACTTCGCAGAAGATCTACTACTCAATAGTACTCTCTCATCGACTGTAATGATAAGTCATTGCGGCTTTTCTTGCTCTCTTCGCAGGCGAGAGTGATCTTGACAGGAATCCGAGGATCCTTTAGAGCAGACGATCGGTCAGATCAGCGTCTTGACACTCTTTTGGCCGAGCGGATACGCTCATCAGATCTATAGAAGTAGAATTCTCACGCAGGTTGCGTAGACTGCAGTTGTACCACAAGGAGAAAGGCCAAAAATCACCAAGACTTGCTGGCTCCTTGACAAGCAATATGGGTGTTCCTTTGAGGTTCGAACCATCTATAGCCAAAGACTATCGACTGACGGAGCCCAGACCGTGGGCCTAGGAACGAAGCCGGGACTGGCTCAACTTTCGAGCTTAGCTGGCGGGTCATCCCGCATTTGATTGATTGTTCCTCCGCTCCGCTCTCGAGCTTGTCGGTACGTCACCCGCACCCTCAGTGTTGACCTCCCCTCATCCACCTCATCCACCTTTTGAACCGAAACCTTGCATTTCGTTGCTTCTCCTTCTCGCTGTATTGGGTGGGATTAACCCTCGTGATACATTTCCAACTGCCTGTCGCTCTGCCCAGCCTAAACCCCCGCCTCCATTACCCCGCCTTTGGGTCTCCCTCTCGCTACATTCGAATTTATCGCTTCGATCAGCAATAATCGCACCCACCCCGTGCGACCATGGCCTCCGACCTAGACCAGCTCATTGAGATGGGCTTTGACAAGGAACGAGCACAGCTTGCTGTCGCCAAAGGCACCGGACGTACGATTTTTCCACATCTGGCCCTCTGCTGCCGCCGACTGCTGACGTGCTTCATTTTTCACTACTGCAGTGCAGGGTGCTCTAGAATGGCTCGAAAAAAATCAAGACAAATCGCTCGACGAGATCAAGGAAGACGAGGAGGCTGAAGGTCCTGCACTCGCGCCGGGTGAAGAGGCTCGCAGTCTAGTCTGCAACGAGTGTGGAAAGAAATTCCGAAGCCACGCCCAAGCTGAATTTCACGCCTCGAAATCTCAACATACTGACTTCTCGGAGTCAACGGAGGAGCTTGCGCCACTGACTGACGAGCAACGGCAAGCTAGACTTCAGGAGCTCAGAGAGAGGCTAGCCGCCAAGCGAGCGGTGCAGTCAGAGCAGGATAAGGTTGACCAGAAGAGGAACGAGGTACGCGGACTACTGTCCTTGCCAGACTTATGATTCAAACTAACCAGGCCCCAGGAAATCCGGCGGAAGGCTAACAAGGATTCACAAGACGTCAAGGAGGAGCTGGAGAGGAAACAGAGGCTGAAGGAGGCAGAACAAAAGAAGAAGGACAAACTGGCAGAGATCGAAGCTAAACAGCGGGTCAAGGCCAGGATTGAGGCGGACAAGCAAGAGCGCCGCCTCCGGGCCGAGCGAGAGAAAGCCGAGCGAGCTGGCGTAGCGCCTCCTGCGCAACCGGCCCCGGCCCCAGCAGCCACGACATCTGGCCCGGTAGCCTCAAAGCCTGCATCAGCCTACACGGAAACTCGTCTGCGGTTCCAAACGCCCAAAGGCAATATCATGAAGACGGTTCCAGTGACAAGCACTCTGTTTGAAGTGGCCGCAGCTCTCAAGCAGGAGGATGGAGTCGAAGTGCAGAGCTTCGTTCAGAACTTCCCTCGCAAAGTTTTCAATGCGGAGTTCTTTGGCGAATCCCTGAAGGATCTGGGGCTTATCCCGAGCGCAAGTCTTGTGATTCAGTGATTTGATGAATTTCATTCTGATTTATCTTCTCTCGCTACCTAAATACTCTGATAGAAACATACGTTGAAGAGAGGAGAGGCATGTGGAATCAAATGACGGCAAAGTGATAGTAATCTGGCTGCATCGGAGTGTTAGAATGGCAAAGCGGAAGGCTGCCTAATGCTGCCTGCCTCTATAATTAATCGACATTTCTTCTCCTTCGATACCAAACCGAACAAGCGGCTACGTTGATTCAATTCGACCACGCTGCAAGCTGTTGAACCTTCTCTGTTCAGTAACATTTGCCCACTGTCAATCAGTAATTGATAGCATATGATTGTTGGCATTAATTGACACCTTCCATTGTTATCTGCCTTGCGATTATCATCACGTGACATCGCGATAAAGCCGTGTCGCCCTCCGTCGCGCCTCGACACGTCGGGGCAAACAGCATCATTTGAACCTTTCCATCAGTCATTACAGGCTTAACAGATGACTGTTGCTCGATGAAGTACCTCAGTAACGTGCTTATCAGAACTTAACTTTGCCATGCCCGCGTAAGTGTTCTTATACCTGTCAAGCCGCAGCGAAGCCAACACTGACCGCGCGTCTCTAGTGTTGGCGACCAGCACCGGGGCGGCCCAGCGACCATCACCATGCCCAATTCCAGCGGGAGTCTCTCCGCCAACCCATTCGAAGAACCACAACGACGTATCAGCGAATACACCGCGCAGGAGATCGCGACCCTGCAAGCCCGTCTCGACAAGAAGCTGGGACCCGAATATATCTCGTCGAGGCCTGGTGCTGCGGGACAGCGCGTACATTATCTGTCGGCTGACAAATGTATCAATCTTGCGAACGAGGTCTTCGGGTTCAACGGATGGTCGAGCTCGATTCAGAACATTCAGATCGACTTTGTATGCCGCTCTTCAGAATTTTCTCCTGGCCACAGGTGTTGTCTCAGGTCAATTACTAATCCGCTCCGATCAATAGGTCGAAGAGAGTCAAAACACCGGTAAAATCAGCCTGGGTCTCTCGGTGATAGTGAGAGTCACCTTGAAGGATGGCACTTATCATGAGGTATGCCCTTGGAAATGGCAATGTATCAGTCAAAGAACGGGTTCTAATACCAGGAGCGATTATCAGGACATTGGGTACGGCCACATCGAGAATTGCAAGGGCAAGGCAGCTGCCTTCGAAAAGGCAAAGAAAGAAGGCACCACAGATGCGCTCAAGCGTGCGCTGCGGAACTTCGGTAATGTCCTGGGCAACTGTATCTACGACAAGGATTATGTTTCAAAGGTCACCAAAGTGAAAGCTGCGCCGGTATGCGATGGCCCCTCACGAAGCAAACCTCGCCTCTGCTGACATTCTTCTTCGACTTCAGGCCAGATGGGATGTTGATGAGCTACATCGTCATCCAGACTTTGTGCCTATCAAGAAAGAACCTGTGCACCCCAAACCTTCACCAGAAGACGATGATCTACCGCCGCGTCCAGCGGCGATCGCAAAGCGGCCCAACTTTGATGATTCAATGGCCTTTGACGGCGATGGCGAGTTTGGAAGTACGCAGCCATCACGCTCAATCACCTACCCAAAAGCCGATCACTGACATTATCGCGCGCTAGGTGATCTCTTTGACGAAGCTGATTTCGGCGTCGCCGAGACCGGCAACCCAGACGAGGTTGTGCTAGGACCAGAATCACAGCGAGCGCAGCAACCACCAACGCCACTCAACACTCATCAGCGACCTTTTCAAAACAACAACAACAACAACAACAACAACAATAACAACTACCGGGGACCCGTCAGACCGAACTCGGCGATGGTAACGCCATCGAAGCCTCCAGCCCCCAGACAGTACCCTGCTCCGCAGCCGTTCAACGGGCGCCCCAATCCCCCCGCAACTGGCGATCAGCAGAGGCCCGTGCCCCCTACAGGGCCCCGACCAAACTTCCAGAATGGAAGAATGATCCCCCCTTCATCCGTGCCCACAGCAACATCACCAGCACCGGCACCGGCACCAGCAACAGCATCCGGCACCACAGGCGGTAACAACAGCACAATGTCCGTCTCCATCAAACGCGAACCTGGCGCCCCGTCGACGACAACGACAGGTATCCCCGAATCCCTTCCGCCGGGGACCCCATCCGCCTCGTTCTTCTCCGCGCGCGCCGTCGATCTTCTCCGCGACAACCCGCACGGCGGGATATCCGCCGCGGCGCCGGCCTTCGACCCGCACGCGGAGAGTCCGTCCATCCGCAAGACCGCCGGCTTCGACCACAGCACTAGCAAGCCTATTTCCAAACCCATGCTACCAGGGGGCAACAACGCCTCGCCCGCGGCCGGTGGCAACCCCGTGGCGGCGGCGCGGGACTTCATCAACCCGTCGCAGGACATGCACCGGAAGATTGGGGCGCCCGGGAGCAATAACGTCGGCAGCCCCATGATGAATCGAGGCCCGTCGACGTCGTCCTATCGACCCCTGACCCGTCCGAACCTCGATCCTCGGAACATTGGGGCCGCAGCGCCGCCGAACCGTCCACTCCCCGGCGGCAGCGGGCCGGTGGCTCAGAATGTCAACGGGAAACGCCCGCCCTTGTCGGATATGACGAATGCTCAGGTCTCGGGCGGCAGCGGGTCTGCTCCGGGAGCTGGGGTCATGGATCCGAAAAGACCGCGGGTGAATCAAAGCGGAACGCCTCAAGTTCCACCCCAGCAGCAGCAGCAACCGCAGCAACCGCCACAGCAACAACACCAGCCGTAGCAGTAGCAGTGGTTCCTTTTCTATGTACTCTATAGATAGAGGACAAATTCTTTAATGACACGCGATTATTACTCGGACTAGGCAAACTTTATGAATATTGGCGTTACAGGGGATGGGAATGGTCACAGGAATGAAATGACTGGTTTGTTTGATGAAATCTGCTCACTGGCCAGTTTGCTTTGGATTTACAAACAGAATAACCTTTCTAGCCCTTCCATAAAGGCTTTGCACATCACTAGAAAATAGACAAATAAGAGACTGATGTAAGATGTGGCAGCATCGAAACAAATGTAGCTTGCGTGTTCACCATCAAAAGCTTTGTTGGGGGGGGGGGGGAGTTAAGAAAGACAAGGAGATCATGCGGATAGACCTCAGCGCCACTTTATGCACGCATGAGGTGAGTGTCAATCGGCTAACGGTACAGACCTTATGTAGTGATGGTGTGGTTGCGAGAAGCTCAGCGTAGAGGCTTGTCGAGGGCAGGCGTCGCATACCTGGAGCCATCCAGTCCTCTCAAGGGAGTCCGAGATGCTAGGGACCTGTTCTCTGATATTCTGGGGGCGTGCATAGATTTCTGTAGTGCAGGGGAGGCTGAGATCGCGTTCGTCTGCGAAGGAAGTGGAGATGTCAAACTCGGTTTGACGGGAGTAGAAGCCGGAGTTATTGGACCGAATCGCCCTTCAAATGCTGGAATCTTCACATCCTCCAAGACGGAAGCTGGAGCAAGTGCGAACATAAGCAATACTGCCCGAGACTCGAAGAATAAGGAATAAGAACTTACCGTTGCCAGGCCGATTACCAGACCTCCCGGGGAGTAGATGCTCGCCGTACAAATGGACAGCCTTAGAGATACAAGACTCCTGAAGCTCCTGCACAGTGGTTACTGGTTCAGCTGTGCTGCTTACTGGGGCGTAAAGCTTGTTTGGTTCAAATGGCGGCGCAGTGCCCTTAAGGCGCGTCTGGAGAACAGGACGGTGGGTCTGTGACTTATGTGCAAGGGGTGTCAAGGGATCTTCCACACCCAAGGCTGCATTAAACGTCACATCAGCTGCGAGCACCAAGACCTTCTCAAGTGGGATATGAGCATGAGCTTCATGGTTCGCCTGACATGTATGACAATTGTGGTAATCGGGCTTGGGCTCGGGTTTGGGCTCGGACCTGAGCTCTTCTCTTCCTCTCTCGAACATCGGGTTGGAATATCGGCGCCCTGCTTGGGACAGAGAGAAAGTGTCCAGATCTCTCAGAAGCTCTTCGAGTTTGCTGTCAACCGCCTGCTTCTCCTCGGGGGTCATATTTTCGGTAGTGAACATAACTTGATCTAAAAGAGCTCGTGTGGTATCGTGAGACTTGCTCGGTGTTGTTGAGGCCTCAGTAGAGGTTGAGTCTGTTTGGGCATGAGACCGTGTAATGCCCTGCCGAAATATCAAGCCCTCTAGATCTTGACAGGAAGGGCTCATTACAGCTGTAGCAGCACCATCCTGTTCAGCCAAATCCTCCTCGGGTGAAGGAGAACCATCAAGATCAAGAAGCTCGCCACAAGCCACCGCCGGAGATGCTTTTTTCTCGTTTCCTTCAGCTACAAGGTTCTGGAGTGGTTTGGTCTTCTGGGGCGTGACTGGGACATCTGCGTTCGGTTTGAAAGTTGGCTCGCTAGGAGGCAATTTGACGACCACCTTGTTTACTGAAATTGTCTCCATTGCAGTGCCTTGCTTTTCTGGAACCCGATTGGCTTTGTTACCCGGTTGACATGGAGGCTTGCCATGAGCCTTGACTGCTAGCTTATTAGGCAGAGGCCCCTCATCCCGCTGTAATGGCGCAGTTGAGGGTTTGGACAACTGCGGATTCAGAGTCGGGCGAGTTTGTGCAGTAGCCTGCAATTGCACAGACGTGTTGTTAGACCTCACTATGTGTTCCTTGCTCAAATTGGAAGCAGCAGGAACATTTTTCATTGTCGCTGTGACAGGAGGCACAGTGCCCTTGGGTGGTGTCTGGTTCGCCTTAAGCGTCGCAGTCGACTGTGTCTGTCTTGGGTTTTTCATGGCGTCAGAAGCCGAAACCACTTTCTGTGGGCTGACTTGAGTTGTGGTGATTGTGGAAGAAGGTGTCCTTTTGCTTGAATCCCTCGCTCTGTCAGGTTCCGGAAATGATGGCATTTTGAGAGGTTGTTGACTCAACGTGTTATATGCCGTAGACGGGGGCCTTTGAGCAGGAGCTCGAGGCTCTTGAGCTTGAGGAGTAAGCGACTTTCCGGGAGGTAATTGACCCAGGGCTCTAGTCACGGTAGGAGACCGTTTGCTTGGGCCATGATCTACTGCAAGAGCAGGTTGCGTGAGGCGAGATAAGACTTGGCTTGGTATTTCCTTCGCAGGAGGCAATTGGCTGGGATTCGGACTACTACCGTTAGACATTTCCAGTGCAACAGTGGAGTTTATGCGAGCAGTCTTCGCGTTGACTAGACCCTGAACAGCAGCCATAAATTCTTCAGGGGCGCTGATTTTCGTGGAATAGTCACCCCTGGAGACAGGAGTCAGATGGCTTTTGAGGCAAAAAAAAAAGGTAGCTTACATGGGTCTTCGAACTTTGGTTAGTGGCTTAGGGATCGGCTTTCGAGCACCTAGCGAAGGTAAATGAGCAATGAAGACGGGTTTGGATAGGAGTAAACCTCACGAGTCTGCTTTTGATCTATTTTAGAAGCATGATTGCCGGATTTCGAGACACCTCCTTGACCGAGAACTCTATTTCGTGCATCAGCTTCCGATGGTAATATGGGTTTTGGTGAGCTGACTTACTTCGATACGCTTGGCTTCCTCTGACGACCTCGAGTCCCTGCTACGCCACCACCACGCCCACGACTCATGCCTCCCCTGATTGGAGCAAAGTCATGTGGCCTCGAATGCAACAAAGTGGCAAGCCCAAGACGATGACTCTGGCCATCAAGCAGACTGTCAAGATTCTCAAGGTCTCCAGTATCACCTATTGTCTTGTGGATATCTGTGAAATCGAATCAGAGAGAACCAGAAATACAGACCGGGCGAGAAGCACTGGAGTATGCACTTACTCGACCAATCCGCGAGCTGGGCCTTGTTCTTCTGCGCCATGAGCTGGGCTTCGGTTCCAGGCTGGTTGGACTCTCTGCTTGCTTCTATGGTTTCCATTCTCACATTGAGCACTCGTCGTGGGCCATCTTTGGTTGAAATGATTTCTCGTCTGGCCGTGCCGAGGTCATCCTAGAAGGAGGTGAGCTACGTTAGTAGCTGCAGACAGTTAAACAAAAGATAGAGGTAGAAGTCCTTAGAAACACACAACCTACCATTTGGAGCCTCTTCAGGCGTTCAGCGGCATTCTGATCCATGGTTTATGACGGGTTAAGATCCCCAGATGGGCTTCAGAGAGAGACAAAGAGATACTGTGAGGGTGCTAGGTGTCAGGAAAATAGAAGCAAGGTAGCGACAGTGGACAAAAGGATATATCTGAGAACAAGTCCAGGTAATCGACACACTTGAACCAGCTAAAGCAACGTGCAGCAGTTGTTGACGAAGTAGAAGTGAAGAGGTGGAAAGGGAAAAGGGAAAGCATGAGACCTGCACTTCATACATTCAACTCTACCGAGTTCAGGAAACAGAGCCAGTCCCTCCTCTTAGAAGTAGTTTGAATGATGAAGTAGTATCGAGAAGGGTGAAATTGGAACACATGCGAAAAGAGATGATGAAGAGGACAGTGGTGGGGTCAGAAGGCAGGGAGTAGAAATAGGGAGCGGAAACTGTCAATTGCGTTACCATGCAAACGCGCACAACATCACAGATACAGGCTAGCAAATTGACATTCACCTCTAGAACCCAGACCATGTAGCAAGCTGCCTCCTTGGTCCCTCTCGCTGCCTCCACTGATCTTGATCATGAATCAGAGACTGTTTCTAGGAGAAAATCAGTATGTGAAAGATGATAGTATACTGAAAGACCATATTGTCCCTACACAAAATCTGGATATCTGTGTGTCCCTCCCAGAAGAGAGTTTGCTTGACTTGAGTCCATGGAGCTCCTTCTCAGAGCCCTGGACAGAATGATTCACGTTGATCATACACTTCTCTATGTACATAATTTGTGAATGAGGATTGAATAAAGTCTATCAGTTATACGACATCAGTGAAGAAAAAACAAGGTTGCAAGATCTAGTTCCCCTCATAGTACCTTGCCTAGGAAGCGCAGGTACCTGCACCACCTTCGTCTACAAATATGGCGAAGCTAGTTAGCAGGATGCATGTTGTGAGGCGGGTGAGCAGTGAACGTACTACTTATCATTTTCGCAACAGCTTGCAGCAGACTAACTGCCATCACGACTACCCCGAAAACAATGCATAGATAAGCTGGTATCTTAGCTTTCCGAGAGGCATTGCTCAGCTTGATGTAGCATAAGGGAGGGAAAATATAGGCCAGTGCTGCTGCGCTCGTTGCACCGATCAACTCGAAGACTGCCCCCAAGTCACAAGTGATCAGAGCCATAGCAACCGCAGTAACAACAAGCGCAGAGGTAAAGATTAAGTGCCGATTCATGTTGAAGGGTTCATCGGGGAAGTAATAGGTCGTCATGACCGATCGACATACGAATGCCTCCAATGGAAGAGTTGTGAGCATGTTCAAGCCGAAGCATCTAGCAAAAGTCAGCCCAAAGATACCTCAATATATTGAGGCGTGAAGACCTTACAGTCGTGCTATATTGATCAGAATGTTGTCTGATGGGAAATTGTTGAGTACATTGCCTTGTGTCTGCGAGCCAAAGAATAGAAACCCGGAAACACCCATGGCTAGGCAGGTCAGAAGCGAGACTGCTGTAGAGTAATGTGTCACTTTCGCGAAGCGGTCTAGTGTCGGCTTTTTTAATGAGCCATAGATAAGGAGGCTGTTATGGTCTTCCAAGCTTTTAGTAACAGTGTAATGTGGCCTGGGTGACATGACCTACGGCAAACAAATGCTGTGGACCGTTAGTACAGTGATACAACTTGAATCTGGAACGCGATCGTACCGAATGATATCACCCCAACAGCCTGAAAAAAGCCTGAATTGACAAACAGCAGACTTTTCACATCGCCGCGCGACTCGGAGGGCACTCTGAAGCCCTGGGTGATGACAGCAACCACGATGATGACCATGCTGATCAAGGCTAATGCAGACGCTTTCGCTAACTATGAACTTGTGAGTCTCCGAGTGCTGCAAAAGCATTTTATGTCGAACCTTGGCAATGTCCCTGTACAAAGACAGCGGGTATGAGATCCCTAGGACCAGAAGCACGATGATGGCCCGTCTGTCAGTCAAGAGCCACAAGAATGACATATCTCTTAGCGAAGGAAACAAGGCTCCTAAGACGTGAGGTATCGTATCTCCGACAATGATGCAGAACGCGACCATGCCACCAAAAGCGAAAGCCCACTGCGCAACGGAGATGGCGATAAGTCCGCTTCTGCCAAAGCAATGCTGCATGGTTGCCTGGAACGAGTCCGCCCCGCTCAACTTGGAGTTGACCACTATAAGTCGAATCGTCCAGTCTACTGCGACTGTCAGTCCGACGAGGAGCACCAGCCCCATCACCAAACCTGCCTGGCGAAGTGCGTAAGGTTGTCCTATTATGCCTGCTCCAATGATACTGTTGGCCATATTCATGAAAGCCATGCGCATCCCGCTCCTTGGGCGAGCACTTTCCAGGTGTTCTTCCGGGAAGAATTCATCGGACGTTGCGAGCGTGACACTGGGGGCCTCGATATCCGTCAACAAAGGGACCATCTGGCGCCGCTGGCCGTCGCCGTGGCCGTAGTCCTCTTCTTCGAGCCATGAGATATCGTCTGAGTCGCGGGTGTGATGTTCCGAGCGACGCTCTTCGTCCGTTTCCTCCTCCAGGTCGAAGCGAACGCGGTTCATGGTACGAGGGGTGCGTCGTTGTCCTTCTGGGACCGGCTGGGATATAGAGGAGTGATGCGGCTGTCCGCTGCTGCGGGTCGCGCTGGCGGGATTCGCATGGTTTGGTGTTTCGTGGTCCTCGACGGGTGAAAGAAGGGGCTGGGAATCCAGCCCATTGGGGCTATCTTTGTCCGCCAGGAAATGATCTTCACCTTCATCCCTGGGCATCGCTGATTGTTGGACTCCTGAATTCGAGATTCCTCGATGCGGAGGATGTCTAGGGGCCAGATAATCAAAGCCCAGGCACGTGATGCTCTTATCGATAAGCAGCTCTAAAAATAAAAATGATTGTCAACAAGCTACGTAGCTGGGCATTGAGGGACTATCTAGTTGTGTAAAAAGATTATTGGCCGACTTCATCCAATCTTGCGTAGTAATCTGTAACATCTAGAGTTTGCAAGAAATGAGAATGCTTGCTTGAGCGGTGCTCACGTGGTACAAAAGGATTTCTCACCTTTAGCTGCCAGTGTATAGTCTCGATTCACTTATCGTATTGGTGCCTCGGCAGCCAAGTCTATGATGTAACTCGTAGCACAGGAACAAAGCTATGGATTATCTTTCAATGTTTATCTGGAATAAGACGCAATTACAGAGTACAGAACGTGTCACCTCGTGGCTTCGCAGGCAATAAATATACACTTCTTGACAGTCGGGTGTTGCTGTACTGAGACACTAACATATTTTGCCAGTGTTTGCTTGATTTCACCATGCATCTACTACTAGTATCCTCGTCAAACCATCAACTATGTATAAGCTTAAACCAAAGCGATATTCAATCACTAATTCATTTCACATCAGACAAACCAATATGGAAGCAGCAATAGACCTAGGCAGAGCCCGATTCCATTCCTCGGACTCAAACTTGACTCTCACAATGGATGTCTCCGTACTCATACAGTCCCACAGGAGACCCCAAAGTGCCGCACGCGACATGCCTCTCATACAGCTGATGACCATGGGAAGGGTCTGGGTTGCTGAAGCACCAGAGATCAAACTGAATTTATTCATCAATGCTCATAACGTACCCAATGTCACCGTCTCCACTTTTGTGCCAGTTGTGGGGGAGATGCTCTGCAATGCAAAGGTATTCGCAGTAACATACTCCTCGCAAGGTGAATCTAATACGTTGCTAACACAACTTTCGCTCTCAGCTCTGGAAAGAGTTAGGCTTGGTTATCATGTACAAAAGCTGCGAATATCTCGATCAGAAACCCCCTCCGAGCTTTCAATTAGCCTTCGGAATCGGAAGGTCGCTCACACAGCCTGCTCTCTTGCCAACAATGAGCCGCAGAATTCCAAAGGCTTTGCAGGCACCAGGGAAGCTCATCCCTCCGCCATACATTGAGTCTATTAGGATTTCTACGATCAGTATAAACCTAGATTTTATTTCCACATACCCCCAAATGCAGCTATATCCTCCCGCGCTGATCATGGCGAGTTACGGGGAAATGGGATGGAAAGCACCTGATCCTGAATTCGAAGACCTGGGGCTAGAGTTTACCTTCCAGTCCTCACAGCTCGACGAAAGGGACATTCCCGAGCTCTCCAATACCAGAGATTTCACAGAAGAGCTTGCAGATATGGATAACAGCCCGAATAGCACCATCCTCTCGAGCCCTCCCACAGAGCCAGCAGTCAGAAGCTCCAACGCCAACCACCAAGCACTACATCATCTGCTCCGCGCAGGCATGAGCTACTTATTCGTTAGCAACAGTCCTGAGCAAGGACAAACAGAGCCGGAACCAGAGACTGAACAGCTGCAAAGTCTTCCAAGAATGGCGCCGTCGGTCTTTAGCCTTGGATACAATGAAGTAATCTGCTTTCCTGAGGTATTTATAGACTTAAGCTTACTGACTATGTGGCAGGCAATGAGCCAGCGTTCGCTGCTTATCGCATCGCTCGTCAAGTCCCTGACATCCATGTTGAAGCTGCCCATGAACCATTCTTTGCAACAGATTGTCCACAGTGTGAAGGCTGCGTACATACCGGACGAATTCTCATTGACAGCAGTAGATACGGGGGACATTCTTCACGCGGCATATTGGGCTCTTGCTCAAAAGCAACTTTACAAAGCAGAAGCCTCACAAAAGCTGAGCCGAATGGACGGGTTTGAGCCTACAATTCTGGACGAATCACAAGCTTATGAATCCCTCCTAATGACTGATCCAATGGAAGAGATACCGAACTGGTTCAACCACGCTACTACCGAAGAGATGGACAGGAGTTCTGAGTACTACTTGGGCACTGAGGATCATTTCGAGCTTGATTGCACATCCCAGACGAATCCTCTCTTATCGGTTGATGAGAACTATACACGTTCTGTCAATGAGAGCTTATGGGGCCCAATACATGATAGTCAAACAACAGCAATGGGTTTACTAGAACTAGACAGCGCGAGTCAACTGCCTTGTCCAGAATTTCCAGCACTCATATCCGACATTGAAGATCTAGAAGAAGGCGATGACATGATGTATGAGATTCTATGATCTCAGCTACTGAGTTTGCACATCCTTGGGAATCGCTCATGGTATGGTATGGTATGGTATATGTTTGTCAACAGACCAATAAAACAACCAAAGACACAGAAATAACTATTGAAGAGGTACTCAGAACGAGTGGCTTAGATATATTAGCTCGCAATTGTCCATCAATGTGGATTACTGTCTACATCAGTGTACTATGACCTACAACTAGTCTTTTTCCAGGTCTATTGTCTTTCTGCGATTCGCTTCTCTTGATCTCTGACAAGAATTTTTGACACACATCCCTGCCATTCACCCATCCACAATATCGAAATCACATGGGCAACTAAATGATGACTGGGTATATCGTGCATCCAATCCTTCCAGAAGCAGTCAAATAGATGGAGCTCCTAGACATCGCGGAGCGCTGCGGAGTTTGGGCAGCTCTCGCTCTGGATACACAAGCCTTTCATTGATGGCCAGTGTTTAATCAAAAGAGTAGACTTTGATGCAGAACGAGGGGCGACAAGAGATAGGTGGTGTGATTCATCAGCCAGCTTCATGGCCAAGACAGCAACGGCATTGACCTAGCTGAGAATCTTCCGTTGTTAGACCACCGACTACTCGCAGTGGCAGACATACCACAGATGATAAGAAAGAATGGCTTGGGTTCCATCGGCGTAGGATTATCAAGTCACGTATATTTTGCCTAGAGAGGGCAGAAGCCGACCCGAGGATGAGGCCTGATCCTTGGCATTCTCTTCGGATAATGCCTTCGGCTGACTGGCAGACTGCCACATTTGCACGCCAGAGACTTGTGCCAGGCTAGAGAGCTGGGAGGCATCGAATGCCATGATGAATTTCTGATCCAGCGGCCTTGACTTAGGGAACGAATATGTCTGATACTCAGCAAGCACATCTTCGATGCGCCAACCTTGAATCTTGCGGAAGCAGGCGACCACACAGCCGGTACGATGCTGCACCGATGCCGGTTAGCCAAGCTCGTACAAAACACCAAGTAAGCCTTACTTTTCCCTTGTTGCAGTGGACAAGGACAGGGTGATTGGCCTTGTTGAGCAAGACTTCCAACACCTGACAGATAACGTAGTCTGGAGACTTGACTGCAGGATCCTTGTTGGGTTCGACAAGGATACGAATGTGCACGATCCCAATTTCCTTGAGAAAGCTCATGTGCTCTGGTGTATAAGGCTCGTCTACCAAAGTGCTGAGGGGTGGTGAGCAGGGATCAGATACACGAGTGGCCCACATACACTATAGTCCGAAGGCCAAGCTTTTTGAGCGCAGAGAAGCTCCACGGTTGGGGGAAAGCAGATCGATAGACACCTTTAACAATCTCTCCAAAATTCTCAGGGTACTCTGACGGCATGAACTCATTTCCCATCGAGGATTCCCTTCGACGCACTGATTCTGTGAAGGTTAGTGCAACTTGAACAATGCCGATAGGAGTGCGAACATGACCGATGTTCCCACAAAGAAGACAAACGACCCACCATAAACACTCTGGAGAGAACTGTTGGAGCTTTGAGCAGTTAACGGAGACGTCATTGTGATAGAATGCCGGTGCCCTGCCGCTGTCTGGCTCGAGGTCCTGAAAAACGAATGGATAAGAGAGCTCAGGAGGCACTATGAATTGATTCAATGCCAACGAAGAGCTGGGGTTGAGAGAGAGAGAGAGAGAGAGAGATAGACGGATCCAATGCACCACGAAAGAAGTATTCTCATGCAAGATCTGATTAGACAGCGACGGCGCGTGATCTGCGAAGAGAGAGGTTGGTGATAGACTCGAAGGGTCTAACCCACAAGCTTCAAACCAACATGATTTTAGAAAGGGAAGACATAGTGACCGATATGGGGGACCGAGTTTAGGCAGGTCAGAAGGCTAGGTCTGAAGTCTCGAGGTTGTTGTTCTTGGGAGAGTTGGAGAAGAAGAAGACTACATTCACGACGAAAGGTAAACAAGGAAAGAGACAAGAGTAAGGGTGGTGGTGCGACTACAGGTACAGTACAGGGCGGTGAGCCAGGAAAAACCAAAATCTCATCAGAAAGTAAGCCGACGCAAGTCATACCAAGCAACCTTCCATAAGGCAAGGCACATGTGGCAAAACACCAAGTGCTGTGCAGTGAATGTACGTACATGAACTAGTTGAGGTCTGAGGGGCAAAAATTAAAGTATGTTGGCCTCACTCCCAAGTTGCCTGTTCCTCCGGGCACAAAACTGTATGGGAAAGTGACATGCCTCATATTTATCTATCATGCCACCGCAAGAGAAGTTCGGCAATAGTCAGCTAATTAGACACCCACTGAGCTGATCTAGTATCCCGTCAGACAGCTCTGACTGGTGTTGAATCAAACGAGGACCGTGGTTCGCAGTGGTAGTGGTCCGAACACCACCGATCCAGGGTTTCATAATGAGGCAACAAAGAATCAGGGACGGTACTCTTATCAACACAAGTCATGTAGGTTTCATTGATAATATTTTCGCGCAAACTGCCTCGTCTCATCTATTTCTATGGGTCTAGTACTGATGGTTTGCGGAACGGTGTTTTCTCCCGAGTCGGGCAACGGCCTGGTAAGGTATCTTGAACAGAATTCATGGCGTATCAACACCAAGCCCAAACATCCTGGTTGAGTTGTTCCATGCGCTGCTCATTTAATTAATATTTGATCAGTATTCCATGTCACACTGGAAAGCGAGAAGAGGGTGATAGAAAGAAAATGGACTTACGCTTCACAGACTTCCTCGACAGTAATGCCCTTTACCTTGGCGATGACATGGGCAACGTGGGCAATTGCTGCGGGCTCGTTGCGACCCTTTACCATAAGCCCCTTCTGCCATTTCTCCTTCTTCACAGCCTTGGGAAGTGGAGGGGCTCCTTCGAGGTACTTTGCAGATGCATGAGAGGGACGGATTTCACACTGAACAGTAAATGTCAATCAAAGGGCTGAGAAATCCAAGGTAACACACATACCCAAGGACCATCGGTCTCAATCTGAAGCCGTTCAAGTGGTAGGGCCTTGACCACTTCCAGGTTCTCCTCCGTTTTCAGACTACAGCCATTAACACCAACATCGAGACCTAAGGCAACCATTCGGTTCATCTCGTCAAGTGTTCCAGTAAAACTGTGCACGAGGCCTTTCTTCGGAAGCTTTTCAAGACGAGGCGCCAGAAGACGTTCGAAATCTTCGCTGGCTGCTCTGGAATGAAGAAAAAGAGGCAGCTGAACCTCCACCGCCAAATCCAACTGCGCTTCGAAATATTTCAGCTGGGGCTCCTTTGCGCTTAAGAAAAGTCGATCATAATCTAGACCAAATTCGCCAAACGCAACAGCTTGCCCCGATGCTTTGGCCTCTAGCACTAGCGTTCTAAGCTCCTCTAGCATTTTTGCAGGTCCGCCAGGATATTCATCAAAAAGTTTCGCCTGGCAAGGGTGAACCCCAACCGTAGCATAGCAGAACCCCGCTGAAGAGGCCGTTAGGTTGCGTACATATGAGAGTATCTTGGGACGAACGTACGATACTTCTGTGCAATCTCTAAAGCCCGCCGCGACTCCTCCAAGTCGGAGCCTGTCACCATGAATTTCTCGCAACCCACATCTTGAGCTCGCTGAACAATGTCATCCATGTCATTGTCGTGAACTTGCTTCCCATGGTAATTACCCATGAAGACAGGGTCACTGAGGTTGATTCCGATCTAAAGTGGCCATCAGCGAGTGCACAATATACAGGGACATCTTTTGCATATTCGCAATTAGATAACCGACATCCACATATCGGATTGGTTTGCTTGAGTCGCCCATGTTTGCTGAAGTCGAGAATCTGTTGTTGTATGCAATATCTCTTCTCTTCAATGCACAAGAGCTGGAGATAGTATGCAAATTTGTGGTAAATCCACCAGATGCTGCTGCATTTTGAGTCAGTCTTACGACTCCATCTTTAAGGTCCTGGGACAGACCGGGAATGAGTCAGACCTCGACCGCATTTATGCAGCAAGGCTATCATCCCGAGTCAGGACTGGGACATACCTGATTTGCTATAATTATTTCGGTGTGGCTGACAGAGACGTGGTCGCCAGCAATCTATAGCGGCAGCGGTGCTAGCTCTTATTGCTCCGAGGCTCCAAAGATTTTTACTGATCCCAGATAATCTGAACAGATTGCCTACACCAAGATCATGCATCGATAAATCCAGAACACTGCTCTTTGTTACAGCCACAGATGCTCTGATATGGCCAGCAGTGACTCGGCGGTTCAATTTGCGGTATCAGGGACTTTTTGTGCCTGACTTATTTGACCGGTAAGCACCTCTAGGTAGACGAGAAACCGGGTAAAGCGTAGGTGCCTCAGGCTAGAGCCAATCGTCTGGTCAGTCACGTGGCATATCATACTACTATGTAGTATGTAGCTCCTACGAGAGCACCCTGCCTTGACGCACTGTTTCAACTTTACCTAATACATGTATCACACTAACTTATCATTCAATACGTCATGTTTGAAATGGCCAGGGGACGCCATGGCTCAATCCCTGTCCAGGGCAAAGGGTCAAGTCTCGTCATAGCTAGGAACTCAAAGCCATCTGTCGACCTACGCCTTAACCTAGTAAATTCGACCAAACAACAGACCCTGAAGAAGAAAATATCTTCTTGGAAACATTAGTACTGTTCAAGGAGAACCCATACCTGGTCACTAGGGCCGTCAAATCATGAGAAAGCCATGGATGCTGACGTAGTTTGTAGCCTGAGGTTTCCACCGAAAAGCGGAACGATCTCCGCATGCCGGAGCAGCCCTCCCTCGGCCATGCTCCGTGCTTGTTGGTCGTCCCTGGATCTATACGTAGCACTCCACAACAGATAAGAAATGCACACTACGAGGACAGTGCCGACATCGTCACTCCTCACGATAGCTACCTCCTCAATGTCTAAGAGGCACGATTAATCATGGTCATTCTAACTTAATGTTAAACCTGGTCGATAGTGCAGACGGTAGGAACAGATTGACGACCGTGGCTGATCATTCTTTCTCGGCTTTTGCTAGGCGGTTTCCCATGCGGCTAAGGGTACTCCGCATTGATGTTACCCCGAACCATGCGGATCTACCGATCTGGGGATTTATTACTACTGATGGGGTCCCTTCCCTGGATGTTCACCCTTCGTTTATCCTCAGAAAACTTGAGTTGCAGAAATATTGGAATGCAACACAGTGGTAGTTACAACCACCACACTCTTCTCCCTGATCATTGGCGCCCGGCTATCCAGCATATCAGTTTGTGGCTTTCTGTCTGGTCTTGCTTGACGGTGAGGAGAAAATGGCGGTCAAGAAACTCTTGTCTACAGAGCAGATCTCTCAGCACAGTTCACCCGATAACTGCTGGATTGTTGTTGACAACCAAGTATGGGACATGACAGATTTCTTAGAAGAGCACCCAGGCGGCCCAACAGGTAAGTGAGTCCAGAATTGCCGGAATGTTTTGAGGGCTCCCGTAAATGACCGTTCCAACTCTACAGTTATCCTGAAGCACGCGGGTCGTGATGCTACCAAAGCATATTCAGAGGCGCATGCCTCAAGTTTAATCAAGACGAAGCTGCCAGCAGAGAGGCATATGGGTGTCCTGGATGAGTCCACGATCAACGATGAATGGTTGAAGCCACCACCCACTGCCAGCCCGCAGATGGTTCTCCAAAACGAAAAGCCACCATTGCACACCTTGATCAACTCCCATGATTTCGAGGTGGTGGCATCTTCAACAGCCAGCAAGAAAACCTGGGCGTTCTATTCCAGCGCCTCGACGGATCTGATAACACGAAACGCCAACAAATCGTGCTTTGATCGCATCTGGCTTCGGCCACGAGTACTAAGGAATGTGCGGTCTGTGAACACGAGAACCAAGTTCCTGGGGCTTGAGACGAGCCTCCCATTATTCGTTAGTCCGGCGGCCATGGCCAAGCTCATTCACCCAGACGGAGAGCTTGCCATCGCGAGGGCTTGCGAGAGCAAAGAGGTCTTTCAGGGAGTAAGTCAGGTCATCCTTGCCATCTTGTGGCTGCTTTCTAACGAGAGCTACTGTAGGTGTCTAATAACTCATCGTATACTCTCGAGGAGATTCAAGAGGCTGCGCCGTCAGCGCCCCTTTTCTTCCAACTATACGTTAACCGCGACCGGGAGAAGTCAGCTTCGCTTCTCCATCAATGCTCTGCCAATCCGAACGTCAAGGGGATCTTTGTGACCGTCGACGCGGCCTGGCCCGGTAAAAGGGAGGCGGATGAGCGTGTCAAGGCGGACGAGGATCTGACCGTTCCCATGGCACCTTCCAAAGCGAAGAATGACAAGAAGGGCGGCGGTCTCGGCCGTGTCATGGCCGGTTTCATTGATCCAGGTCTGACATGGGAGGACTTGACATGGGTGCGGCAGCATACTCACCTGCCTGTGTGCCTGAAAGGCGTAATGTCTGCCGATGATGCTATCCTCGCCATGGAGGCTGGCCTTGATGGGATTCTTCTGAGCAATCACGGAGGCCGGAATCTAGACACCAGCCCACCGTCCATCATCACTCTGCTCGAACTCCACAAGCGGTGTCCGGAGATCTTCGACAAGATGGAAGTTTACGTTGACAGTGGTATTCGTCGCGGAACGGATATCCTCAAGGCAATCTGTCTGGGAGCAACCGCCGTGGGAATGGGGCGGAGCATGCTTTTCGCCGTCAATTATGGCCAGGAAGGTGTTGAGCATTTGATTGATAGTAAGTATCGCTTGCTGCTCCGCTGGATATGTGACCTGGACGCTGATCTCATTATCTGCAGTAATGAAGGATGAGCTCGAGACTGCAATGCGCAACGTTGGAATTACAAGCCTGGATGAAGCAGGCCCACACCTCGTCAATACAGCAGACATCGACCATCTCGTCCCTAATTCGGCTTCTCACCCATATGCACATAAGGTTGCAAAAGGACGATGCTCGCGACTTTGAAGCTATACTCAGGTCTGCTATGGCTCGGTAATGTCGTGGTACAAGATCCATGTTCTCGTTTCTTAGGTTTGGTGACGGTTTAATGTGAGGCCTAGGATCAACAATGATGATATCTCTTATGCGTTGTCAATGGCCTATTAGCTACGATATATATGATCAGATTTATTATTCCCTCCGCTAAGTTGCTCCATTCGAGGTTCCTACACCGTTCAGCAAGCCACTCTTTACGAGCCGACATAAGCCTCTCCAGGAGCCTGAACAAATACGGCACTTGCTATCTTCGTAGTTTCGAATATTGCGCTACTAGAAACCTCGAATTCCACGCGCATCTCGCAGTAAATCCAGCTTAGGGGAAGCATGCCCGCGTTCATGAGTAATTTGTCAACATGGCTCGAAGCTACTAGGTACCTACCTTCGAAGCAAGTCACTTCGTTCCTGCTCGACCACCCAGGTAACAGTAACACCACTACCATCACCACCAAGCGATCAAGACAATGGTTTTACATTCCATGCCCAAGCCCCAAATCAGCATAACAAGCTAGAGATATTGTGAAAGACAACAATTACCACCGAAAGTACGCCGCAACCCTCTCAAGGAATCCGCATAACAGCTCTCCCATCGATTTCCGAGCGTCCCAGCCGAGCCAGGACATCATCAATGTCATCCAACTCATATGTCTCAATATGCGCCTTCACATCTCCCGCTACAGCCAGCTCCATCAATTCATCCATTTCCTTCGCCGTGCCAGCCGAGTTGCCGACAATCGTGAGCCCTAACAAACGTTTTGAATATCAGTCGCTGCCTAGCTTTCTCCACAAATATTCCCGAAACCTCCCTTCCCTTACCTTTAACAATCATATCAAATGGGGTCGCCGGGAGTCGAAACGGCGCGTTCGGAATACCCACGCACACCAAGACCCCCAGCCTACGAAGCAGGCTCATACTTTGGGCGTACGCCTGCTCGCTGTTGGCGGTGCAGATCACGGCGTGCGCGCCTAGGCCTGACGTCAAGGCCTTGACGCTGTGCTCGATGTCGTCAGTCTTGTAGTCGAGGAAACTGGTGGCTCCGAGGGAGAGGCAGAGCTGTTTTTTCTTTTCGCCGCTGGAAATATCAGGAGGCAGGGGCCTTCATGTCAGCGGGTTTCGTTGGTGTAGTCATCTTCATTTGAGCGAGGAAGGGCTTGTGCATGGTACAGAGGTATTTACCTATCGATCGCGATGACTTTCAGGCCCTTTTTGACGGCGATTTGAATGCCCCTATTGTGGCGAAGGTTCAGCAAATGCTGCCTGTAGTCCGGGTATAGCACGGTGATAGAGCTCACATATGGCCTAATCCGCCGCCTGCCCCGGGGATCACGATCCAGTCGCCCGGTCGAGTCTTCGTCTTCATTATCGAAGAGTACATGGCAATCCCAGCTGACAGGTTATAAAAGGATCGTCAGTGACGCATATTGCAGAAGAACAAAGGCAAGAGAGATAGACATACCACATAGAAGGGGCGCAGCGACGTCTGGCTCCAGGTTCGGAGGGATTATGGTGACATGATTTGCAGGACTGACAATGTATTCTTTCCTCGTATCGATCCGGTCAGCTAGACCACGCGCGTCTGACTGCATTGGGGTTCGTCGGTTTCTCACGCTGAAAAGTCCCCGGAATATTCTTGGACGTGGCATCAGCTCCAGACACATCGTCTCCAGCAAGACACCATAGTGGAAAACCTACCGCTCCCGCGTTCTTTTGGTATGGACACGCCGTGTTATTGATGGCGCATATCTCGCATTTCAAGCAGGTACTGTACAGCCAGCTGTAGACGCCGTGCGTTCGTCGTTAGCTCTCATCACAATCCTAGATATACTGAAGGGCCGATGTGCGAACCGTATCCCTACTCTCCTTCCTAACCAGACTTGCTCGTCAAGCCCACTACCCACTATGCCGCATGCCCAGTCAGCGAACTGATTTGACTGTCTAGAAGCTGATGGCATTGAAAGGAAGTCAAATACTTACCTTTGACCACCTTCCCCACGCCTTCATGGCCCGCCACGTCGGTTAACATGGGCGTCTCCCCGCGCACACTGTGCACATCTGAGTGGCAAACCCCCGAGTATTCCAGCTTCACAAGAATCTGTCCCTCCGTTGGCGATGGCACGGGGTGATCGTGTCGGATTTGGAGGCGCGCGGTAGGGGAGGCCCCGGTTGGGGGAATGAGGGCTGCTGTTTGGCTTGACGGGATGCTCATCGTATTGGATCTGTAGCGCTTTATGTTGTAAAGTATCTTTTCTTGAAATTGGTGAATAATTATCGATGGGTTGTTGCGGGGTATCTCGAATATATAGATTGGAGGTTTTGATGCTTAGTGCGGGGAAGAGAGGAGCTTATCGGATAATGGAAGATATGGTATATGCGGCGCTCGAGCTGTAGTCAGGATATCAGAGTTCTTATACGCTATTTAGAGACTGTTTGTTTCGAATTTTCGGACTTGGTCAGCTAATCTGATTGAGATTGTATGGTAGAGGTGGGTTATCTATGTATCGCTGTGACAATCATCGTCACTGATAGGAGCTAAGATAAGAAGATACCTATGTAGATTCCAACAGTGTGGAGGTGCGCTGAGAAGGGATCCGTATATAATATAATAGGGACTGCTCTCAGAAATTGGCCTGTGCCTACAAGTTCAAGGGCATGGGGCATAAGCCTTGAAAAGGTACAAATAGTGATAGTGATCTGGCTTGTTTTCAAGACCTGGATATCCAGTTTCGCCGAAGGAACACTCTACAAAATGGAATCACAAAACATAGGACTGGTGTCAGTCTATAACTGTGCACAATAGCAGACAGACTAACATTGGCTGGTCCTAAATTCGACTGCGCTAGCTCAAACATCTCACTCAGGAGCTCTATTTCCTTACAACCAAGCCAACGCGGTCATGGTAGAATGAATTAAGGTATTATGCAACGTATAACACATTTCGGAATCAAAAAGGTATAATGTATAAACGACAGCCCTGCCTCGAACGAGAACAATGTTAAAAAGGCGCACAGGCGACGAAAGAAGCTCCTCAACAAAGCTGGCGCGTCCACGTTTCTTGGTGGTTTTCCATCCGAGTTTCGAAGGTGTATCAAAAGCAAATCTATGACATGACTGACTCGCAGCATCGGGCTTATGCGTTCTCCGACTGGAGTGTTTGCTAGGGGCGAGGACGGTTAGTAAATCCGGAAGAAGATAAGAACCAGCAACTTCACTTACAACCAGCCAGTCCATGCCCTCATTCAGGCCTTTGCCGTCAATAGCAGAGCATGCGACAATGCTCCAATTTCTGTCCCGCAGTTCGCCCAACTTCAAAGCCTCAGAGATCTCACCGGCGCCCTTGGCACCCGGCTGGTCCTGCTTATTGGCAAACACCAACAGGGCCGCATCACGAAGCTCCTCCTCATTGAGCATCGCGGCCAGCTCATCCGCAGCCGTGCCGAGTCGTTCAATATCTGTGGAGTCGATGACGAATATGACCGCAGCGGTGTTGGCATAGTAGCACCGCCAGTATGGACGGATTGATGTTTGACCTCCGAGATCCTGTAAGAGGCAAGGGGATCAGCCGAAAGGAACTCTTATTGCCATGACGCTTTGGAACAAGAAAAGTCGCAGTCGCCAGAGATTGTTGTACTCACCCAAACATTGAAGTTCAAATTTCCATACGTCACTGATTCAACGTTGAATCCGATTGTGGGTATCGTCGTGACCACTTCACCAATCTAAGAAAGTCCCGTCAGTCCCCGCGCTAGGGATCTCAAGATAGATCTTGAGCGCACCTTCAGTCGGTAAAGGAGAGTTGTTTTTCCAGCATTGTCCTAAGTGAGCGAAACCGTTAGCCGCGGAGGTGGGAATAGCTACTAAGAGTAGCGTGACGTCTAAAGAACATACGAGCCCAAGGATTAGGATGCGGATCTCTTTCTTTGCCCAGACGAAGGACCAGAGACGTGAAAGCGAACCTCCCATCGCGGCGAAATTTAGATAGGCTGATCTTGAGTTCGGAGGGGGGGGAGTGCAAGGTGTGAGACGGAGGTTGTCTTGTCTGTCTGTCTCTTGTCTTTGCGGCGGGATCAGGGCGTTGGAGCGGTGGCGGAGATGCGGGCGGACACAAACACGACGATCCAGTCGTCCAATCCAAACAACTGCGCCGACCAAGAAGTAAGTTTGTTGCTGCAAGGACAAATCCGGCAGAAGTGGACGATATATTTTTCTAGAAATAACAGATATGACCAAACCTACCGCAACAGCTCGACGAGTGAGGACCAAAAGCTGACTAAATGGTGGTGACCGTCATTGGCTTGCGGTCTCCTGCCGATCGGGCTGGCCCGAGCTCATTAAGTAACTAACATATGGGATTGTTAGTATCGTTCTCCGGATTTCCTTGCCAGTTTATCGCTGGGTCGGTCATTCATCGCTCAATCCCCTCACATCCTCCCTTCCCTGCCTTCCCTGCCCACTCTCTACGTCGCAACCTGATCTCCCTCCATTAGAGTGGGAAGTTGAAAACATACGAATGGGTTTCTCGTAACCACGATAATCCCAATTCCACCATCTCAAGACACATTTCCCGTCATTTAACCTACGTCGCATCGCCGATTGCACAACCAGCCTTTCAATATGGTTGGTAAGAAGTCGGGCAAGGCTCTCCTTCGGGATGAGGGTATGTTTTCCAGTGTTATTCGACTCAACTGCCATCTGATTGATTGAGAACAGGTCTTGAGAGAACCGACAACAATATGGAGCTGTCAAGCTGGCCGCAAATACCTCCCATCAACCAGAAAAACTACTATACGTACGCTATCGCCTATTCCAATACTACTTCAAATTGCAGCCTGGCTGACTATTATCATCCATAGTGATTATCTCAAGCGCGATGATCAGTACCTTGCATTTCGGCTGCAGAACGAGGAGGCGCGGAATCGAATGGCGAAGACAGCTAAAGACCGGGACCGTGCGCTGGCTATGGCCAAGGCGAATGACCTAGGATTACCAGAAGCTGAGGTAGAAGGCGACGGTGATACCAATATGGAGGACGCCGAGGAGACGACTGCCGAGACGGCGGGCTCTAAGGTGATCGTGGTCCACGTCGGAAGCCAGAACCTACGTATCGGACTGGCTAGCGATGCCTTGCCAAAGACCATACCCATGGTGATTGCGCGAAAATCGCCATCCAATGAAGCTGAAGACCACGAAGAGCCATGTCCAAAGCGGCTAAAGATGGACGATGGATCGGATATGGAACCCGAAAAGATGTTCGGTCCTGAGGTTTATCTCCCGCTTTCCTCTAATGGATGATTATCTTGCTGACCATTGCGCTCGGCAATAGTTCGCTTCGCAGTACACGACAATGTCGGCAGAACTTAAGGCCCATATGCGACAAAACAAGCGTAGAACATTGCCAAACTCAAAAGAGATGGTTATCAACTACAATCGGAGGACAGTACCGGAAACCATTTCAGAGCACAATGATCCTATGCGTGTTGAATGGACCGAGCTCTCAGATCCTGCACCTGAGTACATTGTGGGACAAGCAGCTTTAAGAATACCCGATGCGTCCAAGCCCCGGTATAAACTTTACTGGCCAATAAAGCATGGCTGGTGCAACGAGACAGACTACAACAACAAGAGGCTCTTATTTTTGGACATTTCACTCATTCTCGAGGATGCAATCAAATCGCAACTAGGACTCACGAGCAAGAAGGACTGGCCTCAGTACTCATGTGTCTTTGTCATCCCAGACTTGTACGAGAAGTCATACGTCACCCAGGTTCTGGAACTACTCATGCGAGAATTCGCCTTTGCTCGCGTCTGCTTCATTCAGGAGAGCTTAGCAGCCACGTTTGGCGCAGGGTTCACATCTGCCTGTGTGGTTGACATTGGTGCTCAAAAAACTTCGATCTGTTGCGTGGAAGAGGGCATGTGCATCGAAAACTCGCGAGTGAACCTGAAGTACGGTGGTCTCGATGTAACGGAGACATTTGTCAAGATGATGCTTTACGACCATTTCCCTTATGCGGAGATCAACCTTTGGCACAGATATGACTTCTTGTTGGCCGAAGAGCTGAAGAAGAATGTTTGTACGATGAACGAGGCAAGTGTATCCGTGCAGGTCTACGATTTCCACCTTCGAGTCGCCGGCCAAGACACTCGGAAATACACATTCAAGGCATACGATGAAATTCATCTTGCGCCCATGGGCTACTTCCAGCCATCCATATTCAATCACGAGGAGAAGCTCAAGGGCAGGAGAAAACTCATTGCTCGCTCAGTTGATATTTACGACGGACAGCCCAACGACCCAACATCGGCCGCTCAGTCCGAGATTCTGACTGCTATTGCCCCTCCTATCAACCACGGCCAGGTAAATGGTGACGCTCAATCAAATTCGTTGGAGGTGCAGGCTACACCGAGTCGATCCCAACAGATCAATGCTCTTAGCCGTGTACAGGAGCTGGATGCTACGCCCCGATCGTCTGTTGCCGGTTCGCCGGCACCGGAGACGCTAGGTACACCACTTCCCGGCGCAGCTACGCCTGTGCCTGCTGGCCAGGGCCAGAGCGCATTGTCTAACCGTCCGCCCACTGTTGAGGAACGCGATGACATTTTACCAAACTTTCCGCTGGACAGTGCAATTTTAACTTCTATTGCGCATGCGGCTCGTTCCGACGAACGTAAGATGCGAGATTTCCTCGGCGGTATTATGGTCGTGGGAGGCGGAAGCTTGATCAATGGCTTTCACTCATATCTCGAAGAGCGTCTCCAAAACCTTCGACCAGGATTTGCCAAGGAGATCATGATCGGCACTCCTCCCCGAGATCTCGACCCGCAGGTCGTTGTCTGGAAGGGCGCAAGCGTCTTTGGAAAACTGAGTGGAACCAATGATAGCTGGATTGGGCAGCTGGAATATGATCGCTTGGGACATAGGTTGATGGCGTACAAGTGCATGTGGTCTTACTGATTCTCGCATGATGTCTTGATGGCCTTTTGGCATTTTGCTTCATTGAATAATGGTCGGTGTTGGTGGGTATCGGATTACCTATGATACAAATTATAGTCGCTTATTATATCCTTGATTGATATGTATTATTTCCAATTCTTGAATCATTTCAGAAAGAATTTCTCGGTCTGGTTATCATACCATTTTCGCTTTCAATCTCGCACAATCGAACCTGTAGTACCCCGTAGACTGATATAGATTGACCATTCGCTTGCGGAGAAACCACTTTCCGAGGCGTGTGCGTAACTTGCGTATCACGAGCAGTAGGCGGTCACGTAGTGCAGAATGTCTCCAACTCAGACAGGTGAGTTTGTCCTGAATCCTCTAGTGTTGGCCTGTAGTGCACGCATGTCCTCAAAACTTCCTTTTATATGATACCTTAGATACATACTTGTTCGCAATTGTCCTCAGCTATACGGACGTGACCGGAACCGCAAAACTGTGCACCAAGCTTGCAAATTCTTGGAGGGCTTAAAACCCCGACCACCTAGGTAAGTCAAATATGCGACCACCAATGATGAGAGCGCCTGTCAATTGACACGCTCCGACTTTAGAGATCAATTATCTCTATCCAAGCTTAGCAACAACCTATAATAACCGGAAACCAGAGTTTCTCGAAGCTCACAAGGCACAATGTCGAAATCAAAGGACAGTAGCTCCTCGGGGGGCTTTCACCAAGAGTACATCGCATCACTTCGCTATCGCAATGACCTACCTCCGCCGGATATGCCTCCGAAGTTCATGGAGATACCTCATGAGGGCCTCCAGAGATTTCTGACCCCGGGTTTCACGGCCAATCTGGCTCGTCGCGAGGAGCCTAACATCGATGTTGACGCCGAGGGTGGTATGCCCCTCGACTTGGTCGGCATTCCCGGCCTGCATCTGGGCGATGAGAGTGGTGCGTTTGTTGATCCTGTGCGCATAGAGTCTTTGGAGCAATTGCTGACAGCAGTCAACTTACAGCGATCATGGCTCCCGAGAACCCTGAACCCCTTGACCCCGCCGATCTCGCACTTCTCATGACACCGGAACAGTTGAAGAACCCTGCCCCGAAAAACACCAACGTCAGTTTCCTCCGTCGCACACAATACATTTCTGCCGGGCTTCGTGCGCCAGATAGCCCCAAGGTCACGACAGTGCGAACAAAGTCGCGTTCGCTCGACAAAGGCCGGTCACAGGACGACCCTATCTACATCAAGAAGTACCTTCAGAAAGGGTTCGACATCGCGTACCCCAATAGCAAGCATGTTGGCGAAGATACGGCGAGCAGCATCAAGGGTCACACCGCGACGAAGCTCGAACTCGATGCGTGGGCTCATCCAGTGCATCCTGATAACCCTAAATTGAAGCCGGTCGGGTTCTTCCCTCTCCTTCCTGATCTACAAGGATTCCCTGATCCAGGAGGCTTTGTTCAATTTAAGTTCGATAAAACACCTATACAGGAGATATCAAACAAGAGAGACAAGCGCATGGATGTGGCAATTCTACATCCGTCTGCACCGGAGGAGCGCATATGCGAGGAGCACGCGACCAAGTCCGCCCTGCACAAGTCAAATCCTGATTTGTATCCTGACCCCGGTCCCATTCCCTGGGACTACGATTTGTTCTTGCCCGAGAAGAAAGAGATGGCTAAGAGCGTTTCTGCAAGTCTGCAGTTGACCAACCCGGACCGTAATAGTGAAGAGCTGTACACTCATGACGGGCCTGACGGTACCAAATTTCACCGTTACGATCGTGCTCGTACATATGCTACCAGCGCTCAAACTCTCGGTGATAGTCAGAAGCAGCGTGATATAGCCGTGACGCTTTTCGACCCTTCTGAGGTGCGCGGAGGCCAGCGCGATAGCTTGTCTGCGAGACAGATGGCCGCCTACTACTATCCCATTCTTGGAAAGACTCGCTTGAAGCCCGAGAGAGCCCGTACCATTGCGCAGGCGGGTCTCGCGCCCACGCGCCCCAAGACGAAAGAAGACCAAGTTGATCAGATGCAAGTTGTTATCCGCGATCCAGACGAGGCAGAGGCATACAAGCGGGCTCAACACAGACTTGCTATTGACCCGAAGTATTCGAAAAGTATGCCTCCCGCCCCGGAAGAACCCGAGCCGGAAGACACCAAGGATGAGGACGAGTTCGATGCATCTGCTCACCGCGACGCAAGCGCTGAGCGGGAGCCAACTCCTCACGATGCAGATGACGACGAAATGAGCGACGAGTGAACCAGCCAGCGCATCGCTCTTCTCTGCCGCCATTCCTATTCACGTGGGACAGTGGTATCCGTGTCGATCATGCCCTGCTTCTTCCATTATTGGGCGTGATTGCATTTGTTTACATACTCTCTCATCCGTATAATACAAGTCTTTTCTTTGGTTTCTTCACCAAGCATTGCTCTCATCCGCCACGTCAGGTGTTCCCAGCATGTACGAAGCTGACGCATGCACCCTGAACGGCTGAGACAGCGACGAAGTCATGGCAGCAAAATCACAGGCGTTCCGAGGCAGTACGCGTGATCTTGGAGTTTTGAAACATAGCGAAAATTCACTTCAGCTCAATTGGGTTTCTTATCTTGTGCTTAAATCCGCACTCACCTGCATTCCCCAACGCTAGACATCTAGTATCTATTTATGTTCTTAGTTGGAAAATGCTGGCCGATTGGACAACCACACCTTGTATTATGCCGTAAATATCTATTTCTAGTCAATTGAACATGAATCCCGACGTGCTGATCGCTAATCCGTTCAATGTCAATGACTATCAATCCTCGTGATAATACTACACACCGCCTCCCCGCCTGTCCCTCCGCATCCGAGCCCGCATAATTCTGCCGGCTTGAACTTCGCCCACCGCCTCAAAATCCGTCCGTTGTCGGCTTGGCTTCGGCTGTCGCAAAGCCGGCTGTATTCCCTCTCTCCCGAGTCGGGGCTCTTTTCTCTACCGCTCAAGCCTACGATTGCTGCTGAATCTCGGCTCGCTTCACTTTCTCATCAAGACTGCTCAAGGGTTGCTCCCAATTGCACGCAACTCAGACATTAGGCGGGTGTGGTAAGTCAGTTTTGTCGTTCTTCACCCCCCCTCATGCAGTCATCTCCAACCCGCGCGGTTCCACTCCGTTTTCGCGGGGAATGGCAGAAAGAACCGGAACCTTCAGCGAAGGCCATATGCAAAGGCATGGGCTCTCCCAGACGCTCTTATACGCTGCGGGAGAGACACTTCGTCACAATTGCAGAATTGAAGCACTTGGTTCATTGCGTCCCCATACTTGTTATAACTGTCCCAGCCCTCGCTGGAAGTTTCTCCATCTACCATACACATCTCAAAGTCATCTATTTCCTGAACCTCCTGCTCCTCCCTTGCCTGCAATTCTCCTTTCTACCCCTCCTCAGTATAGCATGATTACGGCATAGAAAGCTCTTACCTACCAGCATCGAACACGCCACTTGAACCCATACAACTAACACCCTGCCCACCACAATTCCAGCATAGGTCATCAACCTTTTTCACCTAAAACCGACTTCTTCCCGGTGAAGAACGCAACACTTGAAACAGATCACCGCCGTACTTACACCGTTCCCCCGGAACCAACGCACAATGGCCGCCAACGCAGTCTGGAGGGCCTCGCGAGCCCGCGCACTCCAACCCTCTCTGCGCCTCCAGTGCGCCGCGTCCCCCGTTCCCTCCTCGATGCTCTATCGCCGCTCCCCGTCATTCCCCACGCAACTCACGGGTCATATGCGATTTGCCTCGTCGGGCGAGAAGGCCACGGAGGCTGCGGCCGAGGCCGCCGAAGCGACTGTGAAGGAGAACGCAGCCAAGGCTGCGGAGACTGCGGAGACGGTGGCAAAGGAGGCACCCAAGAAGGCCGGTCGTGGGCTCAAGAGGACGGTCATTGGGACGACGTTGGCGCTGGGTGCGCTCGTCGGGTATGTGTACGCCACGGATACTCGGGCCAGCGTGCATCGGTACGGTATGGTTCCGTTGGTGAGGGCCTTGTTCCCCGATGCGGAGGATGCGCATCACTTCGGCGTGGATATCTTGAAGACGCTCTACAAGTACGGTCTTAATCCCAGAGAACGGGGCGATCCAGATGGAGATGGGTCGTTGGTGACGGAGGTAAGGCTGGGCTTCTCTTTTACCTAGATGGGGTGAGGAGGAGGGTCTATGAATGACATCTTGCTGATTTGGCTCGCTTTCGCTAGGTCTTCGGATATACCCTTTCCAACCCAATTGGTATCTCTGGCGGACTCGACAAGCACGCTGACATCCCGGATCCGCTGTTCGAAATCGGGCCTGCAATTGTCGAGGTCGGTGGAACGACCCCTCTGCCGCAGGATGGTAATCCCCGTCCTCGCGTGTTCCGTGTCGTCTCCCAGAACGGCATGATCAACCGCTACGGCCTCAACTCCAAGGGTGCCGACCACATGGCTGCCGTGCTTGAGCAGCGTGTCCAGGATTTCGCCTACGCTAATGGATTTGGGGAACATGAGCTGGCTGAGAAGCGTGTGCTCAATGGCGAGGCCGGCGTGCCTCCAGGCAGTCTGCGACCCGGCAAGCTTCTTGCTGTGCAGGTGGCTAAGAACAAGGTCACCCCTGATAACGACATCGAAGCCATCAAGCGTGACTACGTGTATTGCGTGGACCGCGTCGCCAAGTACGCTGACATCCTGGTTGTGAACGTCTCGAGTCCCAACACCCCCGGTCTGCGTGACCTCCAGGCGACTGCTCCCCTGACGGCCATCCTGAAGGCCGTTGTCGGAGCTGCCAAGAGCATTGACCGCACCACCAAGCCCTATGTCATGGTGAAGGTTAGCCCCGACGAGGATGCAGACGAGCAGGTCTCTGGCATCTGCCAGGCTGTCTGGAGTTCTGGTGTGGACGGTGTAATCGTCGGTAACACCACCAACCGTCGTCCTGATGCTCTCCCCAAGGGATTCACCCTACCAGCTGCGGAGCAAGAGACCTTGAAAGAGACGGGAGGTTATTCCGGACCCCAACTGTTCGACCGTACCGTCGCGCTTGTCGCTCGTTACCGGGCGATGCTCGATGCCACTCCCAACACCCCGGAGCTGACAGGAGCCGCCGCGGAGGCCACCACGACCGCGGCCCAGGTCGAGCCTGACACAGAGAATACGCCCTCGGTGGAGCCTCCGAAACCCTCGGACAGTCTGGCCCGAAAGGTCATTTTCGCTTCTGGCGGTGTCACCAACGGCCAGCAGGCGCAAGCAGTTCTGGACGCCGGAGCCTCGGTTGCAATGATGTACACGGCTATCACTTACGGTGGTATGGGAACGGTCACCCGCGTGAAGCAGGAGATGCGCGAGGGCAAGAAGCAGCAATAGATTTGTTGGGAGTGTTTAAAAAGAGGGGATCCGAGTATTTATTTTTGTGGGTGTCCATAGGAGGAGATCCCGGTCCCGCTGTCGCTGTAAATAGAATAAAAGTATCTGTTAGACTATCAGTAGCCCCACCGAGCCTCCTAGCCGGGGCGGAGATGAAGCATGAAGCATGAAGCATGAAAGACCGAGGCACTAACTTAACGATGCACCACTTCCGCAATAAGCAGTCGGGGAAGGTCAGGTGCCCCCACGTGTTTTTTTTTTCTTCCCCCGCACGGGACCAACTCCGCGCGGGTCGACGGGAGTCCAGATCCCCGGAAACACCAAGAACAACCATCCCGAGCACGAGTAGAAGAATTGGAGAGATCTGGCAAGCCAAATTGAGCATGCCACTGGGCGTTGTTTCGGCATTGCCCTTTAGAGAATAGCCAGCTTCGAAATGAATAATTCTTGGAGGATTCCACTCGTATCATGTCAGGTCAGGTGTTGACTGGATCTGCCCCAGACTGCCACTGTTCGGCGGCATAATCGCATACCAACCTCCACCATTCTACACACAGGAACCAAACTCCAGTCACTCACGCAGATCAAGCTATCGTCTCCTCGACCTCGCGAACCACCTTGCGAACCCCCTCAATGTCGTGGGCGAATCGCCCCAGGAACATGCCATCGACGGCCTTCCCCAGCCCGCCCGCGCCCCACAGCCCGGGCCCGGCACTTCCCCCATAGAGAATGCGGACCTCCCCCGCGCGGCCGCCCTTCGGGCCACCACCACCAACACCACCACTACTACTCCCACTCCCCATGACCACCGCCTTAATCCCCTCCACTACCGCCGCAATATGATCCACGCCCGCCGGGGCCGGCTTCCCAATCGCCCAGACCGGCTCATAGGCGAAGATAACCGGCGCGTCTGCGGGGATAGCGTCCAGCACCGCGCGCACCTGGGCCTCGCATTCGCGCACCGCGCGCCCCACGGCCTGCGAGGCCACGGGACCCGGGGCGGTGATCTCGCCGATACAGACCAGCGGGATCATGCCGTGGGCGCTCACGGCCGCCGCCTTGCGGCCGGTCTGCGCGTCCGTCTCGCCGAAGAGAGCGCGGCGCTCCGCGTGGCCCAGCTCCACGAGGGAGACGCCCAGCGCGCGCAGGGCGGCCGGCGAGATTTCGCCGGTGTAGGGGCCTTGCGACTCCCAGAAGCAGTCTTGGGCGCCGAGGAGGAATGTCGAAGAGGGGGAGGGGGGTTGGTTTTGTTGGGGTGATGACGCTGCCTCCCACTGCTGGATGATCTCGGCGCAGGGGTAGATGGTCAGGAAGTCGGGGATTAGGGCGAGGAGGAGCTTGGACTTGTGGTGCTCTAGGCGGACGATGTCGTTCTGTGGGGAGAGGAGGGCGCGGCAGTATTCTTGGGTTTGGGCCGGAGTGAAGTACATCTTCAGGGAGATGATGAGAAGCTTGGGGGGTAGTGGGGGATACGACATGGTGGATGATAATGATGATGGTGTTGAGGATGATGATGATGCTGGTAATTGATGATAGTGATGGTGGTGATGGTGGTGATGGGAGATAATGGTTGTGGTGGTGGACGTTCGGTCGAGGTTGCTGTTAGGTCATGGATCGTTCAATGCTACTTCGAGGAACCCGAGGAAGCGATCTACTAGTCCCAATTCGGGAGCTGTTGAGTTTCTGGCTCTGCTGTTACACTTGGATCAAAAAGGGACGTCAGTACAGTCTGCCAGGTGGAGTGGTACTGGTTATCGGAGCGATAGGATCGGATGACGGGGTGGGGTAAAATGCTGCTGGGCAAGGAGGGGCACGGCCGTAGTGCCCATTAGCTCACAGACTACCAGGCCTGGTGCATGTGCTACTTCTGTGTTGCATCTCTAGTTTCAGAGAACTTGAAGCAAACAACATTGAGATCGTGAACCTGTCAGGTTTCTGGCATGTTTGCTTGGACCGGAAGAGCAGGGCAGAGCCAAATTCAGCTGGAGATAAAAAGAAACGCAATTGACATCGCATACCTACTACCTTACTTGCGCTTGGAACCTGAGATGATGTCAACGCACGGTACCGGGACATCTCATGGAGGGATGTAAACTCTCTACTATATGAAACTCCCTCTACTCTGCTAAATCCCGTCCAGAGAATGAAGATGCGAGATTGTGGCACAGCAGAGGGAGGGGTTGATCGACCCTGGTCTTTCCCCCTCCCAGATGGTGGCTTGCAGCATGGCTTGCTTGGACAAAAATGAAAGACGGAAGGAAAGGTACAGGATTACTCGGAATGACTGGGATGGCTCTTTTGCGTACTCCGTACGGTAATACACGGGGAGTGGCAGGAGCTGGGATAACATCAGACTATGTGCATTATAGCAAGTGCTAGGCTGTACTAAACAACAGTAACTTATAGAATAGTAAAAGTAGTCTAGGCACGTTGGCAGCTCCAGTCGATCCGACGTGGGGCGGGGAGTGGAGAATCGACCGTGCAATCCACTTCAAAACCCACTCCCGGAGCCTGGATCAATGAATAGAGGTATCCAGTGCATACGTTAGTTAGTATGTCCAATATTTCGTACCGTACCGGACAGAGTCGACATGTTTGGGCTTGGAAGACACATCACTGCATATGGTAGCATCGGCGCACGTATCATATGCAATCTGCAACATCCCTCTGAAGTGTGGTGGTGTTCCGCCCACCCCATTGGGTGTCATTGTCTGGAAGCTTCTCAAGTTTTGGTCGGCTTCATTAATGAAGCAGAACGATAGCACCATCGACGCACATCGTCTCTCCTGCTGGTTCCGACTTTACCCTGGCCTGTCTTTTCAAGGAAGGGAGACCATGCGTGCTGATAGGGCGAGTAAAAGCCTCGCGTACCTCGAGGAATTCGGATCCGCAGGTCATACTCTTCTGGGTTAACAAATTGTCCTCAAGGCGATCTAACCACGGCAGCCACTGCGGCGTAACCAGGCACCGAGTCTGAGCCTCCCATGTACAAAGGCTATTCGAATAGTTACAATGGAATCAAACAATGTTGGACGAGAGAGACGATCAATCGTCAGCTTCCCGAGAAGCTGGGTTGCGCATCGATGGGTGATAGACTCGATACGTCGATCTGCATCTGCATACCTCAGGTAGTACCGACACTTTGGGGGGCAAGTGTTCCTCGATTCTGCAAGCCACCCAGCAAACCTTTGAAAGAGCAGCGACAGGTGCCAACGACGACTTGGGAATGCATAATGGGTGTAGTTTGTACTTCAGAGGCGGTGTCGAGGAGTCAGTCAAATCGATACAGGCGCTATCCGAGGATGGTTAGTCTGCTCTGCACTGGAAAGGATTGGTAATTACAAACTCAAGACAAGAGAGAGCATTGCGATCCAAACATCAAATCATTCATCAATTTCACATTTGGTGCCGGTGCCTGGTTGAGGGTCTCGTCCAGAGCCGAGGACAATTGTTGATACTAGGTAAACTGAAGGATGAACGGATCCATCGTGGATCTTTGGTTCCCCGCGACGCCGGGTTTCCGCATTTGGACGATTACTTTGGTATGAGGAGGGAACAATTAAGGTGCATTAATCCCTTTCCCCGGCGGATAAGTTCATGACGCCATGGTGGACCTGCCAGAACCAAACATTCAAATCAACCTGCATTCCATCGAAACAGGCTTCTTTGGAACGATCGCTGCTGTGGAGAACCTAAGCGGGGTCTGGAGGTGCGCGCGTCAGATATTGTTCGTACTGCAGTCTTACTGCACTGCAATGTGCTGATTGGAGCTGTGAGCAGTGTCCTCTCCCCTCATCAAACGCCAAAGTTTGGGTTTGGGTCTCAAGAGGCACGCACCCGGGCTCAGCCTGCATTCTGTTCGGGTCCAGCATAATGAAAGCTCGAGGGAGGACTCGGTGGAGGAGGATATAAAGGCTGATTCGATCCCTGTCCCAGACGACATTTTTTTCATCATTGTTCCATCATCCACCCTTATCCTTTATCAGACATATACTCCGCCCTTCCTGTCCGTCTCAGTCGTGAGGGTCCATTATACACTACATTTCACCCGTTAATCGCTTAATACCCATCATGTCTACCGATCTCAAGCCCCTCCGCATCGTTATGGCCTGCGATGAGGCTGGTCAGCCCTACAAGGAGACCCTCAAGGCCGCCTTGGAGAAAAGTTCGTTGGTCGACTCCATCCTCGACGTCGGCGTCAATTCCACTAGCGACAAGACAGCGTACCCTCATCCCGCTGTCGCTGGCGCCAAACTCATCAAGGAGGGTAAGGCAGACCGCGGGCTGTTCATCTGCGGCACTGGTCTCGGTGTCGCTATCTCGGCGAACAAAGTGCCTGGCATTCGTGCTGTGACGGCTCACGACTCTTTCTCCGTCGAGCGCTCGATCCTCAGCAATGATGCGCAGGTGCTCTGCTTCGGCCAGCGCGTCATTGGTATTGAGCTCGCCAAGAAGCTCGCCAACGAGTGGCTGACCTACCGCTTCGACCCCAAGAGCGCCTCCGCCGAGAAGGTCCAGGCTATTTCCGACTACGAGGCCCAACTCTTCAGTCAAGCTGCTGCCGCTCAGTAGACGGTATGAAGCAAGAACAGGCCCTGTGTGAATCACAACTTATCATCCGGCAACGACCCGAACTCTCCTCTACCCATCGGAGGATGCGAAGATCATTCGCCTTATCTTCGATAATAATTTTCGAACGAAGCGACCTGGCTGCGGACTGGATCCGGACCAAGTCATTCTTCAACACTTATATAAATACCTCAAAACGAAATTGATGATGACCACTTGATGAATGGAATTAGATTGGCCGGCCAATTGCTCATGTCCTTTCAAGCTCTGGATTAGCAATTACGGTTAAATGAAATACCAACTGAGACTTCGATATGACTGTAGCAGCCCGTAGTTACCATTGTACCTTCTATCCCACCTTTTCGCGCAGCGTTCTTACTTGGACTCCAATCTCCATACATTGCGACTAGTTACCCCATACTTTCGTTCTGCGGCTAATGTGCTGACTCATCTATCATTCTGCGGGGGTCGATCAGCTTCGATTTGCAAACGACAGGAGCAAGTCACGAATACATCAAGGGTCGAGTCTACCTGAGCAACAATGGCGCAAAACCCTCCTGACTGCTTTGGGCTTCTTTTTCCAATGAGGATAGCGCCAGTTCGCGCCTCCCCGATCTATCCAAACCAGCGCCGAAGTGCTTTGATGCCTTGCCGTGAGACATTCTGACTGAGCCTCCTCCGGTCGCGTGTCTTACCATCCAAGCACACCAGCACACCCCCTTTTCGGCCTCCTTTTCCAACACAGTCGCGCTGATACATGAGATAGAAGCATTTTCAGAACTTCTACCGCCAGTCGACCGTCACGCAGGACTGCATTAGCTCCGCACCGAGCAGTGGATCATCACCGGACTGGGCCCCACCAGAAACCGATCGCTCCGCTCAATTACTCATTCACTGGCACCAACAAAAAAAGGGACCAAACACTCTCACGGACACGTTGTTGAGGGCCTCGCAGCAAGCACCTTCTGCTGCCCAATCAATACAAACCCCGACGCTCCCGGATATCTCCTCTTGTTTTCGCACCCAGAATCCCAGATCTGTGTACGGGCGGCACGGTAGCACGACAGCCATGGCCTTCGAACTCAAAGAGAAGGGCAATCAGCTCTACAAGGCGGGCGACTATGCCAGCGCGGAGGAGATGTTTTCGCAAGCGTGAGTCCAGCATCGATGGCACGGGGAGGAAAATCTATAAGGCCCCCCTCCATCTTGCGAGAGTATCCTCGCATGTCCATCCTGCCAAAGACATTTGCCGACTAAAATTCGCCTGGGTCTCCAGGATCCAAAAGAACCCGAAAGAGCCGACGTTCTTCTCCAACCGGGCGATCACCCGCATGAAGCTCGAGAACTGGGCCGGCGTCGAGCAAGACGCGCGCGCCGCGATCGACCTGTACGGCGCAAAGAACCCGGCCAGCCTGAAGAGTCGCTACTATCTGGCGCAGGCCCTGCTGGAACTGCAACGGCCCCAGGAGGCGCACGAGATCGCGACGGAGGCATACCAGGCGAGTCTGGCGGCCAAGAATGTGCAGTCGGAGAATCTGTCCAAGACGGTCCTGCGCGCGAAGCAACAGCTGTGGGCAGCGAAGGAGGCAGCCCGCGTGCGGGAGATGAACGGGACTCTGGCGAGTGTGGAACGGCTGATCGAGGCGGACCTACAGCGAGCGCTGGATGACCTCCAGGGACAGTTGGATCGCGGGGAGATCGGTCAGATTGGGTTCTCGGAGGACCAGAAGGCGCTCCGGGAGGATACGGAGAAGACGCTCCAGGTGTTGCGGGAGACGTTTGCCATTGCGTCGAAGGGGGAGGTTCAGGAAAGGGTGAGTTCCTGGTCGGAACGGTCGTGCCTCAACCGAGGCATTTTGAGGGTATCGAAAGCTGACTCTGTGTGACTACTACCACTCCAACAGGTTGTACCCGATTACCTCATCGACCCGATCACGTTCGAGATCATGCACGATCCGGTGATTACGCCGTCCGGGACCAGCTTCGAGCGTGTTGCAATCACCAAGTACGTGGAACAATCCAAGGCCGACCCGATCACGCGCGTACCCATGACAGCGGATGACCTCCGGCCCAACTATGCTTTGAAAGGGGTGTGCGAGGAGTTCTTGGAGAAGAACGGCTGGGCGGTTGACTGGTAGATTTTGTGCCTCGACATTTGAGTCTTTCTTGAGCGCAGTTTGTCAAGTTACAAATGGGTTGGGCGTTGGTGGATGGATCCGATGCTAGAGTTCTTTTTGTTTTCTATGTTCATATTCCTCATCGTTCCTAGATGCACATAGGCATATATCTGTCATCATTAGAACATCTACAAAACTACTGCTGCTAAACAATGAGCTACCTTAACCTTCTTGACACTAGACAACAAACGAGTAAACAAACGTGATCTCAACAATCCCCTCTTCTCCAAGCAGCCAACCCCACCAAACCCAAACAAACCAAACAAACCCCTCCACCACCACAACCCCACCACAACAACCACTGGGCATTGACTAAGTCGTCCCCCCCCCCTCCTCCATCAATCCATCAATCCAGTTCGATTTCCCCTCTTCTCACTTCCCCTTCCCTTCCACTCCCACTCCTCTACGTACGTACTTCGTTCCCATTTCCCGAACTTCATCCACCACCACCACCACCACCACATCCTTCAAAATGTCCGTCCCCGCCTTCATCACCGCCCTCTCGGCCGCCCAGTCCAAGGCCCAGTACCCCGCCGCCGTGCAGGCCGCCGCCGACAAGGTCAACGCCGACGCCTTCTCCGCCGCCGTTGAGATCGTCCTGGCCGGCGACGACAGCGCCTCCGTCGAGGGCGAGCAGGCCGCCGCCCTGCAGAGCGCCTTCGAGTTCGCCACCCTGCTCGTCAAGCAGCTGGCGTCCGAGCCGGGGCAGACCGAGATGTTGACGGTATGTTTCCTTCCCAGGGCGAAATCACAGGAGAAACTATGCTCAAATCTCGGGATTGCCGATGCTGACTATTGTTGTGGTATACAGCTTTACAAGTACTTCAAGCGCTCGCGAAACGAGGAGCCGGCCCAGCCTTCGTTTTACCAGTTGGAGGTGAGTTTACCGGACCATACTATTCTTCCAAAGGGGAAATAGAGCAATATCGATTATGGGAAGGGGAAAAGCGGGCTAATGAAGATGCAAAATCAACAGTCCAAGTACAAGTACAACGCCTGGAAGGAGATCAGCCACATCAGCCAGCAGCGCGCTCAGGCCAACTACATCAAGGAGGTCAACGCCCTCATCGAGAAGTACGGTACCCAGTAGAGGAAAGACGCGTGACTGAACATACTACTTGTTGGTTATGGGAACTTGGGGACTTCTTGCTATCTGCTTTGGGTTCTCCTCTTTTTTTTTTCTTGGTTCATTTGGCCTATGGATAGTCGGATGAGTGTGTCCTCTTGATTATGCAATGTTATGAGCGATGCAGCATATTCTGCCGTCTTTGTTGTTGGATCCCTGAATTGGGGGATGGTGTCGATTGTATAGAAGTTGAGGGGGAGGGCGGGTGGGGTTGAATAAGTCGTATATATGTTGAGTGGTCTGGTTTCCACTTGGGTCAAGGTATGCATTCAACCGTCCCATGTCTGTCCGAGCCAGTCGGGCTCGCTGTGGCTTGCCGTGGCGCACCAGGGGATGTCTGCTGCGGTGTACGGAGTTAGAGGAAGATCGTATGGCATACGGAATCCGACGGTGACGGCGGCGTCGTCTGCAGCGGCAGCGGGTGTATCCGTTCGATGGCACGGCGTCATCACTGTCTTCACAGGAGGAGTGGTGGCTGTGCCGGGTGATCCTCTGGTCAACAGCTCCGGCCACACCACCACCCCGATCTCCCAGCTGCAGATCCGCACCTCCCCGTTCGCGTTGACCGCTGCCCCCCACGCCTGTGTAGACAGATTCGCCGACGTGACCATCGCCCAATCGATCGTGGTCATCTCTTCCGTAGAGAACCGGATGTATGTTTTGATATGCGGCGCCGCACGCCGGCGGCCCGCTTCCCGCCGAACCACGGCGGGTTGCACAGCATCATCATCCCCTGCCCAATGGCACAGAAAGGGGCGTATATACTGTAGCTGCTTCTGCTGAGCCGCGCTCTGCAGTTTCATATGGATAGAGCCACCGGATCCGTACCCGTTCAAGGAGCGTCGGATCTCATCCGGGGTAGGGAAGACGATAGAGTACCGCGGTTTGGGATCTTCTCTCTTAGGCGCCAGGGATGCGAACAAGATATCTCTCAGCCATTTGTCCGTTTGCCCGAGCGACGCCACCGAGGAGATCTGGGAGCAGATCAGCAAGATCCCACATTTGTAGTAGCAGAACACAGACAAAGAGCGTCAAACTCACCTGAACGACAATGTGCGGCCTCTTCTTCTTCTCCTTCTCCCCCAAGCCTTCGTCCCCCTTCTCGTTATCACCAACGGCGGCGAGAGGCACATTCTTCAACACATCCTTCAACGCCACCCACCCCCAGAGCGTCTTGACCCGCGCATCCGCCTCGCTCAAGTTTTGCTTCGACGGCACACTGGCGACGAGAGCCGCCCGCACGGCCCCGAAATCGTACTGACGCAGCTGTCTGACCAGCGGGCCCGTCTTCTTGGACCCGTACTCACCCAGATAAGCCAGCAGGTCCCGTTTGAACCGGGCTCCCGATCCGGGGAGCTGTTGGTCGTCGTCGCTCGGATCATCTGTATCCCCCCTCGTGCGCAGAGGAAGGAGGGGGGATCGCCACACCGCTTGGGTCATATTCGCCCAATCGCCCGGGATCATGTTGGCCGTGTGGATGACAACTCTATACCTCAAGGTTTAGCCCATTAGCCTCCCATGTGTACGCACACGTACGCACTAGGCTTGGGAAGTGGGAAAGGAAACGCACTGGGCACAATCATCGTGTCGCAGGAGAATCATCATCTTGGAGTGATGGGTCCCGAAGGCTTCGGGCATGTAGGCCACGATCGCCTCGACATTCGGGTATCGTGCGCACGCTTCCTGGGGTGGTGGTGTTTAGTCACTGTAAAGCTTCCAAGATCTTCAATTCGTGACAGGGGTCGATAGGATGGATCGGAGATCGTAAACAAAGAGAACAAAAAGGATAAGGTCGAGGAAACATACATCAATGCGCACCCGGTTCGGCGCCTCTCGCTTCCACGACCCGTGCACCACCTTCAGCTTGACCAGGGCTCTCACATCCTCGTCGAACTGGCTCATCAGGAAGTCTACATCGTGGAGGTAGTTGAATTGCCAGCACTCGCGGATCATGGGGTCGCCCAGGATATCGCGGAGCCGAACAGTGTCGACATTGTTGCCGGAAGAGGGTGGGAAGTCGCGGATGTGGGTGAGTTGAATGGGTGAGGGGAGGACTTTCTGGCCCAGACTGCATGGCTGTGCTTCGCTGGAGGAGGATATGGCGTCGTCGTAAGCTGGTGGCGGTGGTGCGGGGTCCCTGACTGAGCGGGATATTCTTGGAGGTGTAATGGAGCGGTGCAGTGAAGCTAGGGGTTTGATGAAGTCGGTGCTATCGTCACGACTAGGCGCATGACCTTCGTCAGAAACCTCAGGCTTCGTGTTTACCGCGAGTACTTTTGCTCGTTTTGAAGGACGGTCTGCTTCGACCATCGTGGGGCAGACTCAATGAAAGCGAACAAAAAGTTGGAGAAGTGAGGTTGGTGCGGAGAAGCAAGTGGGCGGAACAATCAATCAATTGTCGGCTTGCGTACCACCGCAGCTGCCATTCCACCACTAGAGGTCAACTAAGTATCTTTGACACGTTGTCTGGCTAGCTTACCGCAATTGATGAATCGAATTCACTGACAATACACTATTTTACATAGATTCTATATACTATACACTCTCGACATAGCCCCCAAACTCACCACATGAACCGCTGGATTTTGCCTGGTTCCTGCGGCCATTCGAACCCACAGTACAAGAAAATGTATCCGGTCACCGCATTGATAACCAAGAACCAGTAGGTCTCCAAGAACAGCGGAAAGTTGGTAGCCATCTTTGCGTTGAGTTCATCAACACCATTCTGGGGACGCCGGTGCACCAGCGGCGTCGGCTGCGGCGGAAGGTGAAGACGCCACATGACCCACGGAATGATGAAGTATCGCGGCTCAACCAAAGGAGCAGTGATGAGCGACAACGCCGTGGCCGCGAGCCAGACGAGGACGAAGCTCACCTGCGGCGCCCCTTGCTGCTGCTTCTGGCGCTGGATGAGGTGGGCTTGGATCCTGGCAAATGCCTCCTCGGAAATGGGCTCCGGCTTGGGTGCCGCTGGCTTAGATGCCTTGACAGCCTTCTTTGCTGTCTTCTGCTTGCGTTCCGCCTTCTTCGGAGTAGGCTCGGTCTGCGGCTCTGGGTACTGGAAGGCTGCAGGTTGGGAGATCTGTCTCATCTGGGGCGGCTGAGGGGCAGTGGAAAAGCCGAGGGCAGAGATTACCATCCATGCGCAAAGGAAGTAGACGACAGCAGCGGCGTACCTGACCGCTGGATGGGTTCGTAGTAGAATCCGGAAAGCGTAGAAGACGTAATGACGGTTGTCGGCCAGCGTAAAAGGATGCACAATGGTGTTGAAGTGGATCACAGCCAGCATAATTGGAATGACAATAATTGCTGTTAGCAGCTTCGGCAGTCCCTTCTGTTTCTTGGGGAACCCGAAATCGAGGAACTTCGGAAGGAGGGACTTGGGGAGAGCCAAGTTAATGACGGGTCCAAGGAGTAGTGGCCAGGAGAAAAACACAATGTAGGGCCAGATGTAGAGCATCTGCGGCAGATGAATGCCGGCAGTGTGGAATTCCTTGTGCCCTGGGGATTGTCAGTGAGCTACATGGGGGCTTTCTGAAGCCGAACAAACTCACCCAAAACAACACCATCGTTCCAGAAAACGAATGCACCAAATCCTGCGAGGATGAGGAGGTACGGGATAGCAGTACTGATCACGGTGCCGAGATTACCCACGGCAACCGTCACCAGTGAAATAGAGGTTTTGAAATAGTCTAAAATTGTTAACCAAGCTAACCACGAGTCTCGAGGACAATAAGCCCACCTTCAATAGAAGCCTCCGAGACAAGAGGGTCGTACAGCTCATTCTGCCATTCCTGTCGAGCAATATCCGCGAGACCCGACGACCGACATGGCTTAGATTTGAGTCTCAGCTGCCGGATAACCTGCAGTCCACCTAGAAAGATGGCTCCCCAGAATATGTTCGTCTGTCTAAACGCCAACGCTGCCAGTCCGAGGAGAACGAAAGCTGCGGTCTTGAGCGGAGCCCACGCGCCGTCTGCGGAACGCTTGAGGTCCCAGTTGTATGCTTCGACAACCACCAGCAAGGCAAGAATATCGGTGTAGTAGAGCCCAGAAAAGAAGAAAATGGGCGGGAAGAGACAGATGTTCAGCACAGTATGGCTGAGCCAAGCCCCAGAGGGACGTGTGTTGCGAGTCTTGCGCAATCGATCCAACAATGTCTGCAAGCGATATGGTAGCGCAATGGCCGTAGCTGCCACGTTGGTCGCACGCAGCACTTCCGGGGTAAGCTCCGTAGGGGAGCCACGAAGGAACAGAAGAACAGCGCACAGCCCATAGGACCAGAGATACAGCCCCGGAGGAGTGGTGATTTTAGGATCCCAATGCGTCCATTTGTGAGCCCAGTAAGCCTGCGCCTGAGGAACGTGGAACGCTTCGTCCAGATATGGTTCGGGGACGTGAGCATTGATCCTGCTCAGCCAGATGGGGATCAACAGCAAACAAAAGGGCACAGCATAGCGAGCGGCCAAAACCACGCCTGACTTCGGTTGCGCATTCATGATGAAGAAAGCCTTTTACAAGAAACTCATGCTTTCACAATTAGAGAGAAAGTACATCATGGATCAAGTCCGACAGCTCCGAAAAGGGAAGAATAAATCCCGCTGCAAACCGGGCAAACAGACCGCCTTCCCACGCGCCTGTCAATCTTTCTTTGATCGTGAATGGCATGGCTGAATAGATCGTCTTTCGCATTTGCTGTCTTTTCATCGATTAGGAATTGATCACGGGGCATGGACTGTGTCCCTCTGCTAAGCCTTCAATCTCTTTCCATCGCCCAAACTGCCTGACTGAGGGACAATGGCCTTTCCCCTCCCGCGGGGCATCACGCCCCCGGAGATCTCCTTTCTGGCCGAGATGGAGATGGTCACTATCCTGCCGCGTCAGCGTCTGGAAGGCCTGGAGTTGCTTGGTGTAAGTTCTGGCGATTGAGGAAGCTCTTGAAATGATTCACACGCCCCCATTCGCATCTCATTTAAAGTCAATTTCTATAAACCACTCACGCACATGTTACCGAACCCTCCAACTTTGTCCCCATTTCTATACAACTCCCTCCCCTTTCCCACTCCGCTTCTTCAAACACCAGCACCAGCATCTCATCCTCTCTGTGCGCATATGGAAGATCTAAGTCTCGAAACCCCTAGGGCCCCGTTGAACCGCTCATTCCTCCCCGTCGCGCCTCCCTCCCCCTCTGGCTCGCGCTCCTCCTCAAACGCCAACGACGCGCCAACATCCTTCCGCCCTCGTGGCTCCATCCGGAGTCTCTCTCCTTCATCCTAGACATCGAGACCCAATACGAAGAATACAAGGACACGTTCTCCCCACCGCCGCCGCTGCCGGGGCAACCCCTCCTGCACGACCGCGGCGAGCCCGCCGTCGCCACCCCCCGCTACACCCCGGACGGCGAGAAGTACTACGCGGCGCCGCCGTTCCTGCCGCAGAACGTCGCGCGCGACCACGTCCCACCGCAGGAGCTCCAGACGCTGCCCTTCCACTGGCTTGAGGTCGGGAACATGCTTCTGGACGCGGCGAGCGACGACCTGGTGGAGCCTGACACGACCCGCCGGCTGCTGAAGGAGCTGCGCGAGGTGCGCATGGCCAAGATCCGGTCCGGGGTGGACGCGCTGGACGCCGCAGCGATGGGCGGGGGCGGAGTGGCGTTGACGGGCGTCGGGGCGATCGAGCTCGGCGAGGGCCGGAGGTTTATCTCGGGCGTGGTCGATGGGCTTCGGTATGATTCCCATCCACCTCACGGGAAGGTTTCTTTATATTGCAACTGGCTAACGTTTCGGTCTTAGACGGATCGGCGCATCCAGGGAACAGGCGCGGAGGGAGGAGCTGGCGGAAGAGATGGCCAACGGCGGATACGATGCGACGCAGGATGATGACGATGAAATGGAATTCTAGATCGCGGGGGACGGCCCTTCCTTTTTGACACAGTTCTCATCTGCAGTCAGTCGGCGTTATGGAGACATACAGTACTTTTGTTCATGGCATTTTGCAGCACCCAATCGGGAAAGTCATATGTATATATACCCTGGTATTCGTTTGATGACAGATTTACTATACCGCATACAGTGCATATCAATCTGATCCATTTACGTAGAAATGATACGAACCCCCTGTATGAACAAGGCGCGCCCTGCAAGCCTGTCCGAAAGGGACAGCAACATGAGTAAAGTCAACCCCATCATCCTGGAACATGGGAAATGTCGGAGCCGAGCCGAAAAGGCATTGTCAGCATTGATCAAATCTTAAACCATCCTCAACGCCGACAAAAAGAACAAAGGTATAAAACTAATGACCAGAGCTAGAAAAAAAGCCAGGTCACAAAAAAAGAAAAGAAAAGAGGGAAAGGAGAATCCAAATTTGACTGGAAGAAGCCTGAAGCAATGAAAGCCCACAAACGATCCCATGCATATATGCAGGCCGTGCTAAATCACAACGAAGAATAGCGAATAGGAGAGAGGGGGGGGCCTGCGCGCAGAGCCACATGAGAAAATGGGGACTTCATTGAGCAACCGTCTGGTCCTTCTGCATCATCTTCCTCCGTGCCGCCAAGATCATGTCGTCCCTGCGCTTCTGCAGCAAGCGCTGTCGCTCCTCCTTGCTCTGCGACCAACCCGTGGAGGACTGAGCCTGTGAGGTCGCGGCGTCCTCGTCGGCGCCGACTTTCGCGCGCAGGTTGTACCGAGAGATCAGATCCTGGCCGTCCGCCTTGGGTGCCGCGGTGGCGGGCTGTGCTGGCGCGGTGGGGGTGGGGATGGCGACCTGGGGTTGAAACGATGGAGGGGGCTATCGACGTTGCATGCGGCGTTAGTTCGAGCACTTTGTTCCTGCTGCCGAGTCTCTTTCTCCGGCAGAGTGCCACCAAGTTTGGGCGCAAGACTTACCACTTCTAAGCCACGGCCCGTAAGGACTCTTTCCGTAGTAGCGGCCATGTTTCCCCCGTTGCGCTGTAAGTCCCACATGATCTCGCGATGGCTGAGCTGAGGAAACATCTGTGAGATCTGCTCGACGTGGGCTGGATCGACGCCATTTCCTCGCGTGCGGCTGCGACCGGTACCGGCCCCAGCATCTCCGTCACGGTTGAAGAACCATCGGATCACGAAGAAAGAGACCACGGCAAGGGTGAGAAGGGAGGGGATGTTCAGGGACGGTTCTTCGTCAGGCATGGTGATGGGTCACGTGTGAAGGAGGGGACTGCGTCAGTGTTGAGGACGGAGGGATGTCAGATGTGAGAGGCGCGAAATCGCCGAAAATGAGTGGAAGAATAACTCTGGCCTCACGTCACCGGCAACAGGGGCAAATTGTCGCTAAGAAGGTAAATACCGGGTGGAGACACTTCCAGAGAGGGGGGATGTTGGTTAAGTCGAGGAAAGCCACGGCAGATTAGGGAGAGCGGCGATGTGGTGGCGGTGGAGCAGTCGGGAGGGCGGAACGGGAGGGCGGAATCCCTGCTGGTTAACTCCGTTATACTTCCGCTGACGGCATCCTCGTATTCGTACTTAGTTCATATACACACACCATTCTCGACTATTTGAGAATGTCATGTTAATATCAACAGATGTCATTAAAATTGTAACAGCAAAGTCATCCAGATTCATATACATCATCCGAAAACACCTTCATCCAGAAACCCCCATGACCCGGTCATATAACGCTTCCTGTCCCAGTCCTTAACCAGAATATGCCCAAAAGAAGTATGCACAAACGAAGAATCAAGTTTCTGGCTGGGGCGAACTCATCTGAGATCCGCAGCAGTCAAGGCTTGAACCACACTGGTACCCTCGCTGAATCTCGTGCGGAAGATACGGTTGGCGTTCTGGAACATACCATCCTTCAGCGACACCACGATGAACTGAGATCCCTTGAACCGCGTTTTGATCAAGCGACCGATATTCTGTGTGTGTGAAAGATCCAAAGCGGCATCAACCTCGTCCAGAATGTACATAGGGGCCGGCTTGAATTGCAGCAGCGCCATGATCAAGGAAAGGGCAATGAGAGACCTGCTCATCTGTAAGTGTCCATGTACGCAAAGGCCTTCTCCGTATGGTTTCACATACCTTTGTCCACCACTCAGTTCCGTCAAGCTCTGCTTCCAGACCTTACCCAAAGAGACCTTGACTTCCAGACCATCGGTGATATCCTTGCCTTCTGGAGGATCCAGCTTGGCGAAACTGCCCGGCAGAAGTTCTGAGAAGATCTGACCGAAGTCACCGTTGACCTTAACCCATGTCTTGTGAAGAGCCTCTTTTTTGTATTCATTCAGATTAATGATCGTTTCCTCGATTTTGCTCTTGTCCCGAATGACAGTCTTCATCATGTTCTTCAGCGCAGCTTCCTTCTTCTCCACGCTATCGATCATGTTCATGACCTTGGGGTTGATCTTCTTCTTCATACCCTGGGACCGCTCCGTGAGATTCCGTAGAGTTGATTTGCACTCGGCGATGTTGTGATTTTTGAAGTCGTAAGGCGTGTTGGATCGTCCAAAGCTATCCTTCTCGTCCGCGATCCACTCATGCTCGTTTTCCATATGGGCAACCGTCTGCGCAGCCACCTGCTGGTCCTTTTGTAGTTTCTCCAGCTGATGGCCCAACTTCTGCATCTCAAGGCCGCCTTCAGTTATCTGGGAGCCTTTGGATTTCATCGCCACTTCGAGCTCGCGTAGTTCGTTATCAAAGCCGGTAAGCTTGGCTCGCTCGTCTTCAAGCTGAGCCTGTGCAATGTCGTGTGCATCCTATGACATTTTTTAGCAAGCAACTTGTCACTGCAATTATCCGCTTGCCTACCTTGACCCGGGCCTGTTCTCTCTTCAATGACTTAACCTCGTCCAACTGAGCCTTCAGTGTATTTTCAGCTTCGGAGCTCTGCTCCTCCGCGGCGGACAGATCACTGCCAACCTGTTCCAACTCCAACCTGGAATTCTGGAGCTCCTTCTGTAGGGTCTTTACAGAGTTGGAGTTCTTAGCAAGCTTCTTCTTGAGAGAGTCCAGAGAGGCTTGCAGCTCTGCCAGCTTGCTGTCCTTGTTGTCGTTGAACTCGCTCATATCCTTTTCGATTCGCTTGATATCCTTGGATGCTTCGGTCTGTCGAGTCTTCGCGTCGGCAATATTCTGCTTCAGCTGCTCGATATTCGCTTTCATCTCTTCGACGGCTTGAATGATCTAGTTTCAGTGAGCTGCTGTTGTGGAATGTGTAATTTGGGATATGCATCGTAGTTCTCTTACCGTTGAAGACGAGTTGCCGCTGATCTGCTCTTCTGTAAGCTTGATCTCGTGTGTTTTGAGATCCAGGTCCTGCTTGATCGTTCGGGCTGCGTCAAGCTTCTTTTTCTCCTTCTTCATGGTCTCTTCGACGGTGGCGAGGAGTCGCTCTTTGCTGCGGATCTCTCTGGTGATCTCATTCAATTTCCCGAGCGTCACGAGCACACCACTTGAGTTCGGGGAACTACCACCAGACAGTGTACCCGAAGGGTCATAGACGTCGCCTTCGAGCGTTACACTCTTGATGCGGACGGAGGGATCGAAAGTAACACGCTTGGCCGTCTCAGCGTCCTGGCAGATCAAGGTATTGCCAAAAACATAGTTCATTGCCGCCGTAACTTCCTCGTCGTATCCGATTAGTGACAAGGCAAGGTCAACCTTACCAGGAGCGATGTTCTGAGCAGCTCCAATCTTCTCTGCGGAGGCCCTGAAAGAGGAGATCTTGTTCAAGGGAATAATTGTCACACGCTTCTTAAGCCTGCCGTTCTTCAGAAGTTGCGTACCAGTCTCGGCAGAATCGACGACAACGTTGTACAAGCGTCCACCGGCGCAAATCTCCAACGCAGTTGCAGCTTGAACCTTCTCCTTGTCCAAGGCAAAAAGCTGTGCGACAAGACCCTTTACCTTTGAGCGATCGAAATGAGGGTGAGGATCAGCGTATTGGAAATCGATATTTGCGACCTTTCTCTGGAGCTCGTCAGCTCTCCGGCGCAGCTCACGGATGTCCCTTTGCAGCTCCGCCTGCTCTTGGTTGAGTTGTTCTTCTCTGCCTGGCTCATATCCCAGCCTAGTAAGCTCGGCTTCTAGCTTCTTCGCCTGAGACTTCAAGCCTTCCAGTTCTTTGAGAAGACCCAAATTTTGCTCTTTTGCCTTTTTCGCTCTAGGCTCTTCCTCCTTGATTCTCTTTTCCAAGTGCGCGATCTTCAATTTGGCTTGCTCCTGTTCCGTCGCTGCTGCGCTAGCACGATTACGAGCATCCTGCAGCTGACCCTGATAACCGCTCTCCTGGCCTTCTTTTGAAGCCACACCGGTCTGGAGTGTTTGCAGAAGTTCCTCTTTCTGCTCCACCTCAGAGGTCTGGGCGTCCAATTCCGCTTTTGCGGCATCGAACTCGGCCTGCATCTTGTCGTAAACCTTCTTCTTCTCCTTGAGAGCCTTTTCCAGGTCGCTAACTGCTTTCTGGGATTCCTTCATTTTCTCCTCCTCCTCGGCGATGCTAGCGTTCTTGAGGTCGAATACCGTAGTCAATCGGACAAGCTCGTGCGAGTTGGACTTTACTTCATCTTCCAGAGCTTGAAACTTGCCGCCCTTACGGAGCTCCTTATCACGAGCGGCTTTAACTCTCTTCACATCGTCCTCCAAGTGGGCGATCTCACCCTTGAGCTTCGTTGCGCTGTCTTCGAGATCCTGCACCCTCCGTCTCTTATTCTCACACTCCTCCCACGTCACACGCAGTCGCTCATTGCTCTTCAGGTAATCGTGAGCCACAACCAGTCGTGTCAAGCGCTCCAGGTCATTCTGGGTCTGCTGGAAATCCAAGAATGCTCGCTTCTCGGACCGGAGCTTCTCCAGCTTCGGCTCGATTTCCTCCTTCAGCAACTCTTCGATCTCCCGCAGTTTGAGCTCCTTCTTGCTCATGGTCTTCACCGCCTTCTCCCTCCGATCCTCGAACATCCGCGTACCGGCCGCTTCCTCGATCATCGACAGGATCTCGACCGCCTTCATATTCAGCACCTTGGTAATCTTGCCCTGCATGATCAGGAAATTGGGATTGTTGATATTCAGCTGCACGCTCTGGAACAGGTTCTGCACGGTCTGCTGCTGCGCGCGATGGCCGTTGATGAGGTACTTGCTCGTGCCGCCGAGGACGATCTGGCGCGTGACGGAGATGGTCGCATATTCTTCGAAGCCGATGGGCGACTTGGCCGTGTCGCGGTTGTCGAAGACGATGGTCACGCTGGCCTTGGTGACACCGGCCTGACCGCGCTTGTAGATGAGATCCTGGAGATTCTGGGCGCGGACTGTGCTCATGTTCGTGATACCGAGAACGAAACAGATGGCGTCGAGAATGTTGGACTTTCCACTACCGTTCAGACCGGTGATGGAGTTGAAGGAATCGTCCCTAAAGGCAGACAGTACACATCGTCAGCTTTTCATTCCCAGCGGTTTCGCAGATCGAGTAAGCTCGTTCGACGCCAAGTAAGCGCATACCATCCTGAGATAACCGTACGCACGGCGTACGATTTGAAGCCCTGTTGAGATTGAACCGGAGTCAGTAATCCACATCAATCACATTATCTCCTGCGGACGGAGAGACTGGACTCACATCAATGATAATCTCTGTAATCCTCATGGCTGCGACTCGGATTCTGCCCCATCAACTACAATTCCGGGTGCATAGGCGATGAGGGGGTGGTGTGTGTCGCTGGTTCGATCGGGAATTGTTTTCGCGGGCGGTGTTTTGCCGGCGGCGGGCAGCGTGTTTACTGTTTGCTGTATTGGGCTTAGCTTGTGGTCCTGATAACGTAATCATGGAGGGGCAACACGTGATCGTAATAGCCACTTTAGAGCATCGACCAATCACAATGCAAGTGGTCCTTCACCTACACTGCATACTACGAGTACAATAATAACCCCAGCGTGAGTCGCAGCAGGGCACTCGGAGACAGGAATGGGCAGTCACATCATATGGTAGTTATTGCTTGTAGAACTTCGCCTGATGCTCGGTCAGTAGGACGACTGTCGGAGAAAGTGTTTGAGAGATATCAATCCAATCAAGTCCGTGATCGATGCTTCATGAGAATACTACAAAGCCCTATGGGTAACTGATCTTGCTATAGTGTCCAACCACTACATGTGACAAGTCCAGTACCTCTGGTATTTGTATCCTCGATGTGTGGAGTTGAGCAGCCTCCATGTTTGATAGCAATGTGGCCATGAGAGCGACCAGTGCATGCGGAAGGTATTCTGTACATCCGAGAACGGGATAAAACCAATCGTCCTTGAGTAACCTTATCAGAAATCGTTCATATCCATATTAAGCCGAGTACATAAGAGATACTATGCCTTTGGAACTGTTGTATACAGTTCTAGTTTTCGCCCTCGTAATTGTGGAATGATCGTGGTGTAGCCCACCGAGATTACCGCCTTCAATAGAATACGAGCTTCAGGGCATCATGACGTCTACTAGTCTACTAGTATGTATACTTTCAAGAGGACCAACATCGCCCAGCAGTCCATCTCCTTTATCATTAGACAAACTGCTACTACCCCAAGTCTCAAGGAACTATACCCGGTCTAGCTATACCCAATCATTGTATACTAGACTTTCGTCCTCAAGGTGCTCCGGAGACATCTCGGAGACATTCATCTGCAGCCCCCAGCAGCAGTCAGCAGACACAACGAAGGGAATGAAAAAGTAGTATAAGAAGTACTCATCAGACTCACTCACTCCATCTTATCCATCATTCTCTTTCCACTCAACCCCCTTCTCGAGTCCTACTGTACATCCACCGATCCCCACCCTCCAAGCCACCATCACCGAGCCATCCACCAAACAATGGCCACTTCCCACCCCAAACTCGAATACACATCCTACCAAACCCCCGAGTTCCTAGCCAACTACTACATCGCCGAGAAGCTCACCGGGCCCTTCGCCACATCCGTGATCGAACACGCCCGGATCGCGGAGCGAGCACGATCCGGGCCTCCCCGCGCGATCCTCGATACCGCCTGCGGCCTGGGGATCGTCTCCAGCACGCTGAATCGCACCCTCGATGACGAGAGCAAGCGTCGCTGGAGCCTGACATGCGGCGATCTGAGCGAGACGATGATCGAGGCCACCCGGCAGCGCATTGAGCGCGAGAAGTGGCCGAATGCGGACGCGAAGGTGGTGAATGCGCAGAGCACCGGCTATCCGGACGAGAGGTTTACCGATATATACGCGGCTTTCGGTGGGTCTTTGCCTTTCTCTTGTGAGCGTGCGGGATGGTGAGATGGGGAGACGTGTGCGATTGAGACGGAGGATGGCTGACCCTTCGAGGCATTGTTGTTATAGCCTTCACCCTATTTCCGGATCCAGAGGCTGCGATGAATGGTAAGTCATGATCCGGTCTAACTCGGGCAGTGGACGTGTTTGAAACAAATTTCGCTAACGTGCAATGATTTCTTGGTGTGGCAAAGAATGCTATAGGATCCTGAAGCCGGGGGGAACGCTGGCGGCGACGACCTGGAAATACGGTATGTGCCCTCCGGTCTCCTTGTTATCGGGCGCTTACCAGCCTGAGTACTGACCTACTAACTTTCCTGCACAGCGACCTGGATGTCTCTCCTCCGAACCGCTGTCACTGGAATGTCGGAGGGTCTGAGCTTCCCAACCATAGAGGAGTTCCTGGCTATGCATAACGTTGGCTGGGATTCGGAATCGTTCGTAAGGTCACAATTTGAGAAGTCAGGATTCAAAGAGGTTCGAGTAACCTCTGTGACGGAACAGGTTGAGGTTCCAATCTCTGAATTTCTGCAGCTCTCACGGAGTATGCTGAGTTTGGTGATGGAAAAGTGGTGGACTCGGGAACAGCGAGAGCGGTATCAAGCGGAAGCGCCATTGGCGGTGCAGCGGTATCTGGAAGAGAAATTCGGGGTAGATGGGCTAGTAGATATGGAGTTGTCGGCTATTGTTGCGGTGGGAAGTAAGTGAGTAGGATTGAGGGGAGTTCACCTATGGTTCTTCAATCTACAATATGAAATATGCATATTATAGTCAACAAAACCGGAACTTCAGATCATGGGAGTCATTGATTGAGATTGAGGTATGTACTGAGGTACTTTGCCACAGAATGTAGAGAACACCAGGGTGCTCCGCGATTACTGGTAACATCTAGAGCGACTGTTTAAGGAAACTATCAGTGAGCCCGAACGCCGTTGCTGACCCCATTCCACTTTGACTGCTCTGTGTTCGACATTCATGACCCGTGGTGCGGAAATCCGACGCGCGCAAGCCCTCGGTTGGGATCCATACGGTTGTCCAGATCCTCATAGCGAAGGATGAACTCACGCTGCAGATCGCAACATTAGCATGGTTTTATCAAGACAAAAAGAAAATGAGGACATGGCGAGGGGGCATACTCTGATCTTCTTCCAGCTGGTAGGATCCCACAAGAGGTAAACACCCCTTTCACTGACACCACGTTCCACGTCCACAGGACCGGGATACGTCTCGTCGCGAGTCAGCCAGCACCGCTCAATCTTGTGATATCTCCATTTCCGACCCATCAATTCCTCGGCTACAACCTCTTGTAGGAGATCTCGGGGCATACTGTAGAAGATGTAGAAGAGCGTTTCATCACTAAAACTCGGAATCCGCGATTGCAACGGTTGGACGTTGGCCACGCTGTAGCATGAAGGAAGCGCAAAATCTTGTTCCAGAGGGGCGCCTGTCATGGACGCAACGAATGGTGAAGCGAATGACGTATGTAATGGTCTGAAGGAGTCAGTCGGCATATTTTTCGCGCATGTGGTAGAATGCATACTCAGGCTGGTTCAAATCCAACCCTAACGTCATCAAATCCTGGCCTACTGCCAGGCTCGAAACATCAGCATTATCACTATGGATCATGCGCAACAATCCCGCTAGCCCGAACTTGTCCAATTCGCTCATTTCCGCGAAAGGCGATTGATCGGCTGTTTGCGCAGTCCCTACAGACGCTTCTTTACCGGTAGCCGGGAAACCTGGCGGTCGCATGATTGTTGGTTGCTCGCTGTAACCGGCGGTATTGGACGCTGCAGAGCTGTTGACCTCCTGCTATAGAATCGTCAGTTTCGAAGTCAAGAAGATGTGGTCGGGATTAGTACCTCTTTTTCCGGGGCAGGAAGCCTGCTAGAGCCTTGATTCACAGGGGATCGCGAGTTGTCTATTCCTAGAACGTGGCCTTAGTGCTCCGTGCGGCGCCAACGCGCTCCACTACGACTTACCTGCTGAGCTTGCATTCCCAGGGGACATAATTCTTTCTTGTCCGTTCAAGGAAGCGGCGATCATGTTGCGATTTTGTGCAGATTGGGACTGGTTGACTCCAGAAAATGGTATACCACTGCTGTAGTTTCCAAGCCCCGTGCCCTGCATCAGCGACCCTCTTCGGTCCTGACTTAGGTCTGCAGGCGCATTGCGACCGAGCGGAGGGAATTCTTCAATATTGCCCGTCTGCGGCTGTCCACCAGCACTCAGCTGACCACTGATACCTTGGCCACCATTCCGGAAATCTTCCAAACGATTGGCGAACTGCGCGCCGGAGGGGAATACATCATCATGTGCGGGTTGAGATTGCTGTTGAGGGTGTTGGGTTTGCGTTTGAGGTGGCCTTGATGGCGCTTGCGACGTAGCATGTTGCGGTCTTTGGACGGGGGTCTGCTGCATAGCACGCTGGCTGGCATTTGCCCATACCATGTGGCTTGGATTTTGGGTTTGTGATTGCGGAGCCGCGCCGGATAGCGAGGGGAAGTCCCTGTGAGGAGAAACAATGATTCTCAGTCATGAGCTCAACCGAAAGGGTGTCCTCGATGAGCCGATCCATAGGGATCAAGCCCTGCAGGTCGAGTGCCACACTCACGAGAGATCCAGCGGCGTAGTGGGCTGGGATCCACTTAAGCTTTGAGCGAATGTGCCCATTGTCCCGATGCTGCGTTGTTGACTGCCTTGCATCCCTGGCGTTCCGCTTACGGGCAAGTTGAAGTTCCAGTTCGCTCCGCTCCCTATATCAGCCACAATTGTCAGTTCGTGGTTGTGTGAAGTGCCCAGTATCAGAAGAAGGTCGTACCGATTTTGCCGTTCGGTAACCGCGCCGTTGCTAATGCTGCGTTTCGAGCCTGTGCCTGTTGTTGTGCGGGGAAGCCGGCCATGCCTCGTAAGGGTTGTGGGCCTGTTCCTGGAGTTGGAAAGAGCGGTCAGCGACACGGTCAGAGCCTCTGGTAGAACATCTTGACATCTTGCGACTGCCTTCAAGTGAGGCCGGAAGGGAGGAGGTGCGGAGATGCTGCTTCGAGGTCTCATGGTCGCCCATGGAGGGACCATCAGTGAAATTTTGCGATTGAATCAAAAGTAGAGAACGGCCACGGTACCGTGCATCAAGCACCCTTGGGACCGTCCACACGAATGTTGTGGCGATGGAAGGCAACACAGTATCCAAGATCGAGGGCGTATGAGGCGGCCGTAGCAGCAAGGCCGGTCATGACGAAGACAAAGGGAAGGTTGGAGAGAACAAACCTGGCCTATTCATTGTGCAAAGAGGTGGGTGTTCAGTAGATTCTATGGGAAAGTCAAGTTTTGGACCGGAACCCCAAGAAGACAGTCAGTGCTTCAGCGTAACAGCGATAAGAAGGAAATGTGCAGCTAGGATCTCTACCCACACTGTTGCGCCGGTACTGGGAGTTGGAGTGGCTGCAACCGCGCGCTTCTTCTTTTATGCACGGACCATCCATGACTAGCCGCCCGAGTCACGAGCATCCAGAACACTCCCGGTCACGTTACCTCGTACAAACTAAGAATTCGTTGTGAACAGATGAATTATTATTTATCTGTAGCCCAGTATGGAGTAGAGTAGGCAGGATGAGCATGCTTGAGGGATTTCATGTATTCACATGAGCCTAGTGGGAAGTATAACCTGTAGACAGAAGCAGTCCAAAAACAAGATAAGGTCAGTGAAGATTACTAGATATGTACTAGGTAGCTACTCTCTGTGTAGCAGATCAATCAATACCTTTCCAGACTGGGCGATATTTATTGATAAAGCTTCATGTATCCTGAGTATTACTATTCCCTTCACTGGCCAACCGCCTGGTTTCTTGCCTATGGAATGTTTCGCTTGGCTCGCCCTATGGGTCGATGTTGCACGGAGCATCCTGGAGCGGTGCCTGCACGTGATCTAGCCGCCCAAACTCCGCTCCGTCAGCTTTTGATTCCTCGGGGCCCGCAGAACGGACGGACATATTGTGCTAGAGATAGATCCCTTCGACGACGAAGGCTACCCTCCTGTCACAATGCATCGCCAGGCCGTCCTGCGTCTGGCTCGCCAGACCGGCGCTTTTCCCTTGGGCGAATTGCCTCCTCCATACCTCGCTCCGTCCCTCCATTTCTCCCTCAATCGGTCGCCGGCCCAGGCCTCGAACTTTTCGTCCACCGCTGTCGCCGCGGGCCACGGACGTGACCTGAGCAAGTCTCGCGGTGTGTCCGCCATCCATCGCACCGGCCCGAAATTCAAGCTGGGTGTTTCGAAGTACCCCTTGCCCAAGCCCGTTGCTCGCGGCGAAGTCGAAAAGCGTCATCCTACCCCCGACCATGGACTCTGGCAGTTCTTCCCCAAGGACCGACAGGCATTGAGCAGCCCGGAATATGATACCGCCCACGGTTCGTTTCTCCAATTCTTTCCCTGAAGGATTAGTCTGGCCCATTCAACTCATTTTTCGATCTCTTAGGCCGTTCATGGTCGATTCAGGAACTCCGCGAGAAGTCGTGGGATGACCTTCACTCTCTATGGTGGGTCTGCGTCAAGGAGCGCAACCGCATAGCCACCTCCAACCTGGAGAGAGAGAGACTGAAGGCCGGTTATGGTGAATACGAGGCGAACGAGCGAGACCGTGTGGTATGTCCCTTAACTCCCCCTGCCATTGCTCCTTTGAATAGGCTACAATCGATGCAAGTTCACAACGTTGATCCAAGCCTTTGCCTCATAATCCAATGATTCAGTATGGTTGTTAACATTCGACGGATTCATTAGGTTCGTGTTACGCAAAACGGCATCAAGCACGTTCTGCGAGAAAGATGGTACGCTTGGGAAGATGCTCAGAAGCTTTACAAGGATGGATATCGGCCGCAGCACCAAGATACTCAGGATGCGTCCTACCCTGCAAAGTCGGAGGAGCCTGAGAAAGCGTGAAATCCACCTTTGGTTATGTCATTGAAGACACGCGGTTCAGGGCTCTATTGACGGGTGTCCACCTTACTGGTCTTGTATTATTGTATGTAGTATAGTTTGCAACTTCCCTTTCTATCCATGCATTGGCTTGCTTCAGAATCTATACATTGTGCTCAAATCATTGAGAGAAATATGAGTGATTTCATAGAAAGACATCCAGAGAAGAATGATTGGAAGGGGAAATCTCCGATGGCTATTGCAAATAATCAAGCCATTAGGGCACCGATATAGATAGCGTGCAAATAGTTGCCGGGGTCGGCTGTTAGTCACTTTGGCCAGTCCGGAGTAGACCGTCCATAGCAGAAAGCAATAATCCCCGGAACAATATTGGTCATTGTCGATGCGCGCTGTGCTATGTGCTATGTGCTATGTGCTACGTAGTCCTATTGGGAAAAGGGGCAGGAGTTTCAGGAGGTCACAGAAGAAGAAATTGGGAGAGGGGCCCATGATTCATCCGATTAATTAACTTGGTCTACGGGTCCATTGTCTTGGTGCCTACCATACAATAGTCGGGTCGTATTTATTGTCGTTGTCGTAGTAGTCGGTTTGGTCTCAACCGTCCATCTAGTCAAGTCCATAACCCGTGAGTCTAGGGAGGTCCAAGGTCTGGCAGTCACCCTGAAAAAAGCCAACGTTAATTGCCTTGGTGGAGCCTGGGTGGGCGGGCGTCAAATAATAACGGGTTCGAGAAGGTGATCGATGATCCGCGGGGGGTTCCAAATCTACCCTTAGACTGCCTTAGACTGACGGGTCGGCCTCCTTTCGACGGGCCTGCTTCTCCTCCTCTCCCTCCTTCTCCCTCCTCTTTTCTTTCCTTTCCTTTAAACTCACCGTGCTTCATAACTCTCCATCTTCTTCCCCCTATACACTTACTGCCCATATTTATTCTCATCCTCCTATCACTCCTTTGGAGATTCATTTGCACATTGTCATTGATTCCCAGCGCTATCTCACATCATGGATGAGATCGCCCCCGAGTATGATGTCGTCGTGCTCGGCACTGGTATGTTGCTACCCCGCCATTCCACCAACGCTATACTGACCCCCCTCCCCCCCCTTCGCAGGTTTGACCGAGTGTGTGCTTTCTGGGTAGGTCCTCCTTACTGCTGTTGAATATATTCCGGTCGCTCATGGTTTCTGCAGGGTTTTGAGTGTCAAGGGAAACAAGGTGCTTCACATTGACCGTAATGACCACTACGGAGGGTAAGTTTGGGCATCTCCGCCGGAGCTATCTCCCCACCCCCTTTGCCATCACACAACCCACTAATCAAGCGTTCAGAGAGGCTGCCTCTGTCAACATCGAGACTGTGAGTATCTATGGCCCCTCTCATACTCTGTATCAGTAGTTGCTAACAGTTGATTTACACCTTGCAGCTCTTCAAGAAGTACGGCAACGTTCGCCCCGGCGAGGAGCCCTGGAAGAAGTATGGCCGCGTCAACGACTGGAACATCGACCTGGTTCCCAAGCTTTTGATGGCCAATGGCGACTTGACCAACATCCTGGTTTCCACCGATGTCACGAGATACCTTGAGTTCAAGCAGATTGCGGGCAGCTACGTCCAGCAAGGAAAGGGTCCCAAGGCCACCGTCGCCAAGGTGCCCTCGGATGCCGGGGAAGCTCTGCGCTCTTCCCTCATGGGCATGTTTGAGAAGCGGAGAGCCAAGAAGTTCTTGGAGTGGGTGGGCGAATTTAACGAGAACAACCCTTCCACTCACCACGGTCCGTAGAAGTTGTGCTTTTACTACCTCATGACACTGACATGGGACAGGCCTCGACATCACCCAATGCACGATGAAGGAAGTTTACGACAAGTTCAGCTTGGAGGATAACACTCGCGACTTCATCGGTCACTCCATGGCCCTCTACCAATCCGATGAATACTTCCTCAAGCCTGGCGCGGCCCCCGAAACCATCAACCGCATCCGCCTGTATGTCAACTCCATGGCCCGTTACGGCAAGTCGCCATACATCTACCCCCTTTACGGCCTGGGTGAGCTTCCCCAGGGTTTTGCTCGTCTCTCTGCCATCTATGGCGGTACCTATATGCTCAACACCTCCGTGGATGATGTCCTTTACGATGAGAGCGGCAAGGTGTCTGGAATTAAGGCCACTATGAAGGACCGTGACAACGAGGGCGAGACCATGAGCTTCACCACTAAGACGAAGAAGATTCTCGCCGACCCCTCGTACTTCCCTGGCAAGGTCCGCGTTACTGGCCACTTGTTGAAGGCCATTTGTATCCTCAACCACCCCATCGACAAGACTGACGGCAGCGACTCGCTGCAACTCATCATCCCTCAGTCCCAGGTCGGCAGAAAGCATGGTATGTTCACCTACAGTTGATTTGGTCTTGGGATGTACTAATATAGTTCAGATATCTACATTGCCATGGTCTCTTCGGCGCACAATGTCTGCCCCAAGGGATACTATATCGCCATTGTCTCGACCATTGCCGAGAGCGATGCCAACCACCACATCGAACTAGAGCCTGGATTCGAGCGCTTGGGTAAGATCGAGGAGACCTTCTTCAGTGCTCCTATTCCTCTGTACGAGCCCATCGAGAGCGGTGAGAAGGACAACATCTTCATCTCCAAGAGCTACGATGCTACCTCCCACTTCGAGACCACAACAGGTAAGCCTTGCGGGTTCCATGAGGAAGAGGTTTTGAGCCTTTTTGCTGATGTCTTCATAGATGATGTCCGGGACATCTACCGTCGTGCGACGGGCGAGGAGTTGAAGGTCGAGGGTCTCCGGGAAGATCAGAAACTTGTGGAGTAAACCAGCCTCCAGCATTTGCATACTAGGGTACAGTAATTCTTTTGTCGCTTCGGATGCGCGTTTTTGACTTGAGCCATAATTCCTCTTGGACTTTCCTTCACGCTCATGAAACATACCACATATTGCTCTTGGACTCAGTCCGCTCGCTTGGTCTCTGGCATACGATATTATTGCAGTAGGGGCTGGTCTACATATGTTCATAACAACCCGGCTCGCAGGTGCATAGCACCAACTTGTGAATAAGAGTTGCTGTTTTGAGTTGAACACATAAACACATGAGACTGTAAAAATGCTCTATCCTAAGTGGCGTCGACAACACAGAAGACCGGAGCAGTAGGGTCTCGAAGATCATAAATGACGACTCTGTAAATAGATGGAGAAGAGGAAGTAGTACAACAAGCGCTAGTCGACGGGTGCAACAACAAAACACTCCCTCCCAGCCAACCCAGCCAGCCCACTTCACATCGACGCGCCATCCAAATTGACCTTCTCATGGTCCGCGACAACACAGACCTTGCCATCCTCCACACGACAGAGCTCCGCCTTCACCAGCGCCATCCGCTGGCCCATATTGACCATCTCGCAGATGATCCGCATCTCCGTCCCCACGGGCACGGGACGGATGTAGGTCAAGTGGAGGTTGCGCGTGGTCCCGGCCGTCGCGAAGCGGCCGGGGCTCGAGAGCGCCAGGATCAGCACCGAGGTGAGGCAGTCCACCATGGTGGCGGCGCATCCGCCGTGCAGGTTGCCGGCAAAGTTGCAGAGCGCCGGGACAGTGGTGAAGAGGTAAGCGCATCGTGCGGGGGCGGCACCGGCGCCGCGAGTCGCGGACTCGAAGCGCAGGTTGCAGGCGTGCGGGGAGTAGTCCCATGTCTTTTGTTTGTGTGTGTGTGTTAGTCTTTATATAAAACTTGGGGTAGGTTCATGGAGCTACACAGTGCTGTACAGTACAGCATACGTACTTGGCTGTTGTCCGGGTCCGATGGCGGAGGTCCCTCGGTTAAGCTGTGGACATGACGCTCGAACTCGTCCAATTCGTTGTATTCCCGGGTGGTGGGGACGGGCATTTTGTCTTGGGAGACTTCTTGTGGTATATCGTGGGTGAATTGATGGGTCTGGGCTGGAATGGGCTCATGTGGTATGAAGTATGGACAGAGGAATCAGTCGACTACAGACGCATATCTATACGCTTGCGTCGGTTGGGGAGTTGGTAGAGGGGGAATAGCCGAGGCTGACGGCTGTTGTTTCAATGGTTGTCAGTTGCTCACTGGTAAATGCTCACACTTGTTCCTTAAGTTTGTGACATCGTGTCCATTCATCAGCTCTTATACCTCTTTCTCTCCTTTTGTTCAACTTCGTCTTCGTCAGAGGACTGGGGCCTTACGAAAGAGCGTTCGATTCTGATTGTCGATTGCGGGGACCAGATATATACTTCCAGTCACCAGCCTTGAATCAGAGTCAAAGGCTAAACTCGCACCAAATGGACCCGTCAACAAACCCTAGAGCCTATAAGTCTTGATAAAACAAACTTCAATGGTCCCCAAAACAAGGCTGAGCCTTGAGAGGGCTTCTGGACAAGAAGCCAGAATGGGTTTCTGGCTATATAGTCCAACGGGGTCTCACATGACCGCGCGTCACGCGTGCTGCCTGAGGCCGGAAGCTTCGTCGTTCCCCATCAATGCTTCTCCGCCCTGGGAGGCCGGAAGTCCGAAACAAACTCCCATAGCCCTGGTGCTCCTTCGACAGCGTTTTCCTCTGTGCGGCCTGAAGAAATACTTGTTGCTACTGGCTGTATGAAAGTCAGATCTTTGATCAAAATCACAAACCACACCTTCTTCTTCCAATTGGGCCTCCGACCGATCACTTGTTGGAGATTGTTTCGTTCTCCGCACCTTACCTATCTATCTATTCCTTCCCCTTCGCGCCGATAAACCAACCGTGCGACATACTTGCCTTTCACATTTTTCCCCCCAACAAATCGGGACCTGTGAAATGAGTACACAATCCTCAAGTCTCTGGTAGTCAGCAGGTCAACAGCAAACCCTCGAACCCAAATCAAGGCGAAATACCTACGGTCGTCAACAATGAAGGACTCGCGCGCGAGCAAGAGGAGAAGGGTGTCGAATGTACAGGCTGTGGATGAGGATGGGGATGTTGAGATGCGCGATGATACTATCAATGCTTCGGCAGGCCAGTCGCAAGCTACGCCAGATAAGAATCCCAAGGCAGTGACCGAAGCGGAGGAGGCGCAATTGGTTGACGAGCAACTAAGATCACCGGTTTCTGCGCGTTCGAAGCGCCGACGATCCTCCCAAGATGTTCCGGCGGTGGAGGATGACAACACCCACAAAAACAACGCTGAAGAGGCGGTGGCAACGGAGACCCCGTCGCGGGCTGGAGTACGGTCAAGTGGTCGGCAGCGAAAAGTACCCAAGCGATATGGAGACGAGATCGTGGAGACGCCATCGGGCAAGGGTGCTGCGGCCTCGACGCCAAGGCAGAATGGATCCACAACGAAGAGTGCCCGGAGAGCGAAATACGTATCGGAATCAGAAGATGACGGTGTTGGAGACCAGGAGGAAGAGGAGGTCGAAGCATCTCCAGAGCCGCAGAAGAGGCGAACCCGATCCACCAGAGTGAAGAAGCCTTCGGTGCGGTTTGATACCTCGGACGAGAAAGGCGCTTCAGCGAAAGACAGAGAGGAGTCCCGAGAGTCCTCTCATCCAGACGACTACCAGGATGGACTGGAAGACCTCGTTTCAATGCAGTTACAGGAGGAACTTACCAATAATGATCTGATCGAAGTCGATCAGACGGCTGCGAAGGAAGGTTCGCTTCCTGCGTATGCCGAACAGTTCCAGTCTATTGTCCAAACGGGCTTGACGGAAGAATTGCAATTTTTGACTCAGGTTGTCCTCGAGAAGCTGAATGGGAAAAAGAGGGTGCCTCTCAAGGGCCTCGAGACAGAATTCGACAAGGTCAACCAGCTTGTCGAGCAGACGGTCTCGATTGGCGAGAGTAACTCGATGCTGCTGCTTGGATCGCGCGGCAGCGGGAAGACGGCTATTCTTGAGACGATCATCGCGACGCTGAGGAGGTCGCATAAGAACGACTTCCACGTCGTCCGACTCAACGGCTTTCTGCACACGGACGACCGACTGGCGCTCCGTGAGATGTGGCGCCAGCTTGGTCGCGAGACGAACACCGAGGACGAAGCCGGAAAGGTCAGTACCTATGCCGACACGATGGCTACTCTGTTGGCGCTCCTATCCCATCACGAGGAGCTCTTTGGCCCTTCATCAGACCCCGAAAATGCGACTGCCGCCAAGTCGATCGTCATCATCCTGGACGAGTTCGATCTCTTCGTGACACACCCACGCCAGACGCTTCTGTACAATCTGTTCGACATTGCGCAAGCGCGCAAAGCCCCCATCGCCGTCCTGGGGCTCACCACCAAGGTGGAAGTAACCGAGATGTTGGAAAAACGCGTCAAGAGTCGCTTCAGTCATCGTTACGTCTACGTACCTCTTCCACGAAGCCTCGAGGTATTCGCCGACATCTGCTTCGCCGGACTCAATCTCGAGGACAACGAGATCGCGGACCTGCTGGAAGACGCGGATCCGGCTGAGCAAGCGATCCTCAAATCCGAGGGCTGGGGAAGACTCCTCGCAGCATGGAGGACGTATCTGCAGGTAATCCCCTCCCAAACCTCCACCTTCCCATCAAGCCCACATCACTAACAAAACAGTGCCTATGGACGGACGAAGCATTCTCCGCTCACCTGCGACGGATCTACTACCAGACCCGATCCGTGAAGGAGTTCTTCACGAGCGCCCTGGTGGCCATCAGTGAACTGCACCACAGCACCTTCTCCACCACAACCGACGCTGGCAGCACCTCCCTGACCATCCCCACCGCAACCACGTTCACCAGCCACCCGCTCTCCTGCCCCGACCCGGCCCCCTTACCCTTCGCGCCGACGATCACCGCATCCGCCAGCCCGTCCTCCCTGCCCCTCTCCCTCCTCCTCGCCGCCACCCGCCTGGCCGCGCTCTACGACCCGGGCCTCGAGAGCGTCCAGCAGACCCCCTCTGGGCCCCTGGCCCTCTCCTTCCCCGCCGCCTACGCCGAGTACGTCCGCCTGCTCACCTCGGCCAAGACCTCGGCCTCGGTGTCCGGCGCCGCCGTCACCCCGGGCCGCGTCTGGGGCCGCGATGTCGCGCGCGAGGCCTGGGAGAAACTCGTCAGCTGGGGCCTCATCAGCCCCGTCGGCGGCGGCAGCGGCACGACAGACGCGCGCATGTTCCGCGTGGAGATCAGCTTCGACGAGGTCGTCGAGATGGCTGGCACGGGCGGCTCGTTGGGTCGCTGGTGGCGCGATGGGTAGAGTCTTGGCCGTCCATTTTGATTGTTCGTTCCTTTTTCTTTGGTTTCCCCTTTCACTTCTCGAAGGAATTAAAGGAGATCATTCAATACCCGACTAGCATGGAATTTGCGTTGAGAATAGGTCGTTAGACATCAATAGAGGAACCCCCCCCCCCCCCCCGGGGTCACTGAATCTAGGCTAGTTCTAGCAAGCTACATACACACACCGCATAGTTTTAGGCCGAGAGTGGAGTCTTTTGTCCCTTTGTCAGTCAGTCAGCCAGGTTGACCCAGGCCAGGCCTGTCAATCAGCCAGCCAGCCTGCCAGCGTGCATACAGACCAGAATTAAATATACAGTACATACACGGCTCCGGCTCACATTCCACTGCACTGTAGAAAATTGGCTGATGTAAAGCTCAGTAACGATAAGGTGAGAGGGGAGGGAGGAAGTCCGGCGAATTGGGATCTAGTAAGCTTAACGGATAAGCAAAGCCGGAGGAGAGGAAGAGGCAAATCAATTGGCGATGTGTATGGATCTATGAGTATGCAAGTGTGTGTGCGTGTGTGTGTGTTGGGGGGAAGGGGGAGGGGGAGGGGGAGGCAATCATCTCACTGTATGACATCCAGCCAGGCTTTTCTTGTGTTGACTGGACGGGTTGGGTTTACCTCTTTTAGTCTGATATCTTCTGTGCGACCCAGCTTACCTGCTGTGATATCTTGGCCCACATAAGTTTGAAAAGAAAACTACTGCATCCGATTACGCTCTTACACCCCCTCACGTGTTCATCCCTCTGCCTCTTGTGCAGTACTCGGGCGAAAGAGGGAAGGGAGGGCTCCCCATCGCCATCTGCACAATCAGCCAGGCCAGGCCATGAGCTCCCATGTTCCGGTCTCGCCAGACCCCGGAACCTGGACCCCACGCGCAAATACTCGCATGCAAGTATCGGCTGGCAGCATGGCGAGAGCGTGGTGGCAAACATGTATTATTGTACTGGACTAAGTTAATGTCACATCCTGGTGCCAAGACTATCGGTAGTAGAAAACATGGGACTGCAGGTTTGCCAAGGACAAACATTTGACTGGCTTACTGTGGTGAGCGTGGGATATTGCTGCTATCGATCGCGCCATGGGCCACCAGTTATTTAAGACCTGGCAGTGCCTGCTGCATACATCCGCCTATATTGATGTGGAAGCACGTTCCTTGCCTGGGGTCATAATGGGCCTTCCTGTACTGACTGTATTTAAGCCGTATGCCTAGCTCGCGTGAGCGTAGTGCATCCGGGGAATCTAGTATAGCGGTTATTTTCCGTCACAGTCGGATGTCTGGGATTGGTGACAGGGATGTGAGAGGTTTTTAGACCGGCCGATATGAGTAGTAAGGTAGGCAGGCACTGAGAATTAATGCGTGGGAAAGTTGGGCCCGTTACCGCACATAAAGGAAAAAGGGACTTTACCTTGAACTACCTAGTAACGTAGTATCCGGACATCTGCTGAAGTATATGCAGCCTAAAACGATTGGTCCTTGAGAGGACTGTTCCCTGTCACTACAGTAGCCGATATGTCTAGTACATGTGTGAACTTGCTAGTATGCACATGCCAGACACAGAGGATGGTGATCTCAATCTGAAGTCTCCAGCTGTGCATTAGCGCAACCACCTGGCTGTCCTCATGGCATGGCGTGGCGTGGCAGGGCATGGCGTGGCAAGGAGGAAAGAATATAGTCTGGACCAGTTGTGCGACCCCATCCATGCGTCATCTAGCTGTAGTCCGCAAGGGATGACTGGTCTCGCTGTCTCGGTTCGGAACACTGAGGGTTCGACT